ATAACTTTTTTTTTTTTTTACAAAAATTACTTTTACTATCTGTTTGGAATAAGTGATTTTGCCAAAGGATGTGCTTTCTCGAAGCATTTAAAATACTTCACTGTAATATTTCGTGTTAGGTTCTTAATACAAATAATCCTGAAAATTTTGGCAATTAATTTAAATCAAAACTTTTTCTAAGAAAAACTATATTATTTAAAATACTAAATTCAATTCTTAACCACTATAAAATCATATGTATTTCAATTGCAATATAAAACTTAAGCAAGTAAGTAACTTTAATAATGATTATCGAGGATTTAATGCATATTCTTAAAGGTTGTAATTGGATCATAAATACTCAATATATTTTAATTGCTAGTTATTCCTATTTTGGATGCTAAACTGGTTGTCGAGGATAAAATTGAGATTATAAAAATGTTTTAAAATTTTCAATTTTTTAAACTTATCTTTTTTTTTATATTAAATTGCTTAGAAACCTAGTTTTTCATGTTAAAACAATCGTTTTAATACATTCATTGTTATAAAGTTCAAAAGCAAACAAGGAGGAGCCCACGAAGAGTAAAACACTTTATAGACAGATGTCCTAAGTAATGAAGACGAAGCCAAGAGAATCGTAAACCGAGTAGATTGGTATGAAAATTAATCTCTCCTCTTCTTCTTCTTCTCGTTCCTCTCAGCCGAATTCTTCAACTGAAAAATAATAGTAAAAATCCCGTCAATACAAATTTGCAAGGTAGAAGAGAGTCTATCAAAGGATGCCTCGCAATCAAACTCACCATAATAACCAGAATCCTGACAAAAACTGAAACCAAATCAGTAAACAAAGTCAAGGCATGCTTCACATAGTCCAGATCGCCCAAGTGTGCTCTCTCAACTATTTCTTGGGTGTCCACTATAATGTAACCCACAAACACCAAAAGCCCAAAGTACAACTGCAATAACATGAAATAAAATCTATGTAATTTAAGTCTCAAAAGGATAAAAAAATCAAATAATATTTACAAATAGTAACAATTTGTTGCTTATCGGTTAATATTAATTAGAAATATGAAATTTTGGCCATCACACTTCTGAATCATGTGGCAGGATCATTAAATATGAATAGTTTAAAATTTGATCAGATAAATAGTTTTTTTTTTTTATTTTAAACAACTTTCTTCTAATTTTAAAGAATTCTTATATAAAATTTTATTATTTTTATTCCTGCAACTCCTTGTGGAGATCTATTCCAAAAGAGTGTTGACAGCATTTCGATTCCCATGAATCAGAGTGCCCCATAGCTATTTTCACGAAATGGGAATAATGATAGCGACTTACCTCAAACTTGAAGAGAGCTGTTGAACCTCCAAAGATGGAAGAGGCAAAGTGCAGCCAGAGAAGGATGGACAATCCAGAAGAAACCAAGCCACCAAGGTACAGGTACTCCCTACGTCTTGCTACCAAAGCTGCTCCTGAGAAGCACGCAAAGGCCAAGGATGTTGCCACAAATGCACTAATGATAAGGCTGGAACAACAGAAGGATATTGTCACAGAACTATTAAACAAGCACCAAATACGCTAGCCAATTGTCCTGAAGATTAACTAGGAATATAAGCTTTTAGGCTCTGTTTTGAATAAAAGTACTTACGGAGAAAAAAATTAAAAAAGGTAAAATGAATTAAGTTTTTTCTACAAGTTAAAAAAAGCATAATATACTAAAGTTTATCCAAACAAAACGTCAATAGTTTAATTCCAATCAAAGAGGACGGGGGCGTTAAATGTATCATATGAATCCCCACACAATCCATTGACCGCAACATAAAACATACCTAGGATCAATTTGAATAGCCAAATCAATCAGGGGTCCAATGGAGGCACCCTGAAACAGTGATGCGGCCATCAACAAAGTCAACCTCTTCTTCTGCACATCACAAGAAAAGAAAAATCCCAGGTGAATAACGACCGCAAAACCATAAAACCAACAGACCTCAAAAATGGCACATACCTCTTCAAAAGGAGGTGTAGAGAGTAACCAAAGACTGCTTCCCACACACGCCACTGTAGTAAGAAAACCCCCAAGGTTCAATAGGACATGAAGGTAGGCCCCAACAGCCGCAGCAACCACAGCGAAACACAGAGTAAAATAAACCTACAACAATGAATAACAGAACCAAATTAAATTTACCCTGAAATCCAAATAAACCATCCACCATCCGAAGATCCTGTAACCCTAATTTCTGCAAACCCTAACTAAGACCAGAGAAATTGATATAAGCAAAAGAGGAGACATTATATAAAGCCGACGAGACAAAACCTAGGAAATCGAAGGCTTCTACATTTCTTGGCTAATTGAAGTAAAAGGTAAATCGATCATAGAAAATAAGAAATCATAACGGAACCTGCTTGAGGTGATTTTGAACCAGCGGAGAAATCTGACGGAAATTCTTGAGCGTATCGTAATTCCATCGGTTTCTTGAATCGAAGAAGGAATTGAAAGCGTCCATTGTTTTCTCGCAAACACAAATATGACGGATGAATCACAGTTATGCCTTTGAATTAAAAACCCTCCAATCTATTTATACTTATTAGTTTATTAATATTTGAGGGGCAAAGTCTAGTTTCGCAGAAAGTTCCACCTAAGATTATTTCCTTTTGTTTTAAGTTTCCGTGTTATCCAGTGCATGCGGTTGTATTGTATATATATTTGGTTGTCCACGCAATGCAACCAATCATGGGTAGACAAATCAGCAACAAATTTACATTCCAAACAATAAATAAAAAATAAAATAATTTTTACATCAAAATATTTTATAATATAATTTTATTAAAAAAATAAAATTTCATATGAAATTTTTTATATCAATTGATAATAAATATTTTTTAATTACAAGTTAAATAAAGTTTATGTATAATAAAATATAAATTAAAATAAGATTAGTTTAAACTAGATATATTAATTATATTAAAAAGATATATATACAAACAAAAAGATTACTATACAACTAAATAAGTTTTTAAAAAATATTTTTAATAATAAATAAGGTATATATATTATGTATTTAAACATCCATTATGCATAGGTATGATAGTTAATAGATTATAGTTAATTGATTATTCAATAGATGTGTATGCCATTTTAATAAACTTTCTCTCCAAATCAATGTTAATTCATAAAAACAAACATAATAAATAATTATATTTCGATGCTTTCTTTTATGCAAAATAGTATAAAACTGAAAGGAAAATAAGCTTAAAGATGATTTTTTTCCCTATTTTAGGCCTATTCAACTTGCCAATCAACCAAAGCCTAGGTGGACTAAAATTCACAATGTTATTAGGAAGTTTGTAGGTATCACTCAAGTCATATTGAAGAGAAAAACTGAAAGGTTGGGTGAGAATGTCATAAGTAAAACATATACTATTTATCATCAAGGTACTAAAGGAGCATTTAAAGATGACTGTGCATATAACTTATTATTGGAGGATAAATATTTTCTTAAAAAAAAAAGCAAAGGTTTATCCTAACAGGTACTGGTTTTTTTCACTCTGAGTTGATAAAAATAATACATCTTACAAAATCTTATATAATATTAGATAAACAATGAAGTAAATAATAATAGTTATATAATAAGTTTAAAGTCCAAATATTTTGACACTGCAATCAAAACCACTTTAAGTATGTATATGACTTTTTTTATATTCTTGTAGTAGAATATTTTGAAATTTAATTTAAATTTTCACTTTTGAGAGTCACATTGTATTTGAGATCAAATGACATAAAAAAGTTGTCATATATTATAAAAAAAATTATATAATATTACTCTATGGTTATAATTACATAATTATCGTAATTTTTCTTCAATTTTAAAGTTTTTAAGTTATATTCTTATGTTTATTTTTTTTTCTTATTTATTTATTAGTAAGGTAATTATCGGAATAAAACGTAATTTTCTTTATATCTTTTCTCATCAATAAGATTTATCCATGTTTGAAAGAAAATGAAAAAGAAAATATATATTAAATTTATTGTTATGTAGGTTGCTTATTTCTTGTTTATTATAAGTAAAAATTGTAATTTTTAATTTATTGTGAAACTAAAATGAATTTTTTATTTTATTTTGTGTTTTTAAATATTTACTGAAATAAGTTATACTTTGATACTAATTTTTTTATATTTAATAATTGAATTTAAAAAATAATATTTTTTCAGACAAAAATTATATATAAAAGTATAAATATGTGGAGAGATAATTTGATTTATTAACTTGAGTTGTTAATGAAATTGTTATTGGAAAATGATAATTTAACAACTCAAATTCATACAACTCCTCTAAACAACTCTCTTTTAATATTATAATAATAGTTTTACTTTATTTTTTATTTTTATTAAATCATTATATAGATTATTATATTAATAAAAGTGAGTTGTTTGAAGGATTGTATGGTTTCTGGTTGTCAAAATATCAGCAGTTATTACAGAGAAAACTATGTTAAATTTGATGGTATTAATGTGGCGGATAAGACCGGTGACAATAACTAATAATTCTGTGACAGGTTTGTTTTTAGGCCCAAGTGAAAAAAATGATAGTTGCGAGACTATTGATTTAGACACACGATATAACAGGTACAATAAAGTACATGTGTGTGATCCTTGTTGAACACAATAATCTTCCTTTTATCCTTGTCATTGTCTAAGCGAGTCATCTCAAGTCATCAGGAAATAAAGTTTTTGTTGAAGTTGGTGTGTGATTGTATTAGAGGAGTGTTATGAATGAATAATTGTAAATTGCCACCACACAATTCCATTCCTCTTGCAACTATTATGCTCCTGAAGGTGTGTGTGTATTAATGCTTGTTTTCAGAAAACAAGTATTATATGTTAACCTTTTAGAAAACAGTGCGGCAGTCCTAAGAGGCATATTGGAAAAAATCTCATTCGAAAGAATATTAAACTTTACACGTATAAATTGAACAATACGGAGAGTCTGCATCCAAATTAATGTGTCCAAGAGTCTCAATCATTCTTTTGATGAAGAGAATAAAAATTTCAAAAGAAAGCCAAGTAAAACTCCAAGGAGACCCACAAATATGGCAAAGATGAAGGAAAAACCAGGGTCACTTTTTCGGTTTCTTCGTCTTTTCAGCATGTCCTAGACAGTCAACAGAGCAGATAGATTAGTGATATTTACGATATCTATCAAGTCTCGGTAATGAATGAAGAAGACAACTATTGTAAACTCAATAATCACTTTTAGCTCTTCCCTACCTCATGTCCCCCCTTCCCCTTCCTCGGCTTTACATGCGAGGCCAATTTTATTACAGTGAATAAGGTTAACTTGAATAGAGTTTTAACCAATAGCTCGTTAAATTGGAACCAGAAAAGTAACTCCCTCCATACTGGCCAAGTCAGTATGAATGCCCTCATAAAAAGTAAAGAAACTATATAACTCTTCGTTATGTGGTCAAGGACACAGGCTCAGATCATAGGTCTATTATTTTCTCTACAGCACATACGAAGTTTTTTTAAGAGATGGAAACTCTAAATTCCAAGAGAAAATTAGGCTTGTGTATGCAGATTATTGTTGACTCCAACTTAGGCTTCTAAATTCAGATACTTGCTTTTTTCATCAAATTTGAGTGCATTAGTTGGAACAACAACTCCAAATAAAATGTTAACCAAAATCTTGTGATAAAAGTGCAATGTAGAGAATATGTAGAACGATTACCAGTTCCTGTTGCAGTTGTCTCGTTTGTCTGGCAGCGGCATCTCTTTCTTCTTTCAAATTTTGTACAGCCCCACTCTTCAAAAGTAGAAATTTAATTTAAGCATGACTGGCTAATCTAAACCATAGAACTGGGCATGTAGAGAAGGTTTAATCGTCTGGCATTAAATGCCACAATGTAGGAAATGGTTGACAATGAGCAAACGAGGTGCAATATTGTGTACTGTTTTAGAGATGACTGAAATACAGAAAATACAGAATATAGAACTCACGCAATCAGCCATTCATTTTGCTGATACACAGATAGAGTCAATATGCAAGTGAATGGAATGCAATTAAAAGCGGCCAATATAACTTTCTTACCCTAGAAATATACACTGGTAACACAAATACAGAAGTAATCACTTCAAAGGGTTAAAATTGTAAATGTATCTTTCACAAGATAATCTCCGGCAAACTAACTAGAGACCTGAGCATATGTTTTTCCAATACTCCTTTCATGGGTGAATTTGCAGAGTGCACAATCTGCTAGACGTTTTATTCCATTTCAAAGCTGAGGAAACATATCTATTAAATTATAGAAAGTTAAAATGGAGCAGAATAAACCAGATACATTATAAGCAGAAGAAACTTGATGCAGCACATGTTTATATTATCAATCAGAAGGGACCTATAGAAGGAAGTTTAAATGTTTCACTGTTTTCAATTCTCATTTACTTATCAATCTCAATATGTTTTGTAACTTTCACAAATACTAAGTCCTACGTTGTTTCCTCCAAATGTAGTAAGTATTGCCTTCATGAATAGTTTGAGAATCAACAAGATGGAATTAGTGCAGTCACAAATTCCAAAGTACCATGCCATCAAGTGAAGCCACCCATAGAAATCCCCTTAATCAGGTTTCTCAAGATTTTTCTTTGCATAGGACCCCACCCGTGTGCGTATTCAGCTTGACTCATAAGATACAATATATGGCATTATGGCTAAATATAAAATTACGAAATTCAGAAAAAGGAACAAAAATGGAAGTTCAAACTGATTTCCACGAAGGGTATGTGAGAGAAGGAAAGAGACTCACAGAAGAGGTAAGTTTATGTGAGTTCTTTGATGCATCATCTTCAGAGCTTCCTTCGGGTGAGGCAGTAGTGATATATGCAACTCTTAATTTCAACTCCTCTATTGAATTACCACTTTCCTTATTAAACTGCAAGTGAAATTAGCAGTATCAGTGATCAATTTTTGCTTTCTAATCTCTATAGTTGATTCCGTATAAAGGACAGTGTTGACTCTCTTACAGTATCCTGTGGGAGATCGTCAACATCAGTATTTGGATTCACTATCGTACTCTGTAAGAGAAACTTGTCTTTACATTGCATGTCTGGAGGGTATTCCCGTTGTGCTTGGAGGGTGACTGTAAAACATAAAAATTGGACAATATGACAAAGTCTAATACCATAGTTTGGGTAGAGCTCTGGGCTCATGAGCACTTAATGACTTATTCCTAGTCCTTAGTGTTTTCAGGAAAGAAAAACTTCCATTATTTGACCTTTAAACATCCATCCTCCGTTTCCTATGTCCAGTATGAAAAAGCATATTTCTAAATTTATGTCCATTATGTGCATTCAGTAATCTGTTCACATACATATCTGCTAGAGAAGTGCTAGCAACACACTTCCTAATATATTCTTTGTAATCCGTTAACATTATTATAAATTATAAGTGGAAGCTTTCTAAATACCAGCTGACACACAATTTTGTAATTTCTAATAAATTTCAGGAAATAAATAAATAATATTTGTGTTGGTAACAGTTATTTCTTTATTTGGCGAAAAGGTTAATGAAAGAGGTTGGAACTTTCACACCAATCAAATACATACTAAAAGTTTTCAAGCCAAAAGAAAAGGGTTTTGTTAAATTGTTTTCCAGGGTTAAGAAATAAAAAATAACGTCTATCAATTTTCTTTAATTCATTGTAATTATTTAAAGAAGACAGTATGGAATTCTCTTATAGGATTTTTAAGTCAGTATCAGAAACTTCACTTCATTTAAATGTTTAATAGTTTCCATTTCTACTCGCTTCAAACATTTCCCATAATACATATCATAATCAAAGAACTAGCCTTATAAGTAACTCGTAATATTAACAAGCAGCACCTCTGATGATACACGAGTCCCAGGGATGTACGACACCGGTGTTAGGTCGTACAAAGTATTTTTTCGGAGAAGTGGTTTTGACCTAAGAAACAGCAAATTAACAAAAATACATTGGAATCTAATGCAATGAGAGCAAGAGCTATTGCGGTATATTAAGTAAAAGGAATACCTTGAAAGCAACATAATTCTCCGTGTTATTGAGAACCTTGAGATCACAAAACGTTTGCTTCTCCAACTCAACTGGTCAAACGAAAATCAGGAGAATAACTAAAAAACACATTAGCATAAAATATTTATATTAATTAAGGTTCAAAGAACGTAGCAGATCAAACTCAAGAATAATATACAACAAATTTAGTGATTTACTAATGAAAGTTTTGCGAATGGTGGGTGCTAAGTTAATAAGGAATAATTAAACAGCAATTGGTAAGATTGAGGAAACGGGAACTGAGAGGGAGAGGGAGAGGAAGAGAGGGGTGGCAAAATAGCGATGGAGAAGAAGAGAGAGGTTGGGTTAGGATACGTACAATGGAAGCGGAGTTCGTCGGGACTAACGGAGATGAGTTGAGAGGCGGTCATGACGGAAAGGGGGAATGGGGAAGGGGAATGGAGGGGGAATGAATTAGAGTGACATCATCAAATCACATCGCATCAAGGAGAAGAGGAGGAAGAAATATGTGGTAGAACGAGGAGCATGGGGCACCGATAGCTACCAAGTCCAAAACGAAATAATGCAAAATTTTAGCCACGGAGATCGCTTTTCGTCTTATGACTCCTCCACAGTGCCTGTCAGTGCCATCTGGTTTTGGCAGACGCACTGAATTACAGACGGAGACGCTGCCATACTCTTGCATCCTTTTGGGCCACCTGGTACCTACCTCTATCCACGTGTCTTTTTATATATTACCTTTTATCTTTGTATATTTTGACAAACATTTAGAAGTGATACGTGACAAATACTCAAAACATTCATGTTTTCTTGGATTGACGTTGAAAGGAATATTATCCCATTCAAGTATTTTCTTTTGCTATTTTATTGTTTGGTTTGAAGTTTAATTTAATTTAATTTAATTTAAAGGGGTTTGAATCACACCGATTTTAAAAATTTCAATACAAATATTAGATTTATACTCTATAAGTAATAGTATGATTTATGGTAGAATAATCATATATATATATATATATATATATATATATATATATTAAAATAAATTTATGAAAAGTAAACATGAATAATATATATAACATAAAAAAATATATAAATTCAATTGGAGCTGGATTTATTTTCAAAATTAAATCTCACATCCAATCCAATAAAATGAAATATATTTTCTCTTAATTTTAGGTCAATTTTATTAGATTCACTACATTATTTTAAATCTATCATTATTATTTATACGGAAGACCATATATAATTTCTTTTAAGCAATTTAAGAAGATTTGTGAGCGGTTATTTAAAGAATATTATTATGAAAGTGTCTTGCTTAAATGATAGAATTAGTTGAAAAATACAACTTGTGCATTTATATTTTTACCCCTCATCGTTTTCATGTAAAAACTTACATGACATGAAAAAAAGAATGATAACAAGAAAAACTTTCTGTATACAGGAAATTATTGAAAAAAATGATTTTCTACCAGTTGAGAATCAATTATGATTCGTTTTGAATATACGAAGAATTACGCAATGTTAATATAATTGATTCTCGATCATATTAATGCATGGAAAATCGATTTTTTGATATAATAATAATAAAATTTAGAAAATCAATTCTTTGATATAATAATAATAAAATTCATTCTATTATTATTATTATTTGACATTACGTTTACTAATAATAGTAATAAAATCAATTTTATTAATAATAATAATAATAAATTATAATAATAAAAATAAAATAATAATAATTATTATATTAATAATTATAATTGACCACGTATTTGCAAACCAGAGCAAAGTCTATCTGGGAGATTATGAAAACAACGTGTTATCAACAATCAGGATTCAGAAAACTGGGAAATATATTGAATCTATCAAAAAGAACAAATACAAGTGATTAACTAATATATATTTTTCATAGCTAACAAGCAAACAAAAAAGGAGCTTCATCTTTGACCTTAAACCAGTGATCAGCAATCAGTTCGACGAAGATGATGACGTAGGGTGTTAAACTAAGTATAGGCAGCATCCCAACGTAGCATATTTTGTCCAGATTTAGATGCGAGAAATATAAACAAAAAACTAGAGAATTTAGAACATGATTATTACAACATGTGACTCCATATTATAATCCTAGTATTATAATCGTCGATTTTAATAAACTAAAGTAATCGTCTTCTTTTTTCATAGCTTCGCTTTCTACCGTATATCTTATAGTGATGCAGAAGAAATACTTCAAATTTCTCAGTACTATCAAGATTCATCAGTACACTTGTTTTGATTTCAGGGAGGGTAGGATACACTAAGGGTAAGAAAAATGACATATTCTACAACAGAACAAATTGAAATAATAAAATTAACGCCCCGAGGCACTTATCATGGATCAGTAGACTACATCGAAGATAAACATTGGGAAAAGTGAGGTATCTGCGTATCATTTGAAAGTGGAGAATCTCGGAAGCTTGTCTCTCAGGTAGTACAATCTTGCCCTCCTAACCTTGCGGTGGCTTACCACTTTGATTTCTTTGATGTTTGGCGAGTAACTGTCCCAGTACATATAAGCATCATATAAGACAATATCTTACAAGAAAAAGCCGGTAAAAGACTTCATAATACAATCTACCAATATCAAAATATGCAGTGGTCTTTAAAAATCAATTTGTAACTTCACAGAGAAAATGGTATGGGTAAATTAGCTTGGATAAATAAATTCAGATATTCACAATGATAATTCCATAAATTCTTACGACACAACATAGACTGAAGAGGAATATTATGCGTGAAAAGTATTGCATATGTTCATTAGCGACCAACAGGAATGTAGGTCACATCAACACATCATTAAACGTCGAGTTCAGGCTGATAAGTTTTACAATTCCCATTTCCCACTATCAGAATTCTTATTCCCTGAATTTGGTATGGCCAGGAAGCGTGGTAAATCCCACGCCAAAAGGGATTTATCTCCTTACAAGTTATAACCTCCCATAGAAACCTAATAAACCCCATTTGTAACAATAATTTGATATGAAAATAGCCTTACCATGCTTAAATGGATTGTAGAACAAGGTTACCTCAAGCTATTATTGATCAGTACTCCACAAACAATGTCCCAACAATTTGTACTTGTAAAAGGTGCACAATTTGCAAATTACGCAGGCATTGGGAAAAGAAAATGACAACTCGTAACCATTTCTTTACCCACATCTTAGTCATCAAACGTCTTCAAATTGACTACAGTTCCTTGAAGTAAAAATGATAACTGAAGTATTCATCCCATATGTCCATCTTTTAGTTCGAAAATGATTTATATAATTATGTTCTCCAATCCAACAACTGGATAAACAATGATGTGTAGCCATCATCCTAATAACATAAATGCAAATGGCAGTTTTAATAAAAAGTTCTAATTAGGGGGAAACTCACATTGGGAAGACTATCTCAACACCAGTGCCGGCAATGATTCTTCGGATTCGAATGGTGGTGTGAATACCAGCATTTTGTCTTGAGATGACAATCCCTTTATAAATGGACAACCTACGCTTGTTCTCCGGAACCTCCTGCAAGAAGATAAAAAATATATGACCATAAAATTCATCTCACTTCAGCACTCTTCTCAAAAAAATATATCTAAATTAATAAATAAAATACCAATCTGATTTCCACAATATCCCCAGTCCTAATGTCTGGTGTTGGTCTTTCCTTCTCCGATGCCTCAATTGCCCTCTGATTCAATATCTGCATCAACAACACCATGCAATTTACACTCCATCCATCTTTCAATCATTTCCCTAAGCATTCTCACATACAGACACGCATAGAAAGGGTGCAGAGTGTGGAAACCGAATTGGTAATTAAAGCTTCGAATTGGTAATTAAAGCACACAAGCTAATTTATGACTCCTCTCATTACCCCCATAACGTCTCCAAGCTTGACTCTGGGTTTTCGGGGCGATTTCGGAGCTTCGGAATCCGAAACCTGTTCCGCTTCACCTTCCGAAACTTCATCAACATTATCGGAAGGAACATCTTCGGTGGTTTCACCACCGCCTTCGAGGTTGGAATCGGCTCTGACAACGAAACTAGGCTTAACAATAAGAGGAGTGCAACGCCATGAAATTGGAGTCGAAGGAACCCTAGATATTAACGCAACGTTACGATGGGAAGAAGAAGAAGAAGGAGGAGGAGGAAAAGTGAGCTTAGGGGCAAACAGGGCCTGCTGCAATACAATTTCCGAATCAGTACGGAATCAAAGAACATAAAAATGTTTAGATTTTCAAATGTAATGAAGAGATAAGAGCAAAACCTGAAGAAGAACTTGAGAAGCCATTATTAGGGAGAGGGAAAATAAGGGTTGCACTTCAGTGGGTAGGAGACATGGGAACACTGTAAAATGTAAGGAGGATTGAGAAGACGGAAGAGGGAACGCCCTTATCTGTTTCTATCCGTTTCACACGTGCGAACTACAATTTTCTTTCTTTCCTTTTACTGGGCTGGGCCTGGTCTACAAAAGTGAGGGACCCAACCATCATTGTTGGGTCAACACTGTCGTCCATCATGTTCTGGGCCGCATCAACTTCATCTGTTGTGTTTCACCCTTGATTGCATGAAATATTGGTGTGACCCAAAAAAAGAAGTACCGATTATTGATAAAATAAAATAAAAATTATTATCTTTACTCCTTCTATAAATGCAATAACCAATTCCATTGCTCTGCATACTCTGTTCCTCTTATCGACTATTCTCTGTTCTCCCAGGTGTAACCATGGCAATCACACGTGCCATGTTGGTGGTGCTAGCCATTTCCTTCACTCTGGTAGCAACATCCACGTCTCAAGCTCCCTCTCCAGCACCCACACCTTCTTCCACTCTCCCACCCCAAACATCCCCAACCACCTCACCGACTCCTACACCTTCCCAAAGCCCAAGCCCAGGCCCATCTAGCACATCATCACCTTCACCTTCTGCTCCCTCTCCTTCTTCACCATCACCCACTCCATCTCCTTCGTCGGCATCTGATGATTCTGTGCCTTCAAGCCCCAGTAATGCGTTTGTTGACGGAACCAGGTTCTTGATGGTACCTGTACCCTTTTTCGCAGCTGCTGCAATGCTTATTGTTTAAACCAATAGAGATTGGTTGATTTGAATCAATGACCGAGACATGTATTTGTTCTGTTTCTTTTTTCTCTCCTTTTTCCTTTTTAGCTACTCTGCTATTTTATTCTGAAGATGATTCATCTTTGTTGGGTGAGATTGTAGTAGTATGGTATTGAAGCATTTGGTAGCCAACTGAATAAGAGAGATTTGGTGATTTGTACTGTATATGTCTTCCAGCGCTCAAACATATTTTAAAACCATAATTTTTCACATAACACAATATTTCGAAAACATTAAATAGGTTTACGTGCCTCAGTTCCTTCTTTATAAATAATTTTTATAAACGAAATAATTTATTCACACAAATTAAAATTTATCTTTTTAGAAATACAGTAAAGATAATACGGATCACAATTTTGAATGTTCTTTCATTTAAATATATTGAATATAAATTTTTTAACATACTGACATAATAATGAATTATATTTTTTAACATATAAAGTAAGTCGCATAAGTTATTTTTATTAAAAATATTATATTAGATCTTGATATCATCGTAATTAATAAACAAAAATATTTTTTCATAGAAATAAAACAAATACTATAAAAATATTTAAATTGTTATAGCCAAGATCGCAAATTATATTTTTTTAATTTATAAAATAATTTGTATGAATTATTTTTACTGGAGATGTCTCAATACACCTTGACATTATCATAATTCATAAATATATTATATTTTTTATCATAAAAATAAAATAACTAAATATTGTAAGAAGAAAGGAGACACTTAAATTACCTTAATTTTTTCTCATTTTAAAATTATAATTTTTTTCTGAATATATTTTAACTGCTTTTAGTTGTAAACAACTATAAATTAAATTACTTGCCAATAATACAAAATTAAAAAATCAACTTAAAAAAACTTGATGAAAAAACTTTAGAAAAACTTCTCTCTCAACCATGGGCTCCCTTTGCTTATTTTGGATAATTTCTTTTAATTTATCTAAAATAAGTTAGCAAACATTTTTTTTTATTGTCAAAGTTTTTATTTTTTTAACTTAATAATTTTAAAATAAAAATTTTGGGTTAAACGTAGTTAAACTATAGTGCATATATCTCTCAAGAGAAAAAAAATTACAATTTAAAAAATAAATAAAGAGGGTAATGTAATTTAAAAATGAGAAGTATTAGATTATAACTCTACTATTAAAAAAACATATAACTGTTTTTATTAATTTTATAATAATATAAATTCAAATTTTCATGTTTAATATTATCTTATTATTAAAAATGGTTGATGCTAAGATGTTTAAAAATAATAATAGTAAAAATATATTAGATCTTATAAAATTGATTTAATATGATAAAAAAATTATAATTATAATACTATATCAAATATTATCTTTAAAATTATGAGATATTTAACTCAAATTTATAATATCAATTAAAAATATAAAAAATTATATTTGTTTATATATTACAATATTATCTTATGTTTAATTTACAAGTTATCATATAAAAATGTTCCATTAAAAATATATTGGAAGAGAAAACACTCAAAATATAACTGTTTATTGAGTGTCTAGCTGCACTAAGGCAAGTGCATGATGTAGTAGAACTAACAAAGGATTCATCTAACTATAGCTTGAGCTATAACTCTGATGCAAGATATGATGAACAACTACATCTTAAGGTCAATTCGGCTGAGTGAGAGGAGAAGGTTAGCTAGCAGAGTTAGCTGTTAAGATTGCAACATGTTGAAGGTGACGCTTTGGAACCTTATGAATGTGTGTAGAAGAAAGAGTTAAAGTGCTTGTGATTGGAAGAATATAAAGATTATGGCATTGGTGGGTCTTTCCCTCGAAACATCTTCAACAGAAAGTGATGTGCACGTGAAAGACATTGAAGTACTCACAAATGCCATGACCCTAAGGATTGATTTAGAAGCAGAACGTGTGGACTGAATTTGTTGGATACAATTCTGTGTAAAGGCCAAGATGAATGAGGGAAAACAGAGCACACATCCTTGGCCTCATCATTCACTTTGGACAGAATAGAATCTCATGGCACAGGTCATGAACTAGCATTTGAAATTTTGCTAATTATGCAATAGGTGTTTGTGTATGCCAAAAGTTGCAGAATTTATTCATTTATGATAAAATTACATATGGAGAACTTTGTACCACAGAAAATAAAGCACTAGATTCCCTCTCAAATTGTGTTCTTGAGTATCAAACTTTTGCTTTTCTTTGTTACTCATCACCAACAAAAAACCATTTATAAATTATTGATGGAATATTCCATATTCACTCATTAAAAAAAGTAGTTGTTATACAATTTTTTTTTTTTTTATATCCAAGTATTGATCTTCAACAATTATGAATATAAGCTACAAATTTTGGTTTTAACTCTAATCTTTTCTACCATTTTCTCCTTTTGAAGTTGGCAATATACCTGCAAACATAGATAACACAATTATGTTATTAACATTGGTCTTAACAGTAGAAATTTTAAAACAGTTTGAGGGTCATCTATAAAGATCAAAACGAATCATTATTCTATACGAACCCTGTGTCTGGATGCACGAGCTAAAAGTGAGTGAAACCAAGTTAAATTCTATAAGAAAATTAGAATCAGATGGAAAAAAAATTGTAACTAACAGAACAGAAGGAAGGATTGTTATATGTAATGTTGGATGAATTCACTTGGTAGGGAAAGATAAATTGAGACATTTTGAAAAAAATAAAAAAATGGTACAAGGTAAATATTTTTTCGAGTATTTTAAGAGAACACAATACGAATAAAACAACATTATATTATGAATTTATTTTTTCTATTAATCAATTGAATAAGACTTATTCACACTTACATTTTTAAGAAAAATAATAATAATTAAGGAGATAATATTATAGGATAAATATGTACTTGTATCTTGAATAATCAAGATTCCTTCATAGGATATATAAATTTTATAATGTATTTTCTTTGTTCACATGTAATATTTTTATACCAAACCCTCAGAACCAATTGAATTATAACATTAATGTAAAATCACATATACCAATATAAAATAATTTAATAGAAACATTAAGTAAAAAAGAAAACTTAAGTAAACTATTATTATACATAGCATATACATTATGAAACACTAAGAGATTTAAAAATTATATTATTCCTATTATCATATTAAAAATGTAAAACATTATATCAAAGCTAATATTATTTAGTACAAGTAAAAACAATTTGTGAAAAAAAATAAAAATATTACTGAAGAATGAAAAATTAATAAAATACTTCAATAGCTTTATTTTAGTTAAAACTTCTAATAATATTATTATAATATTTTTGTAAAATAGTAAACATTTTTAAAATATAAGATTTAGCATTCTTATTTATAAATTAGTTTAATGTTATAATAATCGTTTATATTTTTTACACATTGAAATGAATTAGATTGTACCTTTGATTAAAAGTTTATATATATATATATATATATATATATATATATATATATATATATAAAGAATAACTCATTTATTAATAATATTTATCATTATAAATTATCAATACTATTTTTAAATTTGTGTGGTTATCTATTTATTTATCATATTATATATTTATTTAGTGAAAAAAATTAAAAATAATATTAATGATGGTGATTTGCAAGATACATCAACTGTACTTAATAACACAACTTTATTTATTTTAAAAAAATGTTTATCATTTGATAAAAAAATTCTCAATTTGTTTAAAAGTCAAAATATTTTAAAATTTATAAATTTATTAAAAGTAGTTCTTTTAAAATTGTACATTATAGTTTTTAATGTAATTTTTTATTTATGTAACAAAAAAAATGTACAATAAAATCATGATTTACAATATATATATATATATATATATATATATATATATATATATATATATATATATATATATATGTATGTGTGTGTGTGTGTGTGTTTTTTTTTTTAATTTATCATACAATAAACCTCATTTATTTTTTTATGTTAAAAACTTATAAAGTTTTATCAAACATATTTTTACTCCCTTGTTCTTAATTGAGAATGAACTTTTCTAATCAAATCTCCCCTATATTAGGACTAATTAATTTCAAAATATAAATTTAATTGTAAGAATAATATATTTTTGTCTTTATTTTATAATAATATTAAATAATCACCATTAGTATAATTTTATCAAATTAATTATTATTTTTGTAATTTTATTATATTTATTAGTTAGTTTGAATAACCTATATAATTTTTCAATAATAAAAAAAATAAGAATATAATGTTATTATTTTGTTACTAAATTTTAATCAATTAATATATATATATATATATATATATATATATATATATATACTATTTCTTGTAAATTTGAGTATACATTTTTTTATATGATAATTACATGATAAGATAAGATTAGGTTAAATATAATTGATTAGTTAACTTTGAAAAAAAAATTGTAGTCCTACACTAAAAGTTAGATAATATGTATAAAATTTGTAATTAAATGATGGGTATGAATTTAAACTTATAAATATATAGTAATAATATTTTACATATCCCTTAATATTATCAAATTTATATATTCATAATAATTAAATTCATATATTTATAATAATTAATTCATACATTTTCAATGATTAAAATCATATACACAGTAGCCTCCACGGCCACCCATTCCTCTCCGTCTCGGGCTTTCATACTCAGAGCAGCCTTCATATCTCTTTTTTCCTTACTACCCATCTCCAGCTCCCTCTCCCATTTCACCCTAATCTGGCCGCACCTCCCAGCCTCTCCTCATCCAGCCTTACATCCCCTCACTGCAACGCCACCATCCAGCTTCCTTCCCCTCCATCAACTTCACTGAGAGCCACCATTACAGTGGCGCCTCCCCAGCATCGCGCCTCCCTTTCCCGACCGCGCACCACCACCCTCTTCTCACCTATTCCCCATTTCATTTTCCTCATTGCGCCTTGCCCAGCCCTTAATAACTTTCATCTCCTTCCTCCAGCCACGATACCGCCTTCATCCGCCTTCACCGCAACCACCATTTCCAGCCCACCGCGCAAATCCCCCAAATCCCCGCGATCCCTAGCCAACCACCGGACTTGCTGCGCCTCAGCACCCCAACCAGTTCGTACCTAGCCCCAAGCCCCGCGGCGATGGCCTCGTGAACCGCCGGTGCCGCGCCCTCCACCTCCACCTCCATCGCGAGCCACAACACAACCTGGGCCGCTGCTGCTATTGGGTTCGAGAAAGATTCCCCTCAAGATTGTTTTTCTCTAATTTCTGTTTCTGTTTGTGTTTTTATGTTGTTGGATATCTGCCTGGGACAGCATGCTTGTTCTCTTGTTGTCTCTGTTTTGGTTGAATGAGGGGTTGATGGGAGTCTTGGTAAAACTAGGGACTGAGAGGGAGCTCGATTTGTTTGTCTGCAGGTTGGGTTGTTTTGTTTTGATCGCATCCGTGTTTCCAGTTTGGGTTGTATCTAGGTTATAGCACTTGTCTTGTTTTGCTTTGATTTTGGTTTTCTACACTATTTCATGGTTTCTCGCTTTGTCTGTTTTCCGTTGTTGTTCTGCCTTGGTGGATGCTAATTATGCAGGTATATGTTATTGGTGTAAATAGTTAGACTTTTGGTATTTATTTGAACGTGGCATGTTTCTGATTCTGCTATGGATCTTGGTTTGGTCTTTAATTGTTTGGCTCTATTGGTTATGCGGTTCAGATGGGATTGCGGGATCTGGTTTAAGATTTTTTTTTTTGGTGTCCAGCGGCTGCAAGTAAATTTATATAAAACTGTCCTTGTTAGACTAGGTTGTGTTATTGCTGTTTGGTTTATGAGGTTGTTTAATCTTGTGTTGTGCTGCATATTTTGATGATACGCGCCACGATCTAGGGTTGCCGGCCTCGTTTCTTGAGAATTTTTCAATCATAACCCTTTTTTTTTTTTTTTTTAATTTTAGATAAAATATTAGGAAAAATGGAATAATTATTTTTTATCTTTTTAACTCTTTTTTTTTTTTTCATATTTTCAGAATAAATGTTGTTATTAATGACAGCTCCTCTTTATTTAGCTTTTACTAAATGATACGAAAATTTAGAATTTTCATATTATCACGATAAAAGGTAAGTAAAATAGAAGTAGCAATTTTGTTCGGAGACAAACCATCAATTTGAAAGATAAAAAAGATGGTGGTTATTTGTGGAAGGAATTGACCATTAAATCGAAATGTAAAAAAGTGATGGTCGTGGAAGAAATTGATCATCAAACTGGATGTATAGGTTGTCTATAGATGAACAGACCTTCAATTCAAATGATTTGAAAATTGATGTGTAGGTTGTCCGTGAATGGACAAATCTCTAATCCGAACTATTTGAAAATGGTGTATAGGTCATCCATGGATGAACAAACTTTTAATCTGAACTATTTGAAAATGATGTATAGGTTGTCCGTGAAAGAACAACCCTTCAATCTGAATTATTTGAAAATGATGTATAGGTCGTTTGTAGATAAATAGGTTGCTCGTGGATGGACAAATTTTCAATCCGAACTACTTGAAAATATATGTATAGATCGTCTTTGCATGAACAAACTTTCAATCCGAACTATTTGAAAAAGGATGTGTAGGTTGTTTGTGAATGGACAAACCTACAATCCAAACTATTTGAAATGGTATATAGGTCATCTGTGGATGAACAAACTTTCAATTCCAAATTATTTAAAAAGGATATATAGGTCATCTGTGAATGAACATACCTTCAATTTGAACTATTTGAAAAGGATGTATAGGTGTTCGTGGATGAACAAACTTTCCATCTGAACTATTTGAAAAGGATATTTAGTTCGTTCGTGGATGAATAAACCTTTAATCTAAACTATTTAAAAATGATGTATAGGTTGTTCGTGAATAAATAAATCTTCAATGTGAACTATTTGAAAAAGGATGTATGTATATGTCAAGCAAGTGAGGAGACGAGGATGTATGCACTGATTTGAATGTATGGATGCATGGAGGTGCTATTGTAAAATGTGAGAATACATGGATCAGATTTAATGTATGAATGCATGTTGTTGATGTAAATGCCACTGTAGATATATGGATGCATGTTATTGATGTAGATAAGGATGCTTGGGTGCATGCGGTTGATGCATATTCCAAAATAAGAGACATGGATGCATGTGATTGATATAGATGCTAACGTTGTATGCATGAGAATTTATGCATATTACTGGTTGACAAGCTATAACACTTTGTATATTTGTTTTCTTTTTCTTTTTTTTCATGCACTTCTATTTTCAATTTTCCTTGATTTTTTCTTTTTATGAAAGCAAACATGTTGAATCGATTGTTCCCTTTTGTAATCATCAAATTCATGCAAACTTGTCATTTTATTTATTTTAAAGAATGCAAGAGGAGGGTGTTGCAAATTTTGAAACCCAATGCAATAACTGAAGTAGTCAGAATTGACATTTTCTTTTGAAATGTGGAAGAATCAAATGTTGCTTGACTGGGTGTTTGGAAATATGACTTGTTTGGCTAAGTTGACAGGCTTAAGGGAAGTTAAAAGATGATGTTAGGTTATGTAGGAAGGTTCTCCTTTTGACATTCCTTAGATGAAAAATTTGCATAAAGTGGAATTACAAAAACTGACAATGTTGTTTGAGTTACAATGAAATTAAATTACAAAGGGTTAGAAAAAAAAGCGTACGTTGCCTCCTTATAACAATAGTACGAAAAAGATGAAAATAATTGTTCAAAAAAGACAGGATATGAATAATTGTCCTAATGTGATTGAGTAGACAAGATTGCCTCTCATTTTGGTAATAATTTGACGAAAACAAAGATAGTGTTTCTTTACCCTATGAACCCGATTTATTGATTATACGAGAGAATTGAAAATTTTCTTCTTCTTTTTTATGTTTTTGTTTTTTCTTTTTTAATCATCATTAAGAAGTTTTGCCACTTAATCAGGTTATAAAAATAAAAAAACTAATCCTTAATCAATATATAATTGGTGTTTTAATAAATTATAGCATATGTATTTGATTAAATAGAAGTGGAAAAACCCCACAAAAATAAGATTTGTAATATACACAACACAATTTCAATCATTAAAATTAATTAAAAAACATAAAAATTAAACAATATTTTAACATGTAAACTATTGACCTTCACATTGCCGCTTATTAAAAAACATAAGATTTGTTAATATATTGTTTAATTTTTATGTTTTTTAATATATTGTTTTTTAACATAGGATTTGTTAATACACTTTTGTCACGGTTAAGTGTATTCCAAAGCGATGCGCATTGCCGCTTAGCGAAATCCACACGCTGGTTTTCCAAGTCAAACACCACCTCAAACCCTTGCTGCTGATAGTTCCCAAGTGTGGCCCCGGGTCCACCGCTCAACTCAGTGTCATCACCACCGTACATCAACATCAAGCACCCGAATTTCCTCCTAACCCAATCACCACCGTATAAAAACTCGTAAAAATAATTTCCCCTAGGCAGCACCACATTCGAATCATTCCCCAAAAAAGGCCACGTCACCGTAGGCTCCCCCACCAACCCTTCTAAATAATAACACGGGCCAAGGCCCCTTTCTTCCTCCACCTTACTCGTGCGCCACTGAACTCGCCCAACTCGCCACCGCGTTGTACAAACTCGCTGGAAACATCGGTTCTGCTGTCAACAACCACGCCGCCGTCCCCTCTGCGGTTCACCCTCCGCAGCATATCCGGCGCCGGAATAGTCCTCTCCCCTACGGATATCCCGGCGAGTCCAACGCAGTAGAAATAAGGATGCTTCGGGTTCCGAAGCATGGAGTCCTATGGAGGTATAATTCCTTGTTTCTTAGGGGTGGATCCATAATTAAATTTAATTAATTTCTTTATTCCCAAATTCACGCTGCTTGCTATATCTTGTTCCTTTGCTACTCTTTCACAGTTTAATCGTCTTGAATGTTATATTGCAATCGAAAAGCTGAACCAACACTTTTCAGGTGCATTCTGGTACTCATATTTGTGTGCGAACTAGATTAAACCGTTAATTTGGCGTGAATATTTTTCCAAGCGTCTGGATGTAGCAGAGAATCATGTAATATTTTTTGCACAAAAACCTGAGAAGCTGTAGCTAAACTGTTTTAAAGGATATTATTAGAGTATTATTTATGATAATATTTAGCTTATATCTCATGTTCCTAGGTTAGATATGAAACTGATAGGTTATTATTCAGTTGGTGTATTGTATTTTAGGTTATAAAAGTGTATTTCACTTTACAGGAAGGAATGAAAAAATTCGACATTTATCTTAGATTTTTCATTTTTCATAACTTCTGTAATAGAAGTTTTAGATATTTTAGAGCAGTGTGGCTTTTAGCTTGCTAACAAAACCCATGTGAATTTTGGCCACAAGTGTTCAGTAATATCATATTATTCTTCTTTGTTGTGGGTAAATAACAAAGAATATCCTGAACACTATTTTGAAGTCGTATGCTTTAGAACAACTGATACTTTGCAGATAACTTGTGTGTTGTTGGCAGTAATTAATTTTTCATGGTATGTTTAATGGAACTGTTACACTGAGAAAATGTTATTTTCGTTCAATTTGGAGGACAGAACATTCAACCTATTAGTTGGTGTGTTGTTGCGTTGTGCTAGTTGTTTTTTTATAATCCGTAGTCAGATAATCATTTTACTAATGTCCAGGTCGAATACATGTATTTGAGGGACTAGTATTCCCTCATTTGTATGCTGGCTGACCAGAAAGCTAGTTCTTTAGGGAAGCTTGAGAGAAGATAAATGGAAGAATATAACAAGAGCAGCATGAAGAAGGCAAGGTTGAACTCGTTGCTGACTACCTTGCTAGATGATCCTATACTTTCTGATGTCCCCAAGAACCCAACTTTGGCAGATGTTGATACTCTCATCAGCTTTGAATTGGGTAGTGCCATGCGCATTTCTGTATTGAAATTGGATGGATCTACACTTGGTAATATTCACATTACCATTAAGTTTTGGAAAGTTTAAATTGCAAGTTTAAAGTTTTTATTCACTAGTTGTTTTGGTGGTATAAGATGTGACAGTGATGAATTCGGCAACAGTCAAGGATTTGAAACTTGCCATCAAGAGGAAGGTAAATGACATGGAACAATCTGGCATGGGTCACCGTCATATTTCTTGGTGAGTTACAGCCTTCTTTTTCTTTTTATTCCATCATCATTTCTCCTTTCTCCAAATGAGAAAAAAGTAAGTGAACTTCTTTATTGTATTCCACAAAAGTATTGCTCATAGCAATATCACTTTCGTCATTGCTGGTAATTTTGTTAACAATAGTGTAACGGTTGGTTTGATGGCAATTGCAGGAAGCATGTATGGGCAAATTATTGTTTGTCGTGCCATAACAACAAGCTTCTAGATGATAATGATGCACTCCAAAATTTTGGTGTACGGAATAATTCTCAGGTATGTCTTTTGCATTCTGTGTTGAAATGGACTTTGTATTTATTCTCTGCTAACGTACTTTCTCTATACTATTCTCTTTTTTCAATATTAGTCATTTAAGTATTATTTATCCTTAAAATAATGGTTGTTTCTATGACATTGATTTATTTCGCTGATTCTCATGATATTTATGTTCAAAAAGTCTGAAGAAAAGCTTTGATAACCTTTTTTGTGTGTGAAAAATGATAGTTTTCTTGTGTTATTACCTGGATTAAGAAGGGCGTCTGGTATTCCTTAAGCTTTGGAAGCAAATGGAGAGCAGAAGAAGAATGAATGAATGAAAAGGGAAAGAGATACATAACCTTTTTATAGAATAGTATTAACCATAACTGTCCATGAATTAAGGGATGTTTTCCTATGTATCGGGGATACTCCGAATATTTTGTATAGTTGAAGATATTTGTTCGTATATCTTGAATATTCCGAGTATCATACTCAGGTGGACTAGGATACTTGTCTATTCCGAGTATCTCAGGTGGACTAGGATACTTGTCGGGTATGTAAGTGATGTGAAACTCTTTAACATACCAGAACATAGTCCTCCAATCGAGCACCAAGATGTATGAGTGAAATGAGACTCTATCTTCGATCTTACGGTGGGTGCTAATATTTCGTCTAGAAATGAGTGTCTTATAATCATATCCGTTATGCTAACAACATTTGAGTCAATTATTACGTTCGAGGTATGTCTTTCTTAAAACTCTAATCACTTCAAACTTTAATCAGTTACGATCTTGTCTTTAAAATGTGTTTCACTAGATTGAGAGATGAACATATATATAAAAATTATTCTTGACCTCGACTTTTAAGTGACATGAAACTCATGAGCATACCTGAAAAACTTGCATCTTACTTTGTTACATTATGTTAGAAATTAGGGCTTGTAGTTTCAAATAAAATTATATTGCGTGGTATGCTTACCCATTCTTTTAATGAAATGTAGAATTTGTGTTCAAGAAATTTCTGTTTATGCAGCTGTTTTACTCTCTAATCTATCCTTTTTTGTTCTTTTGTATTGTTATTTCTTTGTTGAGCGTTATTTACAAAATGCAAAAACTCCTCATTTTTTCATGCCATGTCCACTTATTGACTGATTTAACGGAGTGTAGTTTAATGGTTATTTATTCCTGTGCAGGTTCAATTTGTACCCTTTGTCATGACAAAACAATCTCGGAGGCACTCCAAGAGGAGAAAGCATCGTTTTTTTCATGGCCTTAATAAACTTTCCTGATCAAACAAGCCCATGTGAGATTGAGACTTGGTTGGACTAACAGAACTTCAACATTTACTGTTGTTTTCATCTTGCAATCTCATCAGCCAATAGCCTTTCCAAGCATACAATCGGACAACCCAGTATCACACTAATTTCTGTTTGAATCTTCACTACATGGAAAATGGAAAACCTCATCTCACGGAGTGCCTTGTCTGATGTTTTAGTGGAGGAATATGTTGTCTAAATCCTGCTGTTATGCTGTGGGAAGCCAATTGTAGAGGATTGTTTGGCCCATCCTCATGCTCGTGCTTTATTGCTGGTGTTAACTAAAAGAACGACTTTATATAATTGTACCTAACTTCTATCTAAATATATTTTTTAACTTTGTTACAAACCAATGATTCAAACATATGTAGACAAAAATTACCCAAAAAAAAAGATCATTGGCCTATTGGCTTATTTGTTGTTGATGATCGTAAGTTGGTGTTTTATCATTATATAAGCAGTCTCTACCTTCCTTCCCCTAAAAAAAAATCTACATATTAAGTTCTTAAAAATTGAAAGTAAATATATTAATATAGCCATGAAATTTAAATGCAGGATTTAAATTCTCTATGAAAAAATTTAATATAAAACTTAACACCATGTTGAATAAGTGAGTTATGACTAATCCGAAACAAATATCACCGAGAGTTCCTATTTCCAAATCAAAACTGAAAACTGACATTTCCACATTTCTGCCCCATGAAATTTTCCCAATTACAGCTTATAACTAACAAGATCCACAGGGAACAATCACTGTTCCTGGTAAAGCATCAACACTGAGTATAGATATAGCACTTCCCTCCCTATTATCCCATTTTCTTCAATTCCAATGAATCTACTGAGAATTAGTCACCTCATTGGCATTGATAGAACAGTTCAAATGCTTCTCTAGCTTCTTTAAGCATCGTATCCTCTAAACTCAAACCACTAAGAGTTAAAGCTTGTCTGCATTCAATATAAACATCAAAAACAACGAAACACCATAGTTAAATATATGGGTAAAAGGATTTAGGGTTTAGGTGATCAATTTATTTTTTTGAAAAGTTTCAATTTAATTTTAGATTTTAAATAAATTAAAATAAAAATTTTAAAAATATTTTTTTCAAATACATTTTTATTATAAATAAGTTTTTATATATTATTATTAAACTATAATTTAATCTCTTTATATTATAGTAAAATATAATTTAATTTTTATATATAATAATTAAATTACATTTTATCGATAATATACGTAAATCTATTTAAAACAAAATATAATTAAAAAATAAATTTATATTTTAAATTATTTATTTATTAATATTCAAAAAATTAAAAAATATTATAATTTTAAAAGACAAAATAATCATTAAATATGAAATATCAAAAAGTACAAATCTAATTTAAATGTCTTAAAAACCATAAAACACTTAATGTCTTAAAAACCATATATCACAAACTCTCTTCCTACATTCCGAACCAGTGTTTTTTTATTTAATGCCTACTATGCGTAACCAGCATCCAGGTCCAGTTTTCTTTTTTCTTAATGGGAAAAGAGACGACATAGAGCAGCTACGCCGGAGCGTGAACGGCATGGCGGAGAAAGCGGCGGCGCCACCGCCGTCGAAGCCTCTGACAACTCAGGAGTGGAAAACTCTAATCGAAGACTTCCAGAATGGCGTCCACCACAAGGGGAACTCTCTGGATCCTCTCTTCGATCTTCTCCTCTCTTCTCCGCAAGGACTTCCCTCTCTTCCTCAAGCTTCAACTTCTCGTCTTCCTCGACGAATTCTCCCTCTCCTTCTTCACCTCCCATCACCATCTCCTTCGTCTCATAGACGCGCTAAAAGCCGTCGTCCACGCGCCGCTCGACGTTGTCGCGTCCACCTTCAAAGACCAGTTCATGGTCTCCGCCACCTCGATTCTTATCTGCGCATCGGAAAAAAACGTCATCGACCCTCAAACGGAGAATAACCTTGTCGAGCTGCTGCTGACGGTTATAAACCGGCCGAATTTCGGTTCAAACCGGCACACGCGCGGCGTCGCGTGCGAATGCCTAAGGGAATTGGAGCGGTGGAAACTGGGTTGCTCTCGGATGTGGTTGTACACTTGTGGAGTCTGTGCCAGAACGAGCGAACTCACGCTTCACAGTGTTACCTCTTGCTCTTTACTTCGGTGATTCACAACATCATCGCTCGGAAATTCAGTGTTTCGATTCTCAACACATCGGTTCCGATGGTCCCTTTCGACGCGCCGAACTGCGTGACGGATTCGGGTTCGGGTTCAGGTTCGGATTTGAATATGAAGGAGTTGAGGAGGGCATTGGCGTTTTTGCCGGAGTGGCCGCAAGTGATGACTCCTTGCGGGATGATGGAGTTATGTGTATGATAAATCCCGTGGCTGTGGCTTTGGAATTGCAACCTTCCATGCTGAAGGTGCAGTTGTTTGGGATGATTCATTCGTTTGACCCTGTTCTGTGTCATATTGTTTTGGGCATGTATTTGCGTTTCTTGGAAGCTTTTGATGGTCAAGAGGGAGAGGTTTCTCGCAGGCTCTTGTTGATTTCGAGGGAATCTCAAAAATTATTTGGTGTTTCGCTTGTTGGCTATCCACTGGTTGTTGGGTTTCAATCGGTTGATTTTCGAGAAGACGAAGCCCACCATTGAATTGTGCTCCACTTTTTACCCCGCTCTGTTTGATCCTCTGGCTTTGAAAGCCTTGAACCTTGACCTTCTTGCGTTTTCCTCGGTTTGTGCTCATATTTTGAGGCTGAAAAGTGGTTCCGATGAGTTGATTGATTCAGTGAAGCTGTTTGAAAATGGTCTTGTTTGTGTCTCTTCTTTCAAATGGTTGCCTCCCATGAGAACAGAGACTGCTGTTGCATTCCGCACCTTCCATAAGTTTCTGATTGCTTCTTCTTCTCATTCTGACAATGATCCTTCCACCACAAGAAATCTGTTGGACTCTGCCATTTTTCACACTTTACAGGTGCTAAGAGTGTTTCTATTTTAGAAGTTGCATTCTAGTTATAGGAACCCCAGTATGATAGTAACTGAAAAGTTCAGATTCCGTGGTTAATTTTTCTTTCATTACTGCTGTGGGCTAGGCATGATGTATTCAAGTTTCTTTGTTATGTTTTCCAGGGTTTGCTTGTGAACATGATGTAGGAAAGTAGAAGACTTGGTTCCTGTTGTTGTAGCTTTTGTTGACCGGTTACTCTCCTGCCAAAAGCATTCTTGGTTGGGTGAGTGCTTAGTTCAGAAATTTGATGAGCACTTACTTCCAAAAGTGAAAATGGATTATAAGTTGGTTTATTGCTTCCCAACATTTGATAGAAATTACTGAAAATCAGACAATACCTCCTCGTGGGTTGTTAGAGTTCCTCACGACCTTCATGATTTTCCTTGTGGAGAAACATGGCCCAGATACAGGGATGAAATCTTGGTCCCAGGGAAGTAGAGCTCTTGGAATTTGCCGAACTATGTTGATGCGCCACCATAGCTCTAGATTGTTCCTTAGATTATCTCGTCTGCTTGCATTTATATGTCTATATTTTCTTGATCTGGAGGTTCGTGATAATTCAAGGTATTGCATGGTGCCGCTTTTGACATAATATATTTTCCAGTTTTCTCCTTCACCCTCTGGCTTATAAATTATTTCTTGAAATTAAAAATAACTGGACGCTTTAGACGGCCTGCAAAATAATTTCCTGCCTATGTTGATATATGGTATTTTGCAGGATCTACTTGCGTATGCTAGTCTGCATTCCAGGGAAGAAGCCTAGAGACATCCTGAGTCTCGGAGACATGATCCTTGGAATTTCTCCATCTTCACATTCAACCTCATTTTTCAACGTTCAGTCACCTCGACCTTCTCAGAAATTTAAGTTGTCAAATTTAGTTGTAAGTAACACCAAACCAGCTTATCTTGAGAGCATCAGAGAACTCAAAGCCCCTGTTGAGGAAAAAGACTTTTCTGACAGTTCCAATACGGAGATCCTTCCTGAAACTGGAAGGATAAATCAATCAACCACAAGAGCCACTACGTGTTATGGATTCTAAAGTTGCAGAAATTTTAAATACATTTAGGAAGTACTTTTCCTGCATTCTTGACTTCAGATATATGCCAGGTCTCAAAGTCAGAGAATATCATGCAGTTTGACTTTGAATCTAGTACTTTCAATCGCATGTGGGGATTAGATAAAACTGTCACATCCTTGGAAGAGATAGATGCACTTCCTGCTATATATGCTACCGTGTTAAAATTCTCGTCATCTGCACCGTATGGATCGATTCCATCCTATTGTATACCTTTTCTTCTTGGTGAACCTTACAATCAAGATCCTGCATCTCAAAATGTCTCCCTGAGAATTGTTCCTGTTGGTGTGGGAAATGATTCCAGATAAAAGGAAAAATATAGAGCGCCTGTTGTAATTGATTTAGAACCCATAGAATAGAACCCACACCAGGTATAGTTGATGTTCACATTGAAACAAATGCAGAAAATGGTCAAATAATCCAAGGTCAACTTCAAGGAATCACAGTAGGCATAGAAGACATGTTTCTCAAGGCTATTGTCCCATCAGACATTCCAGAAGATGAAACACCTCGATACAACTTTGACCTGTTCAATACTTTATGGGAGGCATGTGGCTCATCTTCCAGCACTGGCCGGGAGACCTTTCAATTGAAAGGGGGTAAAGGTATTCCTGCCATCAGTGGAACTCAATCTGTCAATCTTCTTGATGTCCCTGCAACCTCTTTGATCCAGGCAACTGAGCGCCATTTATTGATGCCGTATGGCAAGGGGGAATCATTCAAAACGTCATTTTGGATTCTCCCACTTACTACTTCTGTCACTCCGTCTTACTTACAATGATGAAGAGTGAGAATGGGGCTATTAGCAATAGTAGGAAAAGAAACCTAGGTTGTTTTCTTGTTCTAATATTTCTTCCACCACGGTTCCATCTCCTTTTCCAAATGGAAGTTGGAGATGTTTCAACTTTAGTTCGTATACGTACAGATCATTGGCCTAGCTTAGCCATTGATGATTATTTAGAAGCCTTGTATCTTTCATAAGAGCTCATGACCTACATCGATGACTGCAGATGAATAATCCTCAATCAGCTTGTCAATGTATGTTCTTTTATCTTTTGCTTTTAAAAACAGTATGTTTATGTTATAAGTGCACTGTGGCTGTGCTGTTCTGTTCAATAAAAAATCATTTTTGCTTCTATTCTTTTTAGGAGACCATATTGGGTAATAATTGTTCCCGTTAGACCTTGACCATTTATATATAAGTGTATATCAAGATTTGTTTTTCGTATGACATAGATATAGTCCTTGTAAAAAATAAATGAGTTTGCAATTCTTTCAAAAATGAATTATTCAATATGATAAAAAATTGTATTGATTTATGTATTATATACTTGTGAGATATCTAACTCAAATTAAAATCTTCCTTTAAAAATATACAGGAACAGAAAACACTCAAAATATAACTGTTTGTTGAGTGTCTAGCAGCACTAAGGCAAGTGCATGGGTGTAGTAGAACTAACAAGGGATTCATCTAACTATAGCTTGAGCTATAACTCTGATGCAAGATATGATGAACAACTACATCTTATGGTCAATTTGGCCGAGTGAGAGGAGAAGGTTAGCTAGCAGAGTTAGCTGTTAAGATTGCAACATGTTGAAGGTGACGCTCTGGAACCTTATGAATGTGTGTAGAAGAAAGAGTTAAAGAGGGAAGGTTGTGCTTGTTCATTGTGTGCTTGATTGGAAGAATATAAAGATCATGGCATTGGTGGGCCTTCCCTCAAAACATCTTCAGCAGAAAGTGATGTGCACGTGAAGTAAAGCTTTGTTTTGACATTGAAGTAATCACAAATGCCATGACCCTAACGATTGAGTTAGAAGCAGAACGTGTGGACTGAATTTGTTGAATACAATCCTGTGTAAAGGCCAAGATGAATGAGGGAAAACAGAGCACACATCCTTGGCCTCATCATTCACTTTGGACAGAATAGAATCCCATGGCACAGGTCATGAACTAGCATTTGAAATTTTGCTAATTATGCAATAGGTGTTTGTGTATGCCAAAAGTTGCAGAATTTATTCATTTATGATAAAATTACATATGGAGAACTTTGAACCACAGAAAATAAAGCACTAGATTCCCTCTCAAATTGTGTTCTTTAGTATCAAACTTTTGCTTTCCTTTGTTACTCATCATCAACAAGAAACATTTATAAAAAATTATTGATGGAATATTCCATATTCACTCATTAAAAAAGGTAGTTGCTACACTACAAAAGACAATTTCTTTTTTTGTATATCCAAGTATTGATCTTCAACAATTATGAATATAAGTAAAAAATTTTGGTTTAACTCTTATCTTTTCTACCATTTTCTCCTTTTGAAGTTGGCAATGTACCTGCAAACATAGATAACACAATTATGTTATTATTGTTGGTCTCAATTTAAGATATTAATTAATAATTACAAACAATTAAAATAGAAATATTTATTTATGTTTTCCTCCAGTAAATTTTACCGTTACTTTCTCCTTTTGAAGTTGTGCTACAAACATATATATAAAAACCATATTGATTAAATAATTTTGTCCTTATAAAATTAGTAAATTTTGTTTTAGTTTATATAGTTTTTTTCAATGTTTATTTTTTAAAAATATAGAAACAATATTTTCCAGTTAATGGAAGATGACACTTCAATGTTTTCAATTAACATTAGGTTTTAAACTAACTTTAGAATCACAAATTCTCCATTAAGGGAAGTCAAATTTGTAAAAAGTTTCAAACTTTACCATCAGTGTCACAGGGAGGAATAGAATCACCGGTAATCTTATCATTAACTTCCGATGAAGGGAGTGTCTGAAGATTTGGATCTACAAAGTGAAAAATTCCCATTATCAGATCAAGGATTGCAATATTCAAATCAGTGCCCAACTTAATTAGCAAATTCCACGTAAAATTTATTCAATGAGAGTAAATGTGATAAAAATCAGCACGTGCAACCTCATTCTAGTCCTACCTGAAGAACTTGGCTGAAGTTTGTTAGATGGTATTTGCAGGTCCTTCAATTGTAGTATCTGGCAAAGCTTCGTATTTTCCTCCGAAAGTTCATCAATGAGTTGTCGCTGTTTCATAACCTAAATCCATAGTAATAATAATACTGATATTTCATAATTGAAGTGACTGAACCATTCCAAAAGTTCAAGAAAAAGTTATATTGTTGGCTTCAAATAAAAAAAAATACCGTCTGAAGTAGATTGTCCTCTGGCTTCATGAGTTCAGCCTACAAAGTATCTTTGAATCAGATTTCCATACAAAATGTAAATTCTATGATTTTATCTATTTGCATGAAACATGAGGAATATGTGAAATTCCACGTTAAAAAAAAAAAAAATCAAATTAATGGATGAAAAGGCACAGTAGCATCTGATGATAATCATCTCATGCATGAAACTCAGTTCATACAGCTTCATCAAGTCTTCCTCCTTCCTTCAAAAGGGTGAGAATGAGTTGGATTTTAAAATTCAATCCATATCCAATTAAATGAATTGGATTTAAAATCGGTATCCATTTTAAAGAATCAGTTTGGATTAGTTTGAAACCGGTTTTTAGTTCAATGATGGATTTTGTCGAAAGTTGCTAATAACCTTCTCTGTTTGGATGTCAGAAGCAGAGTCAACTGCAACACGATTTGAAACTTTATTGTCAAAGGCCGAACCAATATTTGTAGGTTGAGACCCTACAAGATCTTGTGATAGTTGGTTCACTGATTTAGTTGCCAACTGCATCATGCTTTCCTGAGAAATTTGGTTAAATGATTTAGTTGCCTGCTGCATCATGCTTCCTGCAGATATTTGATCTGCTGATTTATTTGCCAATTGCATCATGCTTTCAGCAGAAACTTGGTCGGTAGGGACCTTGCTCATGGCACTCTTTGAGGCTGCTGGCGTCGGTGATGCACCCTTACCAAAGGGTAAACCAGGAATAAGTCCAGACATCTTTGTCATTGATTCCTGGCAAATTAAAGATTTTATCATATATATATATATATAGAAGGTAGAAAATTGAAGACAACTTTTTGAGATGAGAAAAATCCCACATACTACTAGATTAGATTTAAGTTTAGTCACCCCTGATCTCATAGACAGGCCTGCCAGTGAGTAAATGAAAAAATCAGCCATCAACTTAAGAATTTGCATGAAACATAAAGGTTTTATTCAAGTTCAGCAATTGAGCCTACAGCACCCTGAGGTTTAGGTAAATGGTGGCAACTCCTAGCTCAGTTTTCTGCTTGCACATTTTTATTCTTTAGTTTATAATGCATATGAATGTAAAAGTTTATACCTTAGTTTGTTTAATATGATTATTTCTCTCACAAATTAATTTTAGTAACCACAAGGAGAAGGTTAGAATGTCAATTGCAAGCAATAAATAACTAATTAATATGTATGATTATGATATATTAAGACAGTGCAGAATCAACAAACACTTGAAAGCATCCTCCTAAGTCCTAGGAGCATGTTCAAGATTTTCTAATCATAAAACATGTTGAGAAAATGTATAATATATGAAAATGTCAGGTCCCTAAATGGATAGTTTTGGGAATAAATCAGCAGAAATGATCTAAAGTTTTCCAAAAGTTGTGAAAAAGTTTAAAAATGACCAATGCTGATGGAATGAACAGATAGCTCAAAAACACCTTATTATAATAAAGATCCCAAAAGAAAAAGGAAAACATGAAGCAAACGATAAAAAAGGGAACGTAAATGTAAAGACTTGAAAAGGAATGCATACCATACAATATAACATCTATCAGACTGAGAGCAACACCATAACAAACACCTAATGCTATAAAAATCAGAAAAAGGCGACATTATTTGACAAAGAATTTAGAAATATGAACAGATATGATGTACCAAATCCAAAACCATGGTGAAAGCCAACTCCATATCCAACCATGCCCTGAATACTCGAAGCTCCCAACATCCTAAACTGTGTAAAACATGAGAAAGTGATATTTCACCAAAAGCAACAGAAGCAACATGGTATTGACAGCATACTTCAAACAGGAAGATGATGGATTCTGTCTTACCGAAGTATTGACTTGCTTGCTAACACTAGAAATTCCATCAGTTGCACCCTTGGTGGCGCTCATTACTTGATCCAACATCGGTATTGTACCTACAACATAATGAATACATTGGTCAAAGAAACAGAACTCTCAATTATGTTTTAGTAAGATTGCTCAAGTCTAAACAAATGTTGTGCATGCAGAAGAATCAATCATGAGTAAACTAGTGGAGAATCAATGTACTTTTACAGTATCATTTTGTAGACTTTAAACCCATCAACCATTTGGAAAATAAGCAAATACAAGTATTGGAAAATGAGTGGATAAAGATACGATCTTTTCATTGGTGCAGACATGCTTAATAAAATAAAATACGCATGAATATGATATATGAAAGAGTAGGGAAATGGGAAAACTAATACTGGGTTTTTTAGGAGTTTGAGGGGGAGTCTGGGAAGTTTTTGGCTTGAAGAAGCTTTTCCAATCCATCTGGTTCAGTGTGTGTCTCAAAGACAATGGAAGTAGCTAAATTTAAAGGGCTGATTCCAAAACCTCAAAGTACTTTACCCATCTTCAAAGTAAATGGATTCTCACTTCAAAATACATTTCTTTTCTTCCAAGTGTGTCGTCCATTTACCCTCTAACTTTTTCCTTTTCTTTCTTATCAAATTAGATTGGTGATTAAATTAGTTGCTTAATATAAAGGGTTTGATATTTTTTATTTGACACTTTTTGATTTCTACATGATAATACATGGATATATTCAAACACACACTCCAACATATAAATTTTATTTTATCATTGGTTACAGTTGTTGGAATAACAAAGAATTTGGAAACAACTGCACTCTATTTTTTATAAAATTATTAAACATTTCTACAATAAAAAATATCAAATAAGAATATATGTTACAAAAATTCTTATTATACTGTCAAATTTATAATTTCAATTTTCTTTGATGTTTGTAAATAAGTTATATAATGTTATAACTATAATACAATTATATTATTTTAATTTAATAATATATTTGAAGTCCAATGAAATAATCTTAAAAAATATATATTTATGTATATTTGTTAACGGTTAATTAAGTTTAAACATATAATATAATATTTAAATATAATAAATGGTTTGATTTGATTTTATCAATTTCTTATTTTCATTTTGAAATACAAATTAAACTGATTTATCAAGAAAATAAAATCAATCAACGAAATTTAATTTTTATTGTTTTAATTTTTTTTTATGTGAAACAGAAATTTATATATTATTTATGTAATTAATTATTTAAATAATTTAAAATTTAATTTTAAATATTTTTATATCATTTCAAATTTTAAAAAATATTTATTTTATGTTTAAATATTTTCCTTTTTAATTCATATTTATTATTATTATTATTAAATTTAAGTAAATTTTATTTTAATTTAATATATTACTCAATTAATATACTTTTATTTTATCAAATCGTCAAATTAATTATAAATTTTTTATTGTTTTTTTACTTTTAATTCTTTGCTATAATTCAAATAATTTCATTTTTATCTTATCTCTCTTACTTCTTTCTTTATTTTTTTCTTTTTCTTTTTTCATTTTCCACTTCTTCGTATTCATAGAGGTTTCATTAATAAGCCAACTCATAAAACAATTTTTTAATTGCTATTACTTCAAAATTATTCAAGAGCAATCATATGTTTGACCCCAATTTAAATTATATTTTCAACAACACATTCGATAATTTAAAGACTGTTATTGTAAATAAATAAGTAACCCAATATCAAATCACTATGTTGAATGGAAGTGACAGGATCTTGTTAAGAGGAAGGTGACAAAATAAGAGTGTATGAATATGATGTGTACGTAATAGAAGGTAATATTAAAAAAAATTATATAATATTGTTCATTTTAAAAGGACAAATTCTTGTATAATAACCAAATATAAAACAATTTGTTCTGAATCTTCAAATTGAACATCAATTAATAACAAATCAACCCACCTTACAACATACATAACACGGGTAAAGATCTATAAATTTTAGTAACACATTTTACTTGTTCACGATCAATAAATATTTGATTTGGCCACATATTCAAAATAGTTAAAAGTAAATAAATAAAACAAAACAACTATAGGTTTGATTACCGAAGATGCAATTTATTTAATCAACTATAAATTAGACTTTTGTTATTTTATCTTTGTTTTAATTATTCGTTATTCGAAAGTTTTATCTTCTTACTCTTTTTATTCTTCAAATCCTGATCATCCATAACAGTGATATTTTTCTATTTGCTCTTTTTTTAATAATTTAAGATGCAAAACTTGTTCTAATTTATTTTATCTACACAAATACTATAAAACTTAAATGTTGTTACAATTAATCATAAACATAACATAAGTAGCATGAAAAACAAAATCACCAAACAAATTTCATTTTCTAATTAAGAATTGTACTCAATTTCACAACTTTTGCCATGTTTATAATATTTTCAAACATCACTTAACTTTGACTCCTAAATTATACATGTTTCACGTCTTAAATTTATTAAAAAAGAATGCTCAAAATCACACAATTCACAATTGTTATGGAACAGCCGAATTCTCCAAAATTAAGAGATAAAAAAACTAAATGTTTTCTAATCAAATAATCAAAATAGATCTTAAAAATAATTCAAAAGATATCCTATTTATTCCATCTACTTTTTACCAATTAGGTTACTGACCACGAAATATTTTTTTCAATCCCATTTTACCATAAAATATTTAATATTTAATTAATAAAATGATAATTTAATTGTAATATCCGGAAACCTCGTAACCCATGAAACCCAGACTAGTAGAGTTTGGAAGAAAAGCCAAAAAATGCATGTGAACCAGGATGTCGGGAATACCCTTTAGCATGCAAGAACTTATAAATTTACTACTATTATTACTAACCTACTTTTTTCTTTGTTTTCTTCGACACTCAAAACAATCACTACATGGCACCTTATTTCTATTTCTACATAAAGAACTTGCTTCAAGTTTGCTAGATGGTACTTTCAGGTCCTCCATCAGTATCCGCCTAAGTCTCTCATTTTCCTCCACAAGTTCTTCAATGATTTTCTGGTGTTTCAAAACCTAAATCCACAAGAAAAACAGTTAAAACCATAAGATTTTTGGTCAGAATATAAAATAATGATTTTGGCTACTAAACCATTGAAAAGAATAACCGTGTCCTAGACAAAAAACAATCTAATTGTACATAAAAATTACCATCTGAAGTATTATCCTTTCTGACTGCAATTGTCCAATCTACAATGTATCTTAGAGTCAGAATTTCATATAATATTTGTTTAACCGCGGAAAAACTCATAAAAATTAGAGAAAAATGAACATTCTATCATTCACGTAATTATTGATTTGGAAGATGATGATAATTGTGTATTAAATCTAAAATTAATCATATATAAAGAAGCAAGTAGAATTTAGGAATAACAAGACTCGATAATTCAACCAACAAATGATGCACGCTTGAAGAAGTGCAGAAATCAAAAGAGTTTTTATACTCATCCCTCACAACTACCGACCATATTTTTGCAGGCTCAAAAATTTCAACCAACAAAACTTCTGTTTCACAAGTCAAATAACAAATAATGTACAATAACTTCTGATAGGACGAGGGGATGCAGAAACAAAGACATTAATAATTACGATATATATAACACAAAAAGGATAGATACATTATCAACGCAGGAGGTTTATATGTGAGTTTCAGGATATCAGAGTATCATGTTTGATCTAATTCATAAAAAATCTAGTCAATGATGTAACATTCCCCTGTTATTGCCCCAAAACAATTACATAGGAAGACAAGAGTTATTCTTTGATACCCAGGAATGGCATGTGAAAATAGACATCTTTACCGAACCATCGTCACTTTTAGTTATACTCCCCCACCCTTGTTACCACCAAAGCGGCGGCAACATCACACCAGCATTGTCAACACTGAAATAACCATTACCTCTATTACCGCCATCCAACCATGGCTAGCCCTGAGTTTTTTACAAATTTCACAAAATACTTTTGAATATTTATAGAAACTAAACACCTTTGGCAACATATTCAAGAATCACATTCCGCCAAAAAAGGGCCATAACTCAAGTAACTTAGAGAGACACTAGATTCCACCAAGGCCGCTTCACCTCAATTATAGCCCACCGTCCCCATCTCCATAATATGTCTAGAACATTCCTAGTATTCCCACATAAAAAAGATGAAACAAATTCGACGTATATAACTATTCCAAGGGGCAAATAGCTCTAGTCTATGTCTCTTCTCAACATTCTGTACCAATGCAGAATGCAAATTCTTTCACTTACTCACATGCACGTAAGAATCATTAAAAATCAAATCAATGGCTAGAATTAGAAGGCATAGCATTTTATTGTTAATTATGAAAATGAGTGCATACTGCTTCATCAAGTCCTTCTCCTTCCCCTTTCAATACTGGATTTTGCAGAAAGTTGCTAATAACCTTCTCAGTTCGGCTGCCAAATGCAGAGTCAACTGCAGTGCCTCTTAATGGAGTATTTTCAAAATTTAAACCATTTTGGACAGGATGAGACCCTCCCAGGCCTTGGGATACTTGATCAGTTGATTTAGTTGCCAACTGCATCATGCTTCTAGCAGAACTTTGGTTTGTATTGACTGTACTTACGGCATTTTGCAAGGATGGTGGAAATGCACCCTGATTAAGGGCTATACTGGGACTAAGTCCGAACTTCGTCATCATCTTTGTCATTACATCCTATAAAATTTAAGATTTTATCCATGAGATACAGAAAAGGGAAAATAGATGGCAATACTTTGGTGATAAGAGAAAAAATCACATACTACAAGACAAGATTGAATTTGATTCAAAACCCCTGGTTTCACAGCAAGACCTGACATAATAAAAGCGTAATAATTTAGCTATCAACCAAAGCAGGCGTGCAAAATATGAAGAGCCTTCGTCAACTAAAATGATCAAACAAAAATAACCATTTCAAGCAACAAACATAATATGGCCAAGGATATAGAAGATAACTAAGTTTCAAGCATGATCAGCATTTGAGTCTACAGTGTCCAAAGATTTCGGAACAGTGTAGCAATTTATAGAGAACATCTGCTGCTTCCACTTTTCTTTTCTTTTTTCTTTAGTATAATGCATGGTAATGTATAACATTACACTGCAGTTTGTTTGATATAAATCTTTCTCTTCTGCATTGCATAATATATATCAAAACTGAGAAGCAGCATGCAGTGAGCCAAAGTTCCTTATAGTTTTTAAAATCAGTTTCATGAGCCGAATACACGGAAACGGACCTCCAAGGAAAGATTTTGAGATTTTCTAAGCATATAAAATGTTGAAATACCAAAGTTTCAGTTCCATATATGAAACATTTTGGGGACTAATCAGGAAAATGTCGTAAATTTATTTTGGAAAACATAAAAGTTAAGCAAATTGCCAATAGTAGCACAACAGACAGAATGGAACCAAATGACTCAAACAAAAAAAATTTGGAACAGATGACATGATTATCCAATGTAAAGGCTAAACAAGTAGTTTCCATATAATACACACACGTAACTAAAACGTAATGACATAAAAATCACAAAAGGGTGACACAGTTGGCAAAGAATTGGTAAATATAGTGAACAGACATGGCATACCAACTCCAAAACCATGACCAAAACCAACTCCACATCCAACACCCACTTCAATATTCTTAGCTCCCAACTTCCTCAACTGCACAAAATACAACAAACAAATATTTCATTATAAGCAAAAAATAAAATACAAGTTATAGACGGTAGTAAGAAGTAACAGCATGTATTAAATACAAAACAAATATTTCATTAAAAGCAAAAAAAAAAAAAAAAAATGTTATAGACGGTAGCAAGTAGTAACAACGTGTATTAAATAGAAAAATGATGAATGTTGTCTTACAGACGTATTAACATGCCTGCTAACACCAGAAAATGCATCGGTCGCACCTCTGGTAGCACTCATTACTTGATTCAACATAGGAATTGCACCTAAATGGAATAATGAATAAGAAGTGGTCAAAAATATTAATAGAATTTCAGAAATACATAATAATAATAATAATAATAATAATAATAATAATAATAATAATAATAATAATCTCCTTCATGAAAAAGAATCAATGAATACCCAAATTTAAAGGGCGCCCAACGCCGATGCCGACTCCACAACCGATACCAAAACCTGTAAACACTTGTCCCACCTTCAAAGTAAATGGATTCTCGATTCGAATCGCATTTTTCCCACCATTAACTCTCCCAATTTCCATTCCCCTAATTCACCTCTTCTTTTTCCTCTGTCTCCAAACCCTAAAGCAAAACCCTTCTTCCCTCTGTTGAAGTTACACCTTCTTAAACTTGTAGCTAAATGCCTCAATATTTGTCTGATGAAGTACTTTTACAAAAAATTCTTCGTCAAATATTTAATATTTATTTAATTTAATAAAGCATTAATATTTATTTGTTTATTTTTTACTATTAATTGAAGTGAAAAATATTCACACTGTTATTTGATTGAGTAAAAAAATAATACGGATATACAGTTGGGTAAATTAATTTGCAAATATATTAATGGATTATGTTATTTTCTTGTGTATGTTTAAAATAAATATCTTATCTAAAACATCTCAGCTCTGATAATTTTTTTAACATATAAAAAAAATTTAGTAAGGTTTAATAGTGTGGTATTAATGTTTTTATTTTAAGTTTTACTATATGAAATATTTTACCTAAAATTTTAATATCATTATAATTTTAATACATGAAGTCTTTTCTATTATATTTTATTATTTTTTAAACTTTAAAGTGATGATTTTATTTTTTAAAATTTTATTTATAAATTAAAAAATTATATAAAAATTATCATTATATATAAATCAATTGTTCTATTGGAAATTTTTTAAAACGACAATGATAGGTTGAAGAACAGGGTCGTGTAAATCAAAATATATTTTTTTATAAGAGGTTGAATAAACATCAGAAAAATTAGGATAAAAATAAAATCCCCGTAGAAAAAAAACATATAAAAGACTTCTCTCAACAATTTTTTAAGATAATTGTAGTTGGAATTCAAATATTTTACTTTTACAAATAAATTATATTTATATACAAATAAATATATACCTATGTAAATATATAAATATATAGATACAAATATATTTATATATTTTGATATATTTATATAGTTATATATTTATATATTGGATTTTGATGCTAAATTTGTGAGTGGATCTCTTTATATGAGTTTGTAATTTAATGACTGAATATAATCTTTATAATTTATTTATACAATGATATAAAATAAATTTGGAAAATGCGTCATTCGCTCTCAAGCGTAAAAATACCAGTTTTTCAAGCGAGGCTTGAGTGAGTGAATTTCCGTGAGCTTTAACGTATTTCACTCAAGCGAGAGTCAATTTCACTTTTACCCTTGATCGAAAAATACCAATATAATTTATTTGTAAGTTATTATAAAAAAAGTATAGTAGTTTAGTAGTTGGGATAGTAGCTTTCAGCTCTAAAATACTTGGTTCAAATGTTGTCGAGAATAATTCTTTAACTTAAATGAATTTTTGGTTGAAAAAAAATAAAAACACTTTTTAGAAAATATATAAATATAAATATATATTTACACGAATATATATTTATTTGTATATAAATATAATTTATTATTAAAAAATTATAGTAGTTTATTGGTTGTAGTATCAATTTTTAATTTTAAAATAATAGGTTCGAATTCTCTCAGATGACAATTTTTTAATTTAAATAAATTTGTGGGTGAAAAAAAAAACAAAAAGACTTTCGGCCTAGATTCATTAAAAAAACAAAGTTGAAAAGTGTCAATAAAATGCTTTTTACATGATTCCTATAGGATTATAATAATTAAAATAAAGTCTTAAATATATTATGCTTGAGAAACGAGAATAATGCATGTAGATATAGTACAAGGATATAATACCACACAAACATACACTAGAATACAAAATTTTATGATCTTGGAAACATTACTAGAACAAATAGGTAAACAAACACGATGTGGCTCGAGAATCATAGGGAAGAAAGAGGGGGTGAAACTACAATCACAGCAAATGCATTGTTCTTGAGGTAGGGGAGTGGTACTGTCATAGCATATCCATCTCTCACAGAATCAATCCAGCAACAAACATGAACAGGTTTATTTCCTTCATTAAATGCCACCTTCTGCACTCCAAAATCTTCCCATGTGCTTCCTCTGATCTCATGCTTCATCTTCAATCTCATCCCCTGCTCTCCCCTACTCCATCCATTCATTGAGCAACTTTCCACTTTGGTCACCTCTGAAGACTCTTTCACCACCACACAAAATTCTGAACACAAATCAGTGCCTAGCTTCACTTCTGCTTCCTCAACACAAAGCATGGCCAAGTCCCTCCACAAGTCCTTGCTTGAGTTTACATCCTCAGTAGTGATTTTGAACACCAAGCTCTGAACCCCATTTTGGCTTTGAGCACGGTTAACTATATCTGATGGAAGAGACCCACAGTTTTTCATTCGAGGGTGGTAGAATATGGGTGTCTTAATCTCTCCACGTTGGAGTGACATGTTTTTGTGTATTTCAGCCCATTTTCCGAGGAAGTTCTCCACCAGAAAAACCTCTGCCAATAGCAGGCTGCAACTCATGCCAATAGCATATCCTCCACAATCAAAGTTTGTCACCTAAAAATAAACACAAACACTTCCAATCCATTGAAACTAACCAAATGAGACTAAAAGCACAGAACGAAACAGAACATGTCAACAAAAAAGACAAAAACAAATATTATATATATGTATGTAATGTAACATTTGCCTGAACATAAAAAAGAGGAGAGAACTGAGGACACTGCGCATCAATTTCCTTCCAGAACACGAGCTGGGTCTCAAGATGTTCTTTTTCATTCAACTCAAGAAAGTGTGACAAGCTTGTTGGGTAACACGCCTCCAAGAGTCTAATGCCAGAATCATTGGCCACAATTTCGAACCCTGTGCCTTCCCTTCTTTGAAGGCGACCTGCAAGAAGAGGGTGATCCAACAGAACCCTGGCTAGGGACTCCACGATCCAACCAGCCATGCACCAGCCATTATCACCCTCCATCAAACACTCATAGCACAGAACTATTTGGTAGCATCCGTGAATGGCGCTTGTGTGGTCGTCACTGACCAAAACTTTGCGAACTAGGCGTGGCTCTGTCACCTTGAGTGGTGGCACGCTCATTATAGTCAGAATCTGCAACTCTGAGAGGCTCTGGCTTGGGGCATTACCATTGTGATGCACCTCCATTGTTTGGTTCTGTTTGTTTTAGTTAAGTTCTTGGTCTTAATTGAGAGTGGCCACAAATCTTGGAACGTTGTTGTAGGAGAGGAGAAAAAAATCAAAACTTGCTGGTGCAAATGAACTTCTATTTAATAATATAATAAACATAAAACTTAAATTTTTTATTAATAATATTACTATATTATTAAAATGAGATGTTAAAATTGTTTGATTAAAAAAAGGTATGAAAATATGATTTTTCATATTTAAAAAAAAATGCGTATTCTCTTCAATAAAAAATTGTTATATTGTTTATTTAATAAATTATTTAAACTTAAATTATAAATGAAATTATAAGGAACTTTTCTTTGGAAAAAAAAAATCGAAGACATGTGACATGATTTTAATTCCAAACAAACCAACTTTTTCATAATGATTTATGATTTAGCACTTAAGTCAAACAAATTATCATTTAACTATTTGTAAAAGCTTAGTATCCTTTATTCTATAACAAAATTAAAATATATATATATATATATATATCTATAAATTAAATAGTTATATAATTTATAAATTATTTTATATACAAAATAATATAATCTAGAAAAAAATTGTCTAAAATTCTTATAAATGAGCTTTTCTAAAAAAAAATTGAATATACAATATTTCTAGAATTGGCTTAAATTGAAAAATCAATTATGAAACGGATATAAAAACAATAATTTATTAAATCATAAATTATAAATTTTACGCTCCAAAGTACTGTTCAATATTTTTTTATTTTTCTTTTGATTCTTTTAAAAACAAATTAATTTCCTTAAATGAAGAGGGTGAAGTAGTTTAGGGTTTATAGATTTGCTTCATTTTAAAGTTCCTTAAAGTCAACGTCAGTTAATAGTTTAACTATATTTTTAATATACAAAAATAATTTTATTTTTTTTAGCACCCTATTTAAAAAAAAAAATCAGCCTTTCACACAATCTAAAGTTTTTATAAAATAAATTAGAGTTTTTCATTTTTCTGAACATTCAATTTATTATCTTATTTGAGTGCAAGTATTAATATTGTAGTTTTCAATACAGAAATTTTTAATATGTTAAAACTTGAAATAAACTAAATTTTTTATCTGTATCATTTTTTTAATTCTATTGTTTCAAGAAAATACAATATCTTTTTATAAAAATAAATAGATGCCATAACCATACTGAAAAATTAGGAGCAGCAAAACATTTTTAAAACATTTTATTGATAATTGATTATTTAACATACAAGTTTGATAATCTTATTTTAATATATAATAATAATAATATTTTAAAATAGATTATTATTATTATTATATATTAAAATAAGTTTGTTAACTAATTATATATAAATAATCCATTGTCAACATATCACCATCTTTTTCTTTTATCTGTTGACATGGACATATTTATTAATTAATTCATTAATTTTCTTTAAAAAGTTATGTATTTAAAATGTGAATAATGAGTGCATGCATCATTAAAGAATATTATAGATGCTACAAAAGTTGAAAATTATTTTGATATCTTTATTTTCTAGTTTTCAAAAATTATTTTAACAAAATAATTATCAAACAAGTTTTTAATTTTTGAAAAATATAAAATTGAAAAAAAAGTAAAAGAATAAGAAAGAAAATTAAAAAAAAAGGAAAAAAAATTCATAGATTTTATATAATCTATATTAGAACACACGGATATTATTTTGTTGATCCAACAATATTAATCTTTATATACATTTGAATCCACTAAATCAGACAGAAATTATATAAAACCAATAATTTTTATTTTGTCGTTATGCAATTTTGGAGAAAACAATAAATGCTATAATAAATTATTCGAATTAATTCCAACTCTCTCTCTTTCTCTCTTTATCCATGCTACCCTACATGTTGTCTTCCCATTTATTACTCCCTCTGCCCCCTAAATTTATGTGCATGCATTAAACACAATGTTAATACAATTTTAACAATTAGGGTTTTAACCCTTAAATTCTTTATACATATATAAAAAAGGGTTGATTTTTGTATAATTTTATTTGTGTTTTATTTAGAATATGATCATATATATTAATTTAAAATTATCTTAAATGAGAGTTATTTATTGAAATGCTTAATTAAACTGAATAAATTTTCATTAAAGAAATCTTATAAATTTTTGTTAATTATTTCTTCAAACAACTTTTAAAAATAAATAAATGAAGAGAGAAATAAAAGAAAATAATATTTTTAAGAAAATAACTTGTGGCATTATTGAATTTCTTAATTTGGTGTGGCAGTTGGTGAACCTGGCACCAACTATATATATATATATAGAGGACCATGTTATTGAATGGGAGTAATGGATGTTTTGATTTGTCTCTTTATGGAAATGTTGATGGAGGACAATGATGGTGGTGAATGGGGCCATAGTCAACTTTTAAAATTCAACACCTTCAATTACTGCTATTTTATTTAGACCAGACCATGCACATCACCTACTTCACCACCATTTATTACATGTCACTTGGAGGGATACCTCACATTTAAAACATTCATTTTTTTTTTGAATTATTGGATGAAATAACTGATAATAACCATTGGACCTAGAAAATAATACACACACAGAAAATGCACCTGTAAGGAAAAGAGTACACCTAAATGCAGTTCAAGGGCTCCTGCTATTTACACTCCCCTTTTTCTAGGTATGAATTGGGGCTCAACTCAGTAAGCAAAATGAACTTCGTAATCCAGTGTTACAAGCTTCAAGTAGATTAATTACAAAAAAGTATTTTCTTTTTCACAAGAGACAGTTTTTTCTATAAATATATATTCTGAGTTTACACGCGAGTCTGAACTAAGAATACTAATAAGCTAGTAAAAATATGTTGAGTTTGGTAACTATGACCAGGTGATGTTTATCATGATCATTTGTGATTAAATGAGATAAATATTTGTAATATCATAGTCTTCTTATTTTGAAAATTTAAAAAGATTTACAGTGTGATTGGTTGTGTGTTTTACAAATGCTCCCCACCACTAGTTTGTATGGTCCAAAGCTGAACACTACTACACCCCTATCTCCCCCCACGACTGCAATGCATATGGCGTAGCCGCTACCAATCTCAACATGTCACAACAACATCCATGGCTACAACAACCTCGTCTTTTGTCTTTCTGAAATCTCACACCTCACCCTTCTGTCACACCAGAACGTTGTTCACGCATATTGATGGGTTGGGATGTGGAATTGGAACCCGCAGAAGTTACAAAGTCATCAAGGCCCAATCTCAGTCTGATGTCCGACAGGAACAAGTTGTGATCGTGGGTGCTGGGATCGCAGGGCTTGCAACTGCTCTCTCCCTTCACAGGTTGCAATTCCAGCTCTCTTCATAGATACCATCTTGTTCATTCACTGTGATGCTCTAACGTTTCAGTTATGCGTCAGGCTTGGAGTTCGGTCCCTGGTGCTGGAGCAGGCAGGGTCGCTTCGAACCGGTGGAACCTCACTCACCCTTTTCAAAAACGGATGGAGGGTACTCGATGCAATTGGAGTAGCCAATGATCTCAGAACTCAGTTCTTAGAAATTCAAGGGTACATACATGCACACACGAACGCCCTTCTTAAAAACGTCATCCTTTTTTCATGTGTATACCAGCTGAGCTTGATCTGGTTCACAATATCAGCTGTACAGGATGGTGGTGAAGTCCGTGGATGGGAGGGAACTACGCGCCTTCAATTTCAAGCAAGAGGATGAAAGGTATGTTCCATGGTGTGTGGATAGGACAATGAGTTGAGCTTCATCAACATGGTTTGGATTATGAGTAGGTAATCATGCCATGTACGAATGTCATTGGGAATTGATGCTTATATGTGTCTATGAAACCACATTTGTTAGAAAAAAGCCAGCTTAGTTTTTTTTCATCTGGATATCTGGACAATTTAAAAAACACCCTAATGATAGAAAAAACTCTTACTTTTGTAATTGTCCACAAGCACTAATTATTGGTATAATAAGACTACAAGCTTCGGTGAGGACAAATATTAATTTATGAAATGCAGTCAAGAGGTACGTGCGGTGGAGAGGAGAGTGCTTTTGGAAACCTTGGCTAGTCAGCTACCACAGGATAGCATTCAATATTCTTCGCAATTGGCAAGAATTGAAGCCACTGAAAACGGGGATACCTTGTTGGAACTTGTGGATGGATCTAAGCTGCTTGCAAAGGTTAGTCATGGTGATATAATTATTAGCATAGCTCTAAATGTTCTATCTGCATTGATTGGGCGTTTTCATCACATGATTAGTTAATTAAATGGTTAGCTATAATTGAAATCTAGTGTTACACTGTTCTACTAATAACTAAATGTTGGAACTTAGAGACGCAATAATGAATGGAGAATCGATTTAATCTCTGAATAGATTGTGATAGGGTGCGATGGAATTCGTTCACCAATAGCTAAGTGGATGGGGTTTCCTGAGCCCAAGTACGTTGGTCACTGTGCTTTCCGTGGACTTGCGTCTTATTCAGATGGACAACCTTTTGGACCAAGAGTGAATTATATCTACGGAAGAGGGTTGCGCGCTGGGTTCGTTCCTGTTTCTCCGACCAAAGTTTACTGGTTCATCTGCTTCAATAGTCCTTCTCCAGGTTGTTCATAAGAACAAAATACATGGTTAAATAACTGACTTTGTAGTTGTCAACTTGCATGAGAGACCATCATCTCATGAAAAATAAAATTGTGTATGTCCAATGGCAGGTCCAAAAATAACTGACTCAATGGTGATGAAGAACCAAGCTAAGGAATTGGTGAAGGATTGGCCTTCAGAGTTATTGAACATAGTGGATTCTACTCCAGATGATACTGTGCTTAAGACTCCATTGGAAGATAGGTGGCTTTGGCCAGCCATAAGTCCAGGTGCTTCCGCAGGAAGAGTTGTGGTGGTTGGGGATGCATGGCATCCAATGACCCCAAATCTTGGGCAAGGAGCTTGTTGTGCACTGGAGGATTCAGTGGTTCTAGCTAAAAAGCTTGCCAGAGCTATCAAGTCTGAAGACAACCCATCTGTGGAAGAAGCTTTCAGGTCATATGGCACTGAAAGATGGCCCCGTGTATTTCCACTAACCATACGTGCAAACCTTGTGGGCTCCGTTTTGCAGTGGGAGAACCCAGTGGCGTGTTCTGTTAGGAACAACATTGTCATACCTAAGCTAGTCAAACTCGGGCCATTACTGGAGCATACAAATTTTACTTGTGAGAGTCTATAAAGAAGAAAAGCAAGGCTGGCAATCGCAACCAAATTGAAAAAATGGTGTATTGATTAAGAATAGACTATGGAGTTCCATTTGTGTTCAATCTGCAAATACTGCATTTAATGGGTATAGAAAGAGACATGTTTGTGTGATATTTAAACAATCTTAAATAAAGTATATTCAATACTTTATGTGAACTTTCTCCCTTTTTATTTTACCTAATGATTGGCTAGCTAAAAGAAAATATCGTGTACTTTTACCAATTATTACAGATTTAACAGTGAAATCACTCAAAATTTTTGGATTTGGGAAAGAATATCTCTGATACCATAAAACAGCAACACTAACAACAGAAGCATTCCAGACACTTGAGATCAACCAAATTAACATTAATTTGTATCTCTAACTTTCTCTAGCATAGCAATCACGTTAACACACACTTCCCTAATCTCCTTTGTTGTAAAATCAAATCCATAAATTTGTATAATCGCTATAATTTTTTATCCGCTTAAACAAGTAGTTTTAAACAAAGTTGTGTAGTACAGTCAAAACTGAAGAGGGTTGAGGACGAACAAACATACACGCAATCTATTGATACACAATCTGATAAAGAGACGATTCTGCAAGCAGGTCTGGTTTCTTCATCGTTGCCGAATCTTGTGAAAAGTCAAGAAAGTCAGACCGCCATTTTTTATGCAGGCGTTGACCATAATCTGAAACAGAAATCTGAAAAGGATGGGTGAAAATTAGAGATAGACGGTGGAATGGGAAAAGGAGAGAAACGAGAGAAGGGTGAGATTGAATAGAGAGAGGGAACCTTTAATCATGAGGAGAAGTGGGAGTAGAGAAGAACCAGAGGACGAGGGCGCTGAAGAGAACGAGGAGAGGGATGAGATGGACAGCGTTTTGTGCTGATCTGAGACGAGAGAGGTGTCTCTGGGCAACGTGGGAGAGGGGATCGTACGTGGGTAGGTGTTGGTCGGTGTCCATGTCCAAGGACCGTGTCTTACGGCAAATACTACCACTACCACTACCACTCCACGAACTCTGCATATGTTAAGGTTGTGTTGGTCGAACTCGAATCGCAGAGGAGAGGAATACAAATGAGACGACGAAGAAGGATGCTACGCTATGCTATGCTTTCAAATGAGACTTTCTCTCTCCTTATGTCACACTTGCGTACTCCTTTTTCTCTCAATTTTTTTTTTTTTTTCACTTTTTCTTGGTGCCGGCTAGATTATTAAAATAGGTCATATTTTATGTTTCAAAATAATTGTTTTAAATGCGGACCGACATATTAAAAATAAGTTCATTTAAAATTACTGAATTTTCCTTTTATAAGTTATTTTTTACAGTATTTTTAACTATAACAATTATTATGACAGGAGAATGTTGCAACTGCCATGTGAAGTACATAAATGAATTATCCATGTTAAGCCCTGAATTAGCGAATGGGTAGATAGATACTCTACGTCGTGACTCACTTATTCACCAGCGTCATCCAGAATGATAGATAGATAGATATGATGGCACTCAATGCATAAACCTCAAAAAAAGTGTGAAGAGTAGCAAAAGCATCACATAAAGCAACTCACAAACAGATACGTGTGGGATGAACCTCAATCACTTGGCTGTTTTTTGGCCCAACAAGATGAAAACGCTTTTACAATAGATCCACAATAAAGTTAAAAAGATTCCGTTGCCGGGACTTGAACCCGGGTCTTTCGGGTGAGAGCCGAATATCCTGACCAACTAGACTACAACGGATTTCAGATACAACGTTACAATTAATGGATATAATTAAATCTACAAATACGCTTAAGAAAGCCATTTAACTATAGCCATTACAGAGATGTAATATAATACGAATGGAGCATAGATGGCTGATTATGCAATGTAAGGTATTGGTGTCCGGTTTTGAATATGATAAAGGGTGTTTGAGGGTAAAAAATTGGGAAAAATAAAAGAACAAGAAAGAGAGTAAAAGAGTGAAGCATATGAAACAGTTGGATTTTGATTAAGATGGGCTAGGTAAACAATTAGACATAGGGATTGATCCCTGCCTACTAAGATTAACAGTTAAGGCTTTTGCCTTGCTAGTGTACAATTTTTTTACATTGGCGCTTTGGTCTTGCATTAACCTGGCCAAGCTTCTCTTAGCATTTGCTCTGAAGGGACAATTGGACGCCAAAAAACCATCCACCAAATGCAAGTAAGCCTCCAGGTCATGACAACACGCCATGTCAGCATCGGGCTTAAGGTACGGGGACATCTTCGTCTGCACGCGCAGCTCAGTTCCCACGTGCGAGTACGCCAACGGCGTGTTCTCTTCCAACACCCCCCCTCCCACGTTCCGCATTTTCTGTTCAAGCTCCTCGCTCACGAAGATCCCGGGCACACGTGTGATCACGTCCTGCGAGTTCACTATCCGTAGAACTTTCACCTTCTTCTCCGTCACGCGCTCCCCGAAGGCCTTGTTACCCACGCGCGGCCCTCCGAAGGAGAAAACCGCCACCGGTGGAACTCCGCTGCAGCACGTGCTTATTTCATCGGCCACCAATAAGGCCAGCGTCGCCCCCAGGCTGTGCCCTGTCACGGTAATGCTTAGCTCCTCGCCTTTGTAAAGATCCACCAGCCTCTTCACTTCCTCCACCACGGACTCGGCCAGACTCGGCACGTGTGCGCCTTTCGTCTTGTACAAACTCATGAACCCACACTCCACTTTGGGCTTTCCTTGGCCTTCCGAAGCAGTCTCGCCAGGAAGGTCAACCAACTGGGCCCTCATATTCTCGGCCCATTCCAGACACGTCGAGGTTCCGCGGAGAGAGATCACAATGTCTCTCCTTCCCATCCGTGCGATCTCTCTTCTGTCTTCGCAAACGGCCACGTATCCGACCCAGCTCGACCGCTGGGTCATCCATCCGAGATCCGGGGCCACTTCGTCGACCCATTTGGGCAACCCGATGGATGACGTGGCGTAGAGGCTTTTGGTCATTCTGAAGGATCTATCGGGAAGCGCCACGTGGCGGGGGTGTGGGGGCTCCTCCGTTGACATGGCGGGGTCCGAATGAAAGGCCTGATACGCGGCTTGGACGAATTCGCCGTAGCGGACGACCTCTCGCCGGAGATTCTCGTCGAAAGGATCCAGCATCCCTTTCCAGTCGTTGCTGCCGTGGTACTCTCTCCACCGGCCTCCGAGGATGTTCCTCGGGGAATACTCCGCCGTCATGGAGAGCAACCGCTGGAGGCGGTTCAGGTGGCGCGGGGACATTTCTTCTGTGGCCTTCATCTCCGGCCAGAGCCTGGCCAAATTGAGGCCTTCGAGAAAGCTTCTTCCTTTCTTCTCCTTTGGGTCGTTGATGATTGGCTGGTGTGGGTGTTGATGTTGTTGTTGTTGTTGTTGTTGTTGTTGGTGTAGTTGGGCGGGTGGGGCGACAGGCTTCTGGGAGTCGAGGAGCTTGTCGAGGTTGGCGAGGTGCAAGCGAGCTGACTCGGTGGAGACAAAGGGCTTCTGAAAGGTTGAGGATGAAGAAGCTTGGCATCTGAAGCTGAAGCTGGGGCACCTTATTGCCTGAAACTTGTGAAGGTTGTGGGCTTGTACGGTGGAGCTGATCTGCATCATCGTGAATTGTTAGAAGGGGAAGATCGTGGCTTTTTGTTAAAAAATTAACCAAGGATATTGATTGATTTTGCAGACAGCAGGGGGAAGACAACTTCAGGGAAGAGATTACACAAATTGAATGGATCAAGTCATGGAGGGTGTGTATTTAAAGGGGTGGCTAAACTCTGAAATTGGTAGTTGCTTATTGCAATTTTGCCATCGCATCTTCTTATAATTACGCCAGATGCCAATTCTTTCATGTTTATTATTTTAAACACTTTTTTTCTCTGCTAAATTCCTTTTCAGACATGCCAAGGAATAAATATCAGTAATAAAATGATATCATGGAGAATTAAATAACAAACACAAATTTGTCTATTAAAATTCATTTCCCTATAAGTTTACTTGTGAACATTAGTTATATTAAGTTATCATTATTTCTTATCTTATTTTTTCCATAAAAGTGTTCATGAAAAATTATTTCAATTGACTTGCAGTTTTAGTAATTGTGTAAAATCAACAACTTGGTACTTGGTACAACTTATAAAATACAAAGTTGTAATTAAAAACACACACAAACAAATAAAGTAAATTATATTTTATATTATTATTTAATTATAAATTAAAATATAATAAATTGATAATGTAAAAGGTTAAACTGTTTGAGTAAACATTAGAACAATTATGGAAAGTTATTTATTATATTATCAATTTAAAATTATTAAAATATATCAAAATCGTATCTATGTTAATCGTGAGTTTAGTTTTAAATTTCGGATTTTCTTCTGCTGTTTTTTTATTCATTACTGATAAATACGCGTAAGAGGGAAAAAAAAAAAGTTTTGTTAAAGGTACTATGATGAAGCGCGTATGGATGAGTTTTGAGTGTGAATTCTGCATTTGATAATGGCAAGGGAAGCGCAGAACGCAGTAGTTTAGTCGCATTCCATAAAAGTATGCGGCCACAGCGTAACGTAGTCACTCGCTTTGCCATGAAATGACGCATTTGTCCCTGCAAATCAAAATATAATAACATTATCTCGTCATGGAATTGAATTGGAATTTTAGCCTATTTGACTCTTAAACATTTCAATCTTACTATTATTAAGAAATGTAAATCTTGTCGTTTTTGTTTTAAGAAATGTAAATCTCGTCAACTTGCCAAGGTCAAAACTACAAGATGGTTTATTATATTTACTTTTTCGTTGTTCCCTTTTTATGCATCTCCTCGTGTTACAATTCTTTTTCTGCGTGACTTCTTTATAATATACAAAAAAAAATAAAAAATATTAATTAACACGATTTGGATTTCAGCAAAGTTGGTTTGACGAGGGAACTTTGGTATATATATCAGTTTGACATTTAACAATTTTTGAAGACTTGAAGCATGGAAGATGCAGATATTAGAGACATAGATATATTATGGCAGTGTTAATGTTAGGCCAAACACTTGATCCTGCAATGTGGGACAAAGGGAGTTTGAACATTGAAAAAACAACAAAATGGAACAAGTCGAGTCAAGTCAAATATACTTGCGTCAAAAGGCCAAAACTATCTTTACCTATTCAATTCTAATGTTTGGATATCGTGAGTTATTTTGCATACAAAACGTCGCATTTAATCGTTTGGCAATGGTTGGACCTTACGATAATGCCGCCGGATGCGTGGTTGAATTCATATACCTTAAATTACATCGTAAATTAACACAATGTTTCAATATATTTATTGCAAAAATTGAAAGTGTTTCAACTACTCACGGTATGATAATCAATAAACTGGTCCAATACGAAAGTAGATTGATGTAACTAAAGCTTGGAGAACATTTGCGCATGATTCATTCGTGTAAACAAAACCTGAGAGTACTGTCTTTTCTGCACACAAAAGCATGGCACTACACTATGAAGATAATCATGACACACAAACATTACACCAAAAGCTTTGAATGGAAAAACACATGTGTGTTCAAATATGTTTATGCCCCCACCACATCAACACTTTCGCAGGCAGTGGAAGAACCACTCACACGCCCACTAAACGTCATTCTGCAAAACTCGATACAAAATCATTTTTATGATAATTTATTAAAATCATTAACTTATGCTAATGTTGTCGAACACTTCATGATTTGACATAAAATCAGTATAATTATTATATCGTTTTATTCTTCTCTTATTATTTATCATTTTTCGGGCTTTTGATGCTTTTACTGGTAATTTTCCGGCTTCCTACTAAAACATTAATATGTAGGTTATATTATTTTATTCTTGTGTTACACTTTATTAATATGTAGATTAATTAAAGATGAAAATCATTAAAAAATTATATTATAATATATATAAAAAGTGTTTTTTTTTTAAATTAATTCTCAAGCAAAATTCCTTTATAATTACAAAAATATTTTATTAAATATTACGATTTAAGAACTTGGAAAATCAAACTTTTAATCACTTGTATGTTTAAGACATGTAATTATTTATCAGTAATATAGTTAACTATCCTTTGTTCTTTCACGTGAGACCTTGAAAAGTTAAAACATTTTATTTAAGGTTCCCAGACTTTTGGTCTTTTGTTCCAAGCCTCGTAGGGTGAAAAAAAAAAAAAGAAGTATATAGGCGCCAAACGTGTTATGGAAACAGGGTCCTTTTACTTTATATTATATATGCATGTGATCTTGCACAAGTGTACAAACATAACTAAACATGCTTCAGAGTTTTATGCAACTCTCACAATAATTTTTATACAGTGAACAAAAATTTGCCCAATGTGATATTTTCAAACACTTCATAATTTAACATGGAATCAATATAATAATGATTATTTTATCGAAATGTGAGTTTTATTTGTGGAACTAATAAGTTTCATCACTTTGAGAATCAAAGAATATTTATCATTTCAGGTTCTGTTTTTATAGGCCCTTTCTGGCTCACTTTCCCTTAATTTTCTGTCCCATCACATGGCATGCATGTCTTTAATTTATCTTCTTGAGGTGACATTTTGTGTGTTGTTAAAGAAATAAAACAAAAAATATTAGGGTTGATGGATGCATATTCTTCATTAAGATACAGTAGCATGTGTACAACATATGTAAAGACAAAAGATTAAAAAAGCAAGATACACTTTACATCATACTGTATATATAACTATTAAACTTTTTTTCCTCTTTCCTAATCTTTTAAACGTGCCAAATGTTATTTTTTGAAACATACAGTTTAATTTATAGTGGAACTTACTTTATTCTTAAATTATAGTATCAAATCAAAATAAAACTCCAGAATACAAAATAGAAAGAGTTATTCATTATTTATCTTACTTATTTGACATAAAATTATGATATTTGTGGACTTTTTTATTCGACTGAATTAAAATCATTAGTACTGGGTAAAAAATTTAGAAAATTACAGAAACAAATAGTATTATATTACATTATTTTAAGACTGAGAAATTGCTTGGTCTTTTTAGATATTTATTGAGGAAAACAATATTATTAAAATATAAGTTTAATTTATACAAGGATTAATATTCTTCTCAACTTAAATTCTTAAAATATTAAGTTATGAATATTTTTTCCTAATATCTTATTCAAAAAAAATATATAACATGATTTTATATTTTTTTATAATTATTTTTTTAAAATAAATATATTATTCAAAAAATAATTAATTTAATTATTATTTATATATATTATAAGTTCTAAAATATTATATTAATTATTTATTTTATTTATATTAATTATTATTTTATATAAACTTCGTATAAGTGGTATATAAATAATAAAAATAATATTTTTTAATTATATTAATAATATAAAGTTAGTTAAAATATCATTTAAATGAGAAAATGAAAAACATATATTAATATTAATTTTAAAAATAATATATTAATCTAAACAAATAATTCAATTATAAAAAATATATCTAAAATCATCTTATATAACACGAATTGAACTAAAACAATTATATTTAATTTGTTATAAGTAATTTTAATTGAACTAAAATTATTTGTGGACTTTTTTATTCAACTGGATTAAAATCATTAGTATTGAGTCAAAATTTTAAAAAATTACGAGAACAAATAATATTAAATTACATGATTTTAAGACAAAAAAAATGGTGGGATATTTTTAGGTATTCATTGAAAAAAAAATTAATGAAATACAAGTCTAATTTGTATAAGGATTAATATCTCTTTTAATAAAAAATCTTAAAATATTAAGTTATGAGTATTTATTGAAAAAAATAATACTAATAAAATATAAGTCCAATTTACATAATGAATTAATATTTTTTTTAATAAAAAAATCTTAAAATATTAGATTATGAGTATTTTTTTAATGTTATTCAAATTGAAATAATTATAGAGTTGTATAATTAAAATTGTGTTATTTATTACGAGTTTAATGTAATTTTTATTTAATTAAAGTAAAATGTAACATGATTTTAAGTTTTTTTATAATTATTTTTTTAAAATAAATATATTATTAAAAAATAATTAATTTAATTATTATTTGTATATAATATAAGTTATAAAATATATTAATTACTATTTTATATAAACTTCGTATAAGTGGTATATAAATAATAAAAATATATGTATAGATATAAATAATAATGTTATTATAAAATTAAATTATATATACTTTTTGTTATATAACATTATATTATATATAAATTTTTTATTGTGATATGTATATTTTGTATTATAAAAATAATACTTGTTTAATTATATTAATAATATAAAGCTAATTAAAATATCATTTGAATGAGAAAGTGAAAACATATTTAATATTAATTTTTAAAATAACATATTAATCTAAAAATTAATTCAATTATAAAAAAATATCTAAAATCATCTTATATAAGACGAATTTAACTAAAAAAATTATATTAAATTTGTTATAAGTAGTACGATTTTAATTCCATCACTCTAAAATCGTCTCTCGTTGCATACTTTTTTTCACCTTAAAACCGTGTAACATAACACGATTTGTTCATTTACTAATTAAAAATCTAACCTATATCAATAAAATGCTAAAATTTTCAATCTAATTTAATGAAAAAGTCGATATTTATATAATTACATTCACTCTTGTAAAAGTTCAAATTAGTATTTGATCATAATTTTAATTTAAAAATAATAAAGTATGGTTTGTTTATTACAAACACATGATTAAAAGTTTATATAAAGATGCGAAGAGATTATATATTATTAACCAGAAGCAAGTTGTTTATATGCATGTGATCTTGCTTAAGTATTAAAAAAAGCAAATAATCTTCACAATTTAATATAACCATGAGACAAGTTTTTGTAGTTTGGTGGACAAAAATGTTACAAATATGATATTGTAGATCTTCCGCGGAAGAGAATATTATGTTTGATGTCAAACACCGTGTATCCCATTTGGGTTGAGTAGGGATGAAGGAAAAATGGGGACATGGGAGTTAAATTATATAATATTGTAGCAACAAATTTTTGAGGATGTGGCTTAACAAGGGTAGTGACAAGGACAATGTGATGATGATGATGGACGATGATAACTGTTGATTAAAGAATGAAAATGAAAGTCAAATTAAGTTTTTAGTTATGTTTTGGAGGAAGTGAGTGATCGAGTGGATGTGTTGATTTAGGATATGATATTTAGCAACGCGGGGAGCAAGTCGCATCACCGCAGCATGATGCACAGGAGAAGGATGTATTATATTCATATTTTTAAGAATTAAATTGAAAGTGGGATTTGTATATAGGTAACATATAATAAGAAAAATAAGTGAAAAAATAATAATCAATTAATTTGAAATAGTTGAAAGTCACAGCTCACCTACGTATCATTTGGTACTTGTTAGACTATTTCATATATTATCAATTGGTTTCATGTTAAAATACCAAAACCTAACATCTCCTTTTTTAAAAAAAGTCTCACGTCATCTGTCTCATATCATTTGATATGATTTAAATACTGTTAAACTACATCGTATATTACTTAATTTTATGTTGAAAACTTAACATAAATAAATAAACAATAATATAATATTTGTTTTTTTATATGTAATGATCATGCTATCTTGCTTCCTACATATCAATTTTAACTTGCATGTTAAATTTTTTGTTCTCATATTTTATCTTTTGCAATATAAAAATTGGATGTTTAATGTGACTTAAAAATCCAAGAAAAAAAAATCAAGAAAATTAATAAAAAAAGCGTAACTTAACTAATAAATCTACCTTTAATTACGAATATTTAGAATGAAAGTGATAAATAAGTTTTTTATATGAATACCACGGGAAACAACAAGTAATAATAGTTGGGTATGAAAGTGAGTGTATGAGTGAAGGATTGCATCATGAGTCGCATTTCTGCGTAAATCTTGCTAGAATTACGTAAGCATAGGCATGGGCAGGCACAAAATATGAGTGCGTTTTGAATTACAATTTTGTCGTTTTGGGCTTAATTGGATCGTTCATGAATGTTTTTTTGTACTGTATAAAACAAGTTGGGCTAGGAATTCGGATGGGCCATTCTTGTTTCACGACGAAGTCTAGCCCTATTACCACCTTAAGCGGTGGACCGAGAAGACTCTGATAAGCTCCTCCCTTCTCCTCCGCCAGATCTCATCATCGCCGCCGCTGAACTCCTCTCGGCGTTTCTCTCCGTCTCTCATTCTCGTAATCTCTCTTTCTCTTCATCTCTCTCTTCATTTCACTTTTAAATATAGCAACAATAACCTCTGCTGTTATGAGTTTTGATGTATTGTATTGGCTCGTTTGACCTAAGCGTGAGCGATTACAACCGCGTCTATTGTATCATTACTGTATGTATAAGGTGGATCTCGTGCTGTGCAGGTTGAAGTTTGATAAGGACGGACGGTCAACATGTGCCGGCAAAACTCTCCGGTGCACCATTCCGGTGAAGAAGAAGTTGCAGCTGACGAGAGCCTTTTGATTTATTGCAAGCCTGTTGAACTGTACAATATTCTCTACCGCCGCGGTCGTAAAAATGTAAAACAATGAATGCATTTGTCTTGCTGTATTGAATTTGTGTTGTGTTTTGATTGTTTGCTATCCTATTTTTCATTATTAGAATGTTCCATTAAGGCCAAAGCCGTTTACTACCTTGTGTGTGCGTGTGTGAATGTGTTTTCTTCTTTTATTTTTGGCTCTTTGGAAACTGCGATTTTTAGGCTCTGGTTAACAGTTTTTAACAATTGCTGTGAGCTGAGCTTGTTCGGAATTGAATATCCACAGGAGGAACCGGTGTACAAATTGTATGATACTTCAGCACATAAAAGGGTCTTATATTTGTTGTTGGACATAACTTCTCCACATTTGAAAGTTTTTCTTGAAATTACCTTACATTCCAACATTTTTTTTTTCCAGAAAAAAAGTAAACTCAGCTTGATTGATTCTACTTCATAATTATTTTTTCTTGCAGCCTTCCTTTCTCAGGAGATGTTTGCGTTACAAAATAAGAGCGAGGCGGAAAAGGAGGTAATTATTCCTTCCAATCACTGTATATATGTATTATTTTATTAAGGGTTTAATATCTTTTATCTTTTTGATTCCTAAACCTCTTCGAAATTGCTTTTAGTACTTAATTTTTTGTTTCGTCTCATATACATTTCCTCTGTCAATAACTAATTTTTTGTTTGGTCTCTATACATTTCCTCTGTTGATAGTTTTAGTTTTTCTCATATGATTTATAGTCATTATTAAACACAGTTTTTGTATGGTCCCTATAAAAGAAGTGCATTGCCATATTTACCGTCATTATTAATGACTTTTAAATTATTTTTCTCATGATTTATTAATAAAACACACATTTATAATATTTTATAATGGCAAACTAGGAAAAGATATTTAATTTTTCATAGAAACAATAAAATGCCTTGTATATTGGATCACCAATTTCTTCTAAACTATGCCTTATAGTAAGAATTGGAGGGAGTATTGAGTTTCTTGACTCCATTTACACTACTGTTCATACTATTTTGTTACTGCAAATGTTTTCACTTGTGCTGCTGGATATTAATTATTCATTGATTATTTTAATACATCATCTCACATCAATGTTTTTTCTATTTTGGTAAAAAGATAATTAATTGATGATATTCTAAATAAATAAACTTAAATTTTGAGAATGTGGAATCCTCCTGCAAAAGAAACAAATATGGCAAAGGAAAAAAAGTTAAAATTTGTCTTCATTACTCCCCTAAGGACTAATTCTTGTGGTGATGGGTGCTGAAAAACATGTAAATCACTCAAGAAATGCTTGAAGATTAGAAAACGGAGAAAATGAAAGATTTGACTATTTTGGACTATGTTTCTTTATAAAGCGGGTTAATCTACTAAACTCAAAGCTATTTTATGCATATTGTCCCAAGTCTCAAAACGAGACACCAGTAATTATGTTTTCCAACATTCTGATTATATTGCCCCATTTGTGATCACAGTTAGCGCGAGCTTGATGATTTTTTTTTTTTTTTGGAAAATTTACAATTATTAACCTGCACTAAAGGCATGCAATGCCTGAGGAAGAGGCTGCTGGCTCCTACCACTGGTCCTCCTTTTGTTGCCTTTGGCTTCACTAGCAAGTTGTTATAACTCTGTTGCTGACACAAGCTAACCTTGTTCTCGTATAAGATTTCTTATTTTCTTTGTAAGCCAACTTCAAAAGTAAAGGGATCTAAATTTTTTAAGTTACAGGCTGTGTTTTCTTTGATTTGGTTGGTGGATTGGTTTCTGGTTTAATTTTAGCAATACACAGTTTGATTCTACATAATTTGTTGAATTACAATTATTGTAATAAGGAGTTAATGTAAATTATGCTTTATCTCTTGGTTTTGCTGTATTGGGTGTAATGGAAAATACTTTATGTGCCCACTGATTTTTAGGTTGAGAGCAGGGATTGTGATTTTCAATTACAGGGACCGCTACAACATGCTTCGAAAAACTGAAGGTACAACATATTATCAATTACTAGGTTCAACCTTGCATCTTACTCTTGCTGTCATATACGATGTATGTTTTGTGAAGAGAAATCAAACTAGTTGCCAACATGTTATCATTTGTTTATGACTGAGTTTTTGACTTCAGAATTGCATCTAGCTACATTTAGAAGAATAAGATTTTGACAATACTGCCATCTTGAGCTGATTTTTTAATTTTTCTTTGTTTTTTGTGCTCTGTAATTGTTATCCTCTTTTCTTTGGACATTTTTTTTTCTTAAAAAAGGATCTTAACATCTGTGAGGCATTTCCGATCTCTTTTTGAATATAGTGACTGAAGACTTTTCTTGCCCGTTTTGCTTGATGAAGTGTGGAAGCTTTAAGGTATGAACCCTGAATTGTACTTTTTTTTTTGTGCTGCTCTTTCCATTTATAATAATTAGGAGATTTGATGTCCCTCTCCTCTGTTTTAGAAGGTAGCTGAAAACTCTGAAAACCATCATTCTTGAAAAATATTTTGAATTTGTTTAATGTAACGATTTTCTTCTGCAAAGGGTAGATGTAATATTGTTTTGAGATGGTACGAAGTTTAATATGTAATATTGGTTGGATATACTCGGGAACTTTAATAATTTTTGCATGTTTGTATGTGTTATTCTTTTTCTGGAATAATATTTTCCTTATTTGAGTTATATCTGACATGGAAACTTAATGGTGCTTTGTTTTCGACACTTCTTTTGGATATATACTTTCTTATAAAATCACATGAGTTTTCTATTGAAAAGGTTTACATAATCATAGCTAATATAATTTCTCATTTGCTTACATATTGCTTAGTTTTTATTTATAGTATTCTCTTCAGAAAATTTATCAATCTCAGTATATTTTTGCAGGGTTTGCGATTTCATCTATGTTCATCACATGATCTGTTCAACTTTGAGTTCTGGGTTAGCAGTTGTAACTAAAAGTAAGCTTTAACATTCTGATCCATCCGAGTGGCTTTGAATTCATCATTGTTCTCTTTTTCTAGGTTACTGAAGATTACCAAGCGGTGAACGTCTCTGTAAAAATTGATATATTGAGATCAGAGGTCAGACCCTGGTTTAAATTTGATGTATATTAAATGGTTTATTTTGCTTAGTCATTGCAAATTGTTCATTACTCTGTTCTAACAATCAAAAGCATCATTTAGTACTATTAACAACAAAAAGTACTCGTTTAAACCTAGATCTAGCCCGATGATACTGTTTTTCTCAAATAGAATAAACTTGTGATGGATTCATAAAATGATTGTCCTGTTGAAAGTTGTCTCTGTTGTGATATCCAAGAATAGTGCTGTTGCGTTGCTTATTTTGATTGCAGCCATTGAAGTTATCTTGGTTATCTTCTTTAGTCCTTATGGTGAATGTAAAATGGGTCACGTATTTGAGTAACATTTATGTGCACTATATTTTTGTACTTTTATGCTTGGATATGATGCAGATCATGTCCGTCTTATTAACTTTTTTTTCCTTAGCATAAGGTGCCGGTTACTCAGCAACCCAGCAGGCCAGGAATAATCTGATTTGCCTGGTCTTATTCAACATAACATTTTTCTTGCCTGTCATCATTTTATTAAGATCAAAAGATGGAAATTTCTTTTCTGATAGAGTATTTGATTGAATTCCCTTCGTTTGAAATGTATCATTTAGTTTCTCAACATTTCTGTATCTGCATGCAGAATGTTGCTAATGGAGTAATTCCACAATCGCAAACCTTTGTTTTCTGGTTGGTTGTGTATATTTATTTAAAGTTCTCAGTAAGCAATTCTTACAATTTTGAGCAAGATTTGGAAATTTAAATTATTCATTAACAACAAACTGTGCAGCTCAAGACCTCGAAAGCGTAGAAGAAAGGACTCTGTTCAAACTGAAAAGCGAACCAATGTAAAATTCTTGGAGTTGGACTCACCGGAAGGTGTACAGAATGGATTTATACAAAAAGATGATGGTAGGAATTATATTTTTGATGCCTGCTGCGACTATTATTGGAAACAATATTGATATAAATTTAATGATTTTTTTGCCTAAAGCTCACAAAACAGAGAAGACTATGCGTGCACTGTTGGTGGATTTTTAGCATAAAAAATAGATGTGTTAAGGAAAATTATCACTTGATCAGTTTTCATTATAAACTATAGTTTTCTACAATCTTCAGGGTTCAAAAGGTAATATGTAATTCAGATACATGATAGTGGCAATCATTAATTTCTTGATGTACTAAAATTGATTTGGAAAAATGATTTAGGGGAAGTATAGAGTATTTCACTGTTGCTGTTGGCATCCTTGTGTTTGTTTCTGCTCTTTTGAATTGTTCTCATTTATCCAACACAAACACTCTTGGAAGAGATGACTAAGTTGATGCCTTCTTATAATATTTTATTTAGATTCACAAAGTGCTTTGTGCGATAGAAAATTCTTGAATCTCCCTTTTGAAATAAAAGTGTGCAATTTGATGGATTATTTTACTGAAGTATACATGGGGAAATATTTGTTAATTAAAAGTAATGTTTATAAAATTCTTTGGTTCATATATTTTGTGGGATGGACTGAAATTCTAACGTTATTTGTAGATATCTTATCCTGCAAAGGGGAGAACGTGTCTAGAACATCTCGCAATGAGAAGATACTGCCTAGTGGAAGAAATGATGGAGGGAAATTTGGTCCTGATCATCCTGGAACCATGGACGACCTTGAGCATGTTGAATCCAGTTTCAACATTCCAGGTGTTTCAATTGCCATGCCCCAATCTTCTGGAGACCCTGAATGTAGTAAATCAATATGTAAAAGTGATCCTGCTGTGCCTGCTAAAACAAAGAAGCCAAGCATGGATCGATCAGACTCAAGAAAGTATGTTCATAAAACCTTTTTCTTACTTTTTGAATTATAAGAATGTAACCATCAGTTGTAAACTTCATTTATAAACTGTTTTTGAGTTTTGTATCATTGTTTTATGGTAATTTCTTTTGTTGTTTTAGTTGTTGATATAAATAAGTAGTTTCTATATCAAGTGGGGTTTCTTAATTATAGTTTCTGGTATGAGTGTGGTAGTTTTTGAAAGTTGTATTTTTTAAAACACTTTAAAACAATTCAAGTGAATGATTTAAAATAATGCAAAGTCAAATACGTGTATGGATGTTTGAGTTGTAGAATATTTGTGAATATATCTGTTACCCGTGATTCAAATTTGTTAGCTTTTAATACAGATGCATCATAAAAATTTTTTAGAATCTGTGATAAGATTTTATTAATTTTAAATAATGTTTTTTAACTTTGCATTACCATGAAATTTGATTAATTTGAGAGGAGTGTGTCTTATCCATGGTCTTTTTTTCCCTATCTTTCTCATGAGTGTCTTGATTTGGGCATTTGGGTTATGTTTTTTAATTCAAAAAATTTTCTCCAGCCGGATGCTTCTGCAGAAGAGACTGTTCTTTCACTCACACAGGGTCCAGGTGATTTGTTATCTTAGATCTCTGAATTTTTTTATTTGCATGTGCTGCGTATTCTGCTTGATATGTGGAATTTTTACGTATAACTTAATTGCTAGAAGTGAATCACAGGCTTATGTGATTTCTAAATAGTAGAAACCTTTGATTTTTATTTTAAACAGCTATCTCTTTCATGCATAGTCCTCATTGTATTTATTGCTAGCTGTTGGGAATTTCATTTTGAATAGTTTATTGTCTTTCCTAACTCCTAATTATGAGAGCTCATTTTCTCATATTCTAGAGACACTGATTGGATCTTCTATTGTTGAAATTGTAGAGATTTTAGGTAGGGAAGGGTGAAGGGAAAATATGCTAGTGAATAATCGGAAATGGATATGATTTGATGTGTTCTAAATATATAGCATCTGCTCTTACGTATTACAAGAAGAATCATAAAATATGGAAAGTACTCTCAAAAGATCATCTAAGATACTTAAATATTTAACACAAAATAAAACTTGTTATTCATGAATTACTTCATTCTTATAAGTTCGAACCTGAAAAATAGTTTTGAGGGATACTATTGGTTATTGATGGTGGTGTTAGTGACACCATTTCTTCACTAGTGAATTGGTGTTTTCTTTGGGTTTGCCAGCGAAATGTCTCATCAATTAGTTTAGGTGCTGAGTTTATGGATTTCTAGGTTTTCAAATTTAAATCCATGTCCCAATCCTATGAATGTGTTTAAATGGGTTGGATTAAAATTAACAAAGTCAACCCAAAATTATTGGGTTGGTTTGAGCTAAATCCAGTTCGAGGTCACCTCAGCCCAAACTGATTTGGTTTGTGTGTCAAATTAGATTCATTGATTGGGTTGGTTTGACACTGATGTAGTTGGCTAATCTGATTGTATAAACTTGATGACAATAATTTCCCTGTCTGATAGCAACAGATGTACCCTGTTCTATGTGGATGTGGTATCAGATAGAGAGGAATGACAGTAATATTTTAGATGGAGAGGTTGAGATAGTTATACATAGAGAAGAGAAGGAGAGAGGATGAGATAGTTATACATAGAGAAGAGAAGGAGAGAGGATGAGATAGTTATACATAGAGAAGAGAAAGGAGAGGGGATGAGATAGTTATAATAGAGAAGAGAAAGGAGAGAGGGTGAGGCTTTGAATGTTATTAATTGTTGGAACCTAGGATTAGTTAGTTCTCTGGCTTAGGAGCACTGGTTCTTTCTCTCTGTATTTGAACCCTTCATCCAGCTTAATAAAATGTAACACTATTTTATGATAAAAATAAAATTGAGTTTACTTCTGTTAGTAGACGCGTTCTTTTAATGCTTTATCAATCTTTTTTATTTGTTTTTAAGCTCTATCCAACTTTTTTGTATTATTGAAGCCTATGGCACTAGAGCAAGTGTTATCAGACCGTGATAGTGAAGATGAAGTTGATGACGACATTGCAGATCTTGAAGATAGAAGGGTAGGCTTGAAACCTTTAATTTTTATTTTTTTTTTACTCACTTTTTCCTCTTATTTCTAATGTCAAAATGATGCATTTGGATTGCGACATCTGGGCCTTTTGCATAGAACAGGAACATTATTAAATTTAGTATAGTGCTTCATTCAAGAAAAATTTTATGGACATTATGGTCTTTTAATGTAGTAAAAATGCCCTTATTCAGTATGGCCTTCCCTATTATAGTTGCTCCTCTAGATCTAGTGTATTTTACTATTGGATATGTACAGTGCATCGACTCGAATTAATCACGATAATTTAATCTTGAACTGTAATGTTGCAGATGCTTGATGATTTCGTGGATGTTTCTAGAGATGAAAAACAGCTCATGCATCTCTGGAATTCTTTTATGAGGAAGCAAAGGTGCTTAACGCTGGCAGCCATATTAATATCTCTATAGTTTTCTTTTCCCCTCATTAGTAACACTAGCTCGCATGTTAGATTTTGCATGATAAAGAAAATCAACATTCTGTATTATGTGTATGATTCTTGTTCATTACACATTTTTTTTACTGTGGCAGGGTGCTGGCAGATGGTCATGTTCCGTGGGCCTGTGAGGCATTTTCCAAGCTTCATGGAAAAGAGCTGGTCACATCTCCAGCTTTATTTTGGTACTCCTATCTTCCATTGATATTTCTATACTTTCATGTAGTTTTCCTACTAAAGGAATCACGGTGAATTATCAATGAATTTCCTGTCATTAATGTCTTTTACAGCATGGAAGTAACGAGTTTTTGACTAATTTAATTGTGTAACAAGAGTACAAGACACATTTTATCTTTCTTATAAGAATATGTTGGCGACATTGGACCACCCAGTCGTAGTACCGTAGTTTGTAAACTTTTTCTTCAAACGTCAACTTATCTATTTATTTTGAGTTCTGTTTTTAGAAAATATCCTTTGATGCAGGTGTTGGAGGTTATTCATGATTAAACTTTGGAATCACGGTCTTCTTGATGCCTGCACAATGAACAACTGTAGCATAGTATTAGATAGTTACAGAAACGAGGGATTGGGTAGTACCAAAAATTGAAGACCAGAAGGAAACTGACTCAACTGCAAGAATATACGTATACGGTCTTCCCCGCCTTGAATTTTACTTGACTGCATGTTCTCATTTTCGTATTTGCATAATTTATTATGATTTTTTGAACTATTATTGAGCTGTACTTTGTTTTAATATTCCCAATGTATTGAGATTGAAATTTAGTTTATTCCTTCACAGTAATTTCGCTTCTGAATCATATCTTGTCTAACAAATATAATTTTTCTGTATAATTATGAAAATCCATAAAGTGCGGGAGTTTTATTACATCATATTAAATTCTAGCAGGATATTTATAATTTTGTTTTGTAGCCATATTAATTTCAGTGGCATTTAAAATTTTAAAATGCTGCCCGGTTCCCACACCGACCTTGATCTGAGTTTTCTGGATGTGTGGGTTATTAGGAGAATAAATGTTTCCCCAGATTCTTACAGTATTTATGCCCGTTTTTTCTTTTTAAATGAATGTCAGAATTACACCTGTGTCAGAAATCTGAAAATAACATTTTAATCAATTTTAGCGATTAAAAATATCAGTTGTCTCATATAACCTGATAACCTTCTGCTCTGTAACTTTAGCTCATATCATCTCCAGCCCGCTCAGAATGGGAATAGGCCGTAATAGATAATGAAGAAGGGTGATATTGAGATTAACATCAGGACCAATTATTTCTTTTAGAATGTCAATTATCAGGCTCATGCATTGTGCTAACCTTTTTACCAAGAGTGCAATGTCATACTTGTGACGATTAATTTGGCGTGAAAATAGGCTTTCAACTTGCAAGTTGAAATCTTTGGGAAAATATCTATTATAGTGATGTGCGAGAAAAACCATGAAGCATATATCATTACTTGCTTCACTTTCATCAAGTCTTTGGCAAAATATCTAGTATATTGATGTCATTTATGATTGTTTACTTTTATAAGTGATCCCTACAATTTTTTTTTCATTGATTCAGTGTAAAAAGTTTTAAACTAAACGAAATCAAACTCTTTAGTTATTAGCTGCAATTTTATTTTATTTTTCACAAATTTTGACTAAAAAATAATTTTTTTGACGGAATAATATTACTAAATATTTATAAAATATTACTTAATATTAAACTAAATTTTATACTTGATGGTAATTGAAATGTTTTATTAAAAAAATTAAAATATAATGAATTTAAATTTTCTTATTTAAATAAAATATCTAAGAATTAAAAAATTTAAATAAAACAATTTTAAAAATTATGAAATACCTTATACAGACATAATGCTGCTGAAGTCACTCACATTCTTTCTTACGTAGAACTTGACATTTCGTGTTGATAGGAGTCGTTTCACGCAAATGAGTTATTCAAGCTAAACACAAACTTAATGCAAGGTTCGATTTATATTGTTTGAAAGTAACATCACATTTTAGTTCAAATAAAGTATTCTTTTGCTATTTGTTGTGAGTTGACTTTTACTTTTTTTTCTTTAGTTAACACGAATGAAATAAATTTAGGAAACAAATAGTTTTTTATATGGATATATTACTAAAAGCGTACAATAAATATATTAGTAAGATGATGATCTATTTCGTTCTATTCAATTTTAATTTTAATAATAATAATAATAATAATCATAATAATAATTTTGTATTTTCAATTATTTTTTATCAATTTTCATTTTTTTTTTTCAATTCGATGTTTCAAATGATTTTAGTTTTTAGCATTCCTACACGTCACAGCACAACAGCTATACCATTTATGACAATCATGAATGTTAAGCCTTAAGAGAGACAACTTTGAGAGAAAAGTGAAAAAAAAAAAAAAAGAGAGTAAGAATTATTTGATTAAATTTATTTTTTTAGTCTTTTAAAAAAGTTTTGAATAATAGTTTTTGAGAATAAGTTAAAAACATATATTTAATAATTATAATTTAAAAAAATTAAAATAAGAAAGGATGACACTAATTATAATAAAAAGTTATGACTATAGTTGGAGGATGACACAGCTTAACCCTAATAATAAGTGATATCGTATAAAAATAGAAAATAAAAATAGGATTTTTTTTTATCATAATTTGTTTTGTAGATTTTAACGATATAGATACTAAACAATTTTTTTTTATTTTAAAAGTAAAAAAATCATTATTTTAAACACAAAAAACAAATTAATCCTATTTTTTTTTAGTTTTAGAAAGCAATGTGAAATGACTTTTTTATCACAAATTGAAAAGGAATTAGTTAATTTTAATTTAAAATGGCTTTTAATTGAAAAGCAATGAAGATAACAAGAGACATTGACAATTTTTAATAAAAAAAACGGATTAAATAACGCAACCACCAGAATTTACACATCTTAAAAAAAATATAAAATTAAAATAAGTATATTTTATTATTTTTGTTTTTAAATGTTAAAATGTACAAATTATTTTTAAAAACTTTTTTAATAAATAATTATCGATTTTTCAATTTTAAAAATAAATATAAAAATATTTATAAAAATAATAAACAAACAATTTGGTGTAACGCCTATTTAATTTTTTATTTTTTTAAAAAGAGAAAATTTTGGTTTATGATTTGGACCGTACAAAATGTGTGAAATGGAAGAGTAGTTGACATGATTTATAATCCGTCAAAGATGACGGTGTGTTACATTGTCTTATAAGACACATGTTCGTTTCTGTCCTGATATAAATAGATATATCATATGTAGTTTTTAAATATAAATATATTTGAAATTATTTATTCTCAGTATAAATAATTGTTATAAATATGTATTTAGTATAATATATTTCAAAAATATTAACTTTGTTATAAAACATTTGATATGTTTAGAATGGGAAAAAAGGTAGCGCCAAATCGTTGGCGCGAAAATTAAAATTTAACAAATACCGCAAACATTTTGGAACGAAAAATTGGCATAACCAGCTTTACTTTCTTGGTGTATGATCGTACCTTGATGGATGCATTTTGATGGATTCAATCCCAATCTTTGAAGGCCTCAATTTCCAGGTATCAACCAATTTTCCTACTTCCCCCCATCTCCAAGCGTTTCTTCATTTTCTTTTTTAATGTTTTGACATCTTTCCCTTTTTCTTTTCAGGTTCCCAGTTCGCGGTCCTCGCTTTCATGCCCTTCTGGTTCGTATCAATTGCTTCCGAAAATTATCAATTACCTTTTAAAATTTAAAGGTATCCCCTTTTTATTTCTCTGTTTTGTGTGTCAGAGCCTCCTGATGTTGGGAATTGGTTCTCTAGCTATGAGTATCACTCTCCCGATCCGGACTCGAATTTTAGTGTTGAAGATTTTGCTTCCACCGAAAGCGAATCTCAGGGAGATGGTAAAGAAGAAGTAGAAGAAAATGTTAGGATCCGAGAAAAGGTTGCTGGGGATAAGGTAGTTCAAGAAGAAGAGGATAGTCATAACGAAGACCAGTGCACGAACAAGGTGAATCTTCTACTCAGTTTTTCAGTTTTGAATCGATGGTAGAATGAAATTCAGGTTACTGGTAACTATGGGTTAAGTTTTCTGTAGGATTTTTGAAGTTGGACTCTCCACATGTTAAGAGATGGATATTTTAGAATTTTATAGCCGTTTTTTTTTTCTTACAGAATCTTGAACCATTCAGCTCATGCTCACTCCTTTCTGGTTTGTACTTTGTACTGCTTCTTGTAGAGTTTATTTTGCAAAATATAGTTATGATCTGGTTTGCAGCCCTACACATTCAATTATTTCAGCTTTGTGTGTGTCGTTTTTTTTTTTTTTTCTGATTCAGAGCCTCCAGACATCAGAAACTGGTTCTCGAGCTATGTTTACGAGTCACCTGAGTCTGATACATTTAGTCTCTTAAGAGATGAAGTCTCTGAAGAGAATCAGCGTGGGAAGAAGTTTGATTTTGAAGTCGTGAAAGCCGATGGAAGCAGGTCTGCGAATATTCACCCAAAAGGGTGTGTTGAGCACAATACCTCCTCTAATAAAAACACAAAGGTAAAGCAAAAACAGCATCAAGATATAAGATTGAATTAATGTATACCAATAAACATTTATGCTCAATTGCATTTAGAATGTATCACAACTTATTGAATAGATACTGTTTATCTTGTGCCTATGGACATGGACTGTAACAAAAATTGAACTATTAGTATACCTGTGAGTATGTCAACAATACTAATAAGATTGCACATGAAAACTTGAAATTGGAAAGTGAGTTTCCATTTGCACTATCACATCAAGGGCCGTACATGTGGCCATATATACATTCTCTGATTTGTTTCTTAGCTTTACATGAGATATAGGGACTGAACCAAGCTTTCACGTATCTAGTAATGGATTAATGAGTTACTCGAAATATTGCCCAGTAAGAGTCACTATATCCCACCAAGTTTAGAGCATAGTAGCGTGCCAATGTGTTTGCTTAAAATGTGAACTAATATAAATGAAAATGAAATTGTTAGTCTGCAGTATATACATTATGACAGTATCTATACTAATGTAATAGAAATGTGGATCAGTGTGTTAATAATTATATGAATATCTTACATAATGTCACCTATAGTGTACATCTATTTCTAATACTTACACGTAACGAAGCATCATAACTAAGTATATGGATATTTTTTTTTTTGGTAATATATACATGAATGTGAACTGTATTTTCCTCCTAGTCAGTCATCTGTGTTCACTGGTTTTCTTTACGGTTGAAATCATAGGGTGATGATAGTGCTGAAATGAAGACAAATCCAACTACTGTGGATACTTCTGATCCGAAAAAGATTTCGCAGCTATGCATGCATGATAAAACACTGCAACATAATCTTGGTCCAGCCAAGTACGAGGAGACATTGGACCTGAATCACAAACGTTGTAGTTACGATCGAGAGGGACATCTAATGTCGCTGGATACCGATAGTAGTGCAATGAAACCTCCAAAGCTGCTGCATAAGAATGATACCCGAATATCAAAAACAAAAGCTGATATCCAACATGACAACAAGGTTGACTTGAGGGCAAATGCAACTAAAACCTTCTCATCAAGTGCAACTTGTACAAACAAAAAAGAAAATGATGGCTTTGTGACAACAAGGAAGAAGATTTGCACGGTAGCCAATGATGAAAATTCATGGAAGAAACCCGAAAAGATATTATTAGAGCGGTCAACAAGTACAGGAACGATTCAATTGCAATGTGGTGTTATGAAGAGAAAGGCTTTAACAGAAGCAACAAATGTTCAACAATATAATGGCATGGGGATCACAGGGAAATGGCAATGCCCTCAGAAAAATAAACCTGATGCTGGGCCTGCCATGAAACAACTAAGGCTTGAGCGCTGGGTTCATAGATTTTAAGACCTGAGAGGATATTATTCCATGAAAATCTTTTCCCATATGTTTAGTGGTGTAACAAATATCAATTGACCACTGTGATAAAAACATTTATTTGCATTACGACTTATTTGATTTCCATTATATTATTATAATTTATTATTGAGTTCCTTAACCATCAAATGGGTTTATACCAACATCAAAAGAAATGGGCGAATTACTTTTACATCCACTAACAGTTTAGTTTTAATTTTTTAATCACAGAGTTTTATATATATATACCCCTTATTCCAAGAGATAAGGATTTATTATAAAAATTATCCGTAATTTTTATTATATAAATTAATAATGCAAAATAATAAATTATTTTAAGCATAAGATTATTTATAGATAAAAAAATCATTGAATAAATATTAGATATTTGTTTTTTATTTTTATTTTTATTAATTTAATAGTTAAAATGAATTATTTTAAATTATTAAATTAAAAAATATCATAAATAAAAAATAAACTTATGTATATAAATAAAAGGAGAATAAAAGTCATTTTCACAATTTATAATATAATAATTAAGATAAATTATTATTATTATTATATTAAAAAATAATGATAAGGATAATTTTTTTTTCTCACTCTATTATACTAGCTTAACTATGTAAATGTTCTTGACTTCAAGGCACTGGAAGAAACTATTTTTGAATTGGAATTTATGATCAGTTGGTTTATGTCCATAAATAAGTCATGATAATAAATGGGCTAAGATTTGGTTGCGGAAAGTGGTGGGCCCAAGGCTCGTTGAAAGACTATAAAAGAAGGGCAGTGACGAGTGTGACAGTAGAGTAGGAGAAGCAGGAAGAAGAATAGAAAGCAATGGCTTCTGTTAAAAACTGGCTTCCGCTAGAAGCAAGCCCTGCTATCATGAATCAGGTTATCTCCATCGATTACGTCTTGTTAGTTTTGAAAACGTTCTTTTTTGTTTTTCTTTAACGGGATTGGAATAGTAACAACTTTTGATCTTAACCAAGTATCGTTCTCATACTTCAGAGTTAGCACTTTCTTTTTCTTCTTCTTCGAATTGATGGCATTCATTGTTTAAGTGTATAATTATTTGGTGATTTGCAGTTTCTTTGGGAGCTTGGGGTTAGAGAGCATGAAGTAGAATGCTGTGACGTTTGCGGCTTAGATGAAGAGCTTCTTGAAATGGTTTCAAACCCCGTTCTCGCCGTTCTTTTTCTTCATCCCATAACCGACCAGGTCTTTATCCTTTTTTCTTCTATTGCAACTCGTCATTTTCCATTTCTGTGTCACTTCTTATTTTTACGGATTTTGTCAAATTATTAGACTGAAGAGGAGAGGTTGCAGCAAGAAAAAGAAAAAAAGGTGAGTCGATGAATATGTTGTTATAATCTTTTTCTGGATTTTCCCTGTTTCTTTGAGTTATGTTTTCTTTGTAAAATATTAGGTCTCGTTACTTAGTTGATAGATAGTAGACTAGTAAAAAAAATTTGGGTAGCATAATGTCATTGAACATTAGTTAGTGAACTGCTTGCTGTGATGTTCTGGTGCAGGAATATAGCAGTAAAGTGTACTTTATGAAGCAAACTGTGGGTAATGCTTGTGGGATAATTGGGCTGCTTCATGCTCTTGGCAACTTGACTTCTGAAGTCAAGCTCGGTGGGTTTTCAGCGGTGAATTACCTATTTGTTGGGAATTTTAGTGCATCTGATAATTATTTCTAAGTTAGTGTTGTTTTTGCCAGTTGAGGGATCATTCTTTGATATCTTTTTTAAATCTACTGCAAATATGGATCCACTGCAGGTTATTCCTCCCCACCTCACTTTTTTCCCTCTTAATTATATTTGCACATGCATGATCAGCTAAAAGGAATGCCCATTTTAGATTTTGTAACTTCTACGTTATACAGCGTGCACAACTTCTTGAGAATGACGGAGAAGAGGAAGAAGAAGAAGAAGAAGGGGCTCATTCAGTTGCAGCAACTTCTGGTGAAACAGAGGTAATTCATTGATTGAAGCAACAATGCATTGGGAATTATTTGATGTTGGTAGAATTGGTGTAGGGATAACAATTAAACCCGTGCCTGTGGGGACTTAGCTGCCCCGAGTTTGTCAGGAACAAAAATCGAGTTGACCGAGGTGGGGGTAGGTTTGTGTTTTTCTCGCTTTAAAAAGTTGGGGGTGAGAACGGGAAAGGGTATTGCAATCGCCGCCCGTGTTCTGTTTCCGTCCCGATTTTATATTTAAATTTATATTTTAAAAATATTTTTTTTTCTTTTTTCATTATATATAAGTCATTTTTTTATATTTTAACATGTTTACTTTTTCTCTACTTTTTATTAAATTTTTTATTCTCATTCTCTTACCTTCCATTTTTTCACTTTTTTTTTTAAGAAATACCCATTTTAGATTTTGTAACTTCTATGTTATACAGAGTGCACAACTTCTTGAGAATGACAAAGAAGTGGAAGTGCCTCATTCAGTTGCAGCAACTTCTGGTGAAACAGAGGTAATTCATTGATTGAAGCAACAAGGCATTGGGAATTATTTGATGTTAGTGGAACTGGTGTAGTACTATGGTTCAGTCATGGTGTATTGTAAACATCATCCTATCAATTTGGATTAGTTTTGTTCTTGTTATTATTAGCATCTCTAATGTTTGGGTGTGATAAATGAAGTATACTCAGTGGCTTTACATAACATTAATCTTTATACCTTCCACTTTTTCACATTTTTTTTAAAAGAAATACCCATTTTAGATTTTGTAACTTCTATGTTATACAGAGTGCACAACTTCTTGAGAATGACAAAGAAGTGGAAGTGCCTAAATCAGTTGCAGCAACTTCTGGTGAAACAGAGGTAATTCATTGATTGAAGCAACAAGGCATTGGGAATTATTTGATGTTAGTGGAACTGGTGTAGTACTATGGTTCAGTCATGGTGTATTGTAAACATCATCCTATCAATTTGGATTAGTTTTGTTCTTGTTGTTATTAGCATCTCTAATGTTTGATGCGATAAATGAAGTATACTCAGTGGCTTTACATAACATTAATCTTTATACCTTCCACTTTTTCACATTTTTTTAAAAGAAATACCCATTTTAGATTTTGTAACTTCTATGTTATACAGAGTGCACAACTTCTTGAGAATGACAAAGAAGTGGAAGTGCCTCTTTCAGTTGCAGCAACTTCTGGTGAAACAGAGGTAATTCATTGATTGAAGCAACAAGGCATTGGGAATTATTTGATGTTAGTGGAACTGGTGTAGTACTATGGTTCAGTCATGGTGTATTGTAAACATCATCCTATCAATTTGGATTAGTTTTGTTCTTGTTGTTATTAGCATCTCTAATGTTTGATGCGATAAATGAAGTATACTCAGTGGCTTTACATAACATTAATCTTTATACCTTCCACTTTTTCACATTTTTTTAAAAGAAATACCCATTTTAGATTTTGTAACTTCTATGTTATACAGAGTGCACAACTTCTTGAGAATGACAAAGAAGTGGAAGTGCCTCTTTCAGTTGCAGCAACTTCTGGTGAAACAGAGGTAATTCATTGATTGAAGCAACAAGGCATTGGGAATTATTTGATGATAGTGGAACTGGTGTAGTACTATGGTTCAGTCATGGTGTATTGTAAACATCATCCTATCAATTTGGATTAGTTTTGTTCTTGTTGTTATTAGCATCTCTAATGTTTGATGCGATAAATGAAGTATACTCAGTGGCTTTACATAACATTAATCTTTATACCTTCCACTTTTTCACATTTTTTTAAAAGAAATACCCATTTTAGATTTTGTAACTTCTATGTTATACAGAGTGCACAACTTCTTGAGAATGACAAAGAAGTGGAAGTGCCTCTTTCAGTTGCAGCAACTTCTGGTGAAACAGAGGTAATTCATTGATTGAAGCAACAAGGCATTGGGAATTATTTGATGTTAGTGGAACTGGTGTAGTACTATGGTTCAGTCATGGTGTATTGTAAACATCATCCTATCAATTTGGATTAGTTTTGTTCTTGTTGTTATTAGCATCTCTAATGTTTGATGCGATAAATGAAGTATACTCAGTGGCTTTACATAACATTAATCTTTATACCTTCCACTTTTTCACATTTTTTTAAAAGAAATACCCATTTTAGATTTTGTAACTTCTATGTTATACAGAGTGCACAACTTCTTGAGAATGACAAAGAAGTGGAAGTGCCTCTTTCAGTTGCAGCAACTTCTGGTGAAACAGAGGTAATTCATTGATTGAAGCAACAAGGCATTGGGAATTATTTGATGATAGTGGAACTGGTGTAGTACTATGGTTCAGTCATGGTGTATTGTAAACATCATCCTATCAATTTGGATTAGTTTTGTTCTTGTTGTTATTAGCATCTCTAATGTTTGGGTGTGATAAATGAAGTATACTCAGTGGCTTTACATAACATTAATCTTTAATCTTGTTCTTATTCTTGTTATTATGTAACCGTTTCTGTGCTTTGTATGAAGATTAATGTTTGCAAACCTAAGGTATACTGATGGCCTTTCAACTTCACATGAATACTAATTTGCGAGTATATGTCTGCCTTTTTGAGTCAAACCCTGCTTTCTTCAATTTATCTATCTTGAAGTTGTATGACTTGCATGCAATGTTCGCAAGGATTAGTGGGAAAGTAGGATAGAATTTCCTTTTTATGTTGGAAGAAGAAATTAATATATCTCCTATGACTCAATATTGTGCCAAGATACATCTTCTTCAGCTTCTCATCTTACTATTGATTCTCTATTTCAAATAATTGTAATGCAGGCATCAGACAATGCCGATGCACATTTCATATGCTTTGTTTGTGTGGATGGTAAATTTTCTATACATTTGATTCTGCATATCACAGTCATTTTATTTCTTCCCATTCTCCTTTCTTCTGTAATTAGTTTTGGCATATTATCAGGGATTAATTTTTGCGCCATGCTGTCATAATTCACATGCAGATGAACTTTATGAGCTTGATGGAAGAAAATCATGGCCAAGATCTCATGGTCCATCTTCGTCCAGTACTTTGTTAAGGGTAAATAACATCTTTGCATTTCAAGGTCATGACTATCTTTTTGCTTGTGTTCTGGAAATGATCTTTTCGTTTTGTAGATGCAAATAGAGAAATTATTTCTTCATATTGTTGTCAAATGTCCAGATTTCTATAGTAAAGCACTTAGGCAATATTCGACATTATGGGATTAGTTTCATGGATATACATGATGCTTTTGAATTTGTCTGGTAAATGAGTCTGGTTACTCTACTTCAGTCATCTCAGCAATGAACCTCTTCATTTAATCCTCTTACCATCCCTTTCCGCCAGAGGGGGGGTTCTACCTTCCTTAGATGACTTTTGCTTCAGGCAAATGCACTTTTCCTGTCAAATTTGGTGGATTGTTCTAAATCGGGTTTTTTCAACCCTGTGTATGTCTTATTCATTTAATCACGTTGATTTGCTGGGTTTGTTGACCTTCGTATTATATATCTGCCTTTATTACAAAGTGGGTTACCGTAGTATTTACAATTTTAAAATTACTGATATATTCAAATTACGACAGGATGCAGCTAAAGTGATGCGCAGCATGATCGAGAAAAATCCAGAGTCCCTCAAGTACAATATCATAGCCTTGTGTAAGAAATCTGGGTAGATATTTTAAGGCTATTGATTTAGGCTTGTCAGTGAGTATGTTTAGATTTTACTTTCCGCTCCGGATAAATGCAGAGTCCATGATAAAACAATGTAAATAAAAATGTAAAAAGTAATCCATCACTTTTAATACACATTTCTGGATTGCATCTGTAAGATCCATCAAGGTAGTTCAGATAATACAAGCAAATTACTGCCAGTGCAACTCATTGTTCTGTGAATCTGTGTTAAATAATAGTAGTGCATTATTTAGAATGCGGAATTAAAGTGATTCGACGAATTAGAATGTGTTTTTACTCTCACGTTAAATGATTGATATTTAATATATTTGTTTTATTTTATTTAACATTTTTAAACATTAATTTTTATGTTAGCGTGTATTGTATTATATGTCCAATTATCGCCTTCTCACGTTAACACTCGTTCATTGGTGCATTATAAACCTACATTTTCTCCAATTTGAGGTTGTTCTTTTAAATCTTATAAATTCATAGAAAATCTATAATAGTTGAGTATAATTGTCGAGGCTACTCAGTATCATCTTATATATATATATAAAAAAAAAAAACTTACAATACTAATATATATTCAATTACAACACCAACATTGGACACAAGCCTTAATCAGCTGGTTATTTAAATTCTCGTAATGCTCAACTTGTTAATACTTGCTATAAAAAACTAAAGCTTGCTGAATTGATTACAGTGCTTAAAAACCTACAACAAGAGGCAACTAAAGGGACACAAAACATTATGCCTAGAAACAGCATTACTCAAGTCTTTGTTTTAGAAAGGATAATTGATCGTTTTTATCAATTTTTTTATTATTGTTGTAAGATTGATAGAAATATTAAATTTACCTTTTCAAATAGAAGGAATAAAATTAAATTTAAGCTGTGGTTGAACTCTTCTTTGTAGTAGAGTGGTGATTGTTGGTGATAGGCACTAGTGGTTATGAAAGTCATTCACGTCCACAACTTCCTCATGGGGATGCAGAGAATAATTCCAAAGATATTTTTCCGTGCCGTGTTATACTCTTCAGAGTCTTTTGGACTCGATCACCTTTCCTCGTCTTCCAATATGCAAGAGTGTCACACTGCTCCACTCTATTAAGGCAAAAAGTAGTCCACAAACTAACTACTATCGTAATTCAATCTATGGCTTCCTTAACCCCCCTTATACCTGCACTTCTCTACCTTCAATTTCATCTTCTTTCCCTATCTTTTGCAACCTTTAATATGGGTTCCGCAATCTCCACCGATGACAACAATGGTGTGTGGCGTGGCGTTCACCTTCGGGTCATTTTGCCTTTGGGTTCCGCCCACTGGATAATGGCACGGATTCCAAGACGATGCTGTTCATGGTTGCCATATGGTACGACATGATACCCGACAAGACCGTTGCTTGGAGTGCAAAAACAGGCAACAAACTTGCAACAGCACCAACGGGTTCACAGGTTCGGATCACGTCAGACGGGCTAACACTGGCAGGTCCCAAAGGAGATTCCATATGGAACTCCATTTTGGAAGGTATTGTCTCCCAAGGATCTATGCTTGACACGGGCAACTTTGTTCTACTGGATGAGAACTCTGAAAAAGTGTGGCAAAGTTTTGATTACCCCACAGACACGTTGTTGCCTAGCCAAACCCTCCAACTCGGAGGCAAGCTGACTTCTCGATTGACAGACAACAATTACACAAGTGGAAGGTTCCAACTGCATTTCAAGGATGGTAATGTGTTACTGAGTCCTCTTGCTTGGCCTTCTACAGAGTTTTACAACTCTTATTATGTGTTGAATGCCTCTGGTGCTGCTTCAAAATTAGTGTTCAATGAATCAGGGGATATGTATGTAAAGACCACAAATGGGACTACAATCCAACCTTTAGATTCAGAATGGAATAGCTTGGATCTCGATTCTGAGCTGTATTACTACTGAGCTACGCTTGACTACAGTGGAGTTTTCACACAGTATGCTCATCTAAGGAACAGCACTGCTCAGCCAGGGTGGAGAATCAAGAGGTATGTTCCTGACGACATTTGCAGTGCAATAACTAATGACTTTGGTAGCGGTTCCTGTGGCTACAATAGCTACTGTTCCATGGACAGTCACATGCCTACTTGCAAATGCCCTTATGGGTATTCGCTAGTGGATCCAAGTAATCAGTTTCGTGGATGCCAACCCAATTTCACCCTCGTTTGTGGAGCCGATGTTCAAACACCACCAGAAGAACTATATGAAATGCATGAATCTCAGGGTTTCAATTTTCCTCTGGGAGATTATGAAAAGATAGAACCTTATTCTCACGAGAAATGCCAACAGTCTTGCTTGCAAGATTGCACGTGTGCTATGGTCGTTTCCGGAAACAACGTTTATCCTGGTGCAAACAGTGAACTCCCCCCCGCCCCCACTCCGGATTCAAAGAAAGAATACAAAGCTAAGCTGTTTCTTTTGGGACCACTAATTGGTTCCCTTGTCCTTAACAGTGTTCTCCTTGCTGCGGTTGCTTTGTTTTCTCTCATGAAGCCGAAAGTGAAAAGGGTTGTCACAGCTGCTACTAGTCTTTTGGAAACAAATTTGCATTCGTTTACTTATGAAACATTGGAAAAGGCCACATGGGGTTTTAAAGAGGAAATAGGCAGAGGTTCTTATGGCATTGTTTACAAAGGGCAGCTAGAAGTAGGTTCTTGTTGTGTGGTTGCGGTGAAGAGATTGGACAGATTTGTAGAAGAACGAGAGAGAGAATTTAGGACTGAATTGAGTTCCATCGGTAAAACCTTCCACAAAAATCTGGTAAGGTTGATTGGATTTTGTGACGAGGGAATCAATATAATACTGGTGTACGAGTTCATGAGCAATGGTAGTCTTGCAGACATCCTGTTTGGACAAACCAACCCCAAATGGAATGTAAGGGTTGGATTTGCTCTGGGGATTGCAAGAGGGTTGGTGTACTTGCACGAAGAGTGTGACACTCCCATCATTCATTGTGATATAAAACCTCAAAATATACTCATAGAAGAGTATTTGAATCCAAAGATATCTGACTTTGGGTTGGCCAAGTTGTTGTTGTCTGACCAAAGTAGAACCACTACCATGATCCGAGGAACTCGAGGATATGTGGCTCCTGAATGGTTCAAGAATGTTGCTGTGACGGTTAAAGTGGATGTTTACAGTTTTGGGGTAATGTTGTTGGAAATTATTTGCAGCAGAAAAAGCGTGTTGATGATGGAGTCCGGGGAAGAAGAGAAGACATTGCTGACAGATTGGGCCTGTGATTGCTATATGGAAGGGAGAATAGATGTTCTGGTGGAGAATGATGATGAGGCCTTAAATGACAATGTCAGGCTCCAAAACTGGGTCAAAATAACCCACCATCTCCTTTTCTCACACACTCCATACCTTAATTAAAGAAATTGGAGGGGAAATGGTGGAAATAAAATAAAATATAATTTTATTAGTTTTTAGTTTCAACATTTTCTAAGACTTAGCTACATTAAAAAATAAAATTTTATTTTATTCCTCTAAAATAATAAAATTCAATTTTCATCTTTTCCAGATTTTCCTCTTTAATGAGTCATGTGAGTATGAAATTTATTATATCAGGTCCAATTCCAAACTAATTATAGTATTTAGTGGAGTATAGAAAAAAAAATTAGTGGGATTCATAGTATTCTTTTTCATCCATTTTCCTTCATGTTTTTTTTTCTTTTTCTTAATTTTTAACTAAATAATTTTTTTATCTAATTTCATTTCATCAACTTAATTTTCATTAACTTATTTCTCTTATCATCTAAACACATTCTTGGTCAAATTTACTTACGTTGGTTGTTCTCGAATAAATCGAAAAAACATTAGCAAGTTATCAAGCTATATCTTTATTCATTAATTAACTACTAGTAAGATTAGATAATTGTGAATATTACCAATTATTTTATTATTTGGATACATAAGAAAGATTGGTTTAGGTATTATTAAATAATATTATCATTTTATAAAAATAATATTATTTGGTCAAATTTAATTTATAAAAATACATAATATTATTATTTAGTTATTATTAAATAATAATAGTGGTTCCTTTTTCGGTTTTAAAGTTTTTACTCTTATATTGATTGTTTTTATGTTATTTTTTAATTAATAAAAAAATTAAGATAAAAACGTTATATTTTTTATGATATTTTTTCAATCACTTATTTAAGATTAATTTATAAACTGTAGACAAAATAAATGACATTAATGAAAAAAAATGGTAGCATTGAAAAATATTTTAATAATATTATAAGGATAAAAGAGGATAATATAGTATAATTATGGTAAATGCATGAATATCATTAATATAAAGAGAAGACACTTTCTATTGACTTTAGCTTTACATAATTTTAAAAAATAATAAATAAAAAAAATTTTAAGCTAAAACTTTTCAGTGGAATTAATATTTTTTTATATTTTAATAAATTATATAATTTTAAGTAACATTTCATTTAATATCATCAATATTGACAAAATATTTACAAAAGAGGTGAAAAAGTCAAGGTCAAACTGTGCGGCCTGTGGCAACCCGCAACCTCAAAATAGAACTGTCGTATTCAATGTACCTTAACAACTAAATGTTAAAAAAAAATAAAAAAAAATCACATGCCTATGTATAAACATGTGTTTGAATCTTTGAAAGGAGAATTAATTTGTGTGGATTGTGAATCTAACAAACTTTTTAAACATTATTTTTCAACTAAAAATGTGACACTAACCCTCGTGTTGTGTGTTTTGGCAAATGTGGAGTTTGGAATAAATGAAAGCAACTCTGTTAATAATTTTCTTTTCTTAATGTTTTGTTTTTTCAAAGATATTTCGTTATATTGATTGGAAAATAATATTTTCTATAAGGAATAAAATGATTTGGTGTGATACGTGATCTAATCAATTTTCGTATTTAAATTATTATTTTATGTTGAGTTTTCTTCGTTATATTTTGTTCTTAAATTAGAGTTTTTATCTTAAATTGAATATATATAACCTACTCTTGATCTCGATTTTTAAACGATAGAAGAATTATAAGTTTCATGTCCAGTTATGATAACATTATAAGGATCAGTTCTACTAAAGAGAATGTATATAAACTACCATTGACATCGATTCTTAAATAATATAAGACTCATGAACGTATATTAAAATATAAGTCCCCAATTGAAAACTAAGAATATATATATTGGATAATCATAGTATGAGTTTAAGTCCCACATTGCATAAATAAGTATGAGTTTCCTTTCATATGAATTTCTTTGAAAATATCCAATAAAGTATAGGTACGAGTTTTATCTCTTGTGAATTTTCTTTAAAGACCCAACAATATATGACTGAGTTCTTTCCCATATGAATCCCTTCAAAATATCCAATAATATAATATATGAGTGGAACTATTTTTTATCCTAAAAAAAAGTTAATGTTACTAAAAAATTATTATTTCATGAATATTTTAAGACGTTTAAACCTCACGATATTTAATTCAACATTAAATTTTAACTTATCTCTATGAGTTCCTTCAAATCTTTTTAATATTTATATATTTTATATTTTTAAATATTTAAATTTAATAATATATTGGATTTTTGTTAATTTAAACAAAACATTATATATAATTTTAAAAATACTTAATTTTTATCACAAATATTAAATAACAAATTTAAAAGCTATCTTTTTTTATATTGTAATGAATTTTTTTTATATATTTTATTTTTTGTATTTTATTTTTTAATAAAACATAATAATTATAATTATGAATTCGTATATTATTTTGACTTTACAATTATTGTTCAATTTTTGACTTTTTAATAAAGCTTAATAATTATAATTATAAATTTATATATTATTAATATCATCGTCTCTTGGAGACGATGCGCTTGCATGTGGGAGAAAGATTATTGGTGTTTTTAATGAGTGTCGGGGGCAACATGTGTATGGCATATTATAATTTATTTAATTAATCATTAATTTTAATAAATAATTATAATTGATTCCTCTGTTTTCTAAAATAAATGTCTTTACAACTATTTAAACTGAGTGAAGGGTGATGGGAAGCTGAATTTTAATGCAACTTGTACTTTGACATTCTCCATTGTGAGAATATTAGAAGATTATAAAAGTTAGACGTGGACCATCACACATGTGAACCATGTTATTGTTGGCCAAATAAAAATTAAATTAAATTAAATGCTTTAACACAAAAGTTGGTTTTGAGAAATAAACACACATTTGCCTAAAAATGAATGAATATAATTATAATATAAAAAATGTTCATAAAATATGGTACTGGTGTTATTAGTGAACTAGTACACTTAACATATTTGCTCCCAAAAGCTGCGGAAGAACCGAGATTGAGAAGTACATTATATTCGATTTTCTTTTTTAATAGATGCAAAATCTAAAACCACCAATTTCATCATCATATTGTTTCTTTACTTTTCATTCTTCCCTTATATCCCTTATAGATGATTCATTTGGGACACCACGTGGAGCTTGGGGAATAAAGTATAGAGGATTCAATTGAAGCACCCAATTCACAAATTTCATAAATATTGAACCAAAAAATAACAAATTTTGTGATTGTATTCACAAGCCAAACGGAACCTCCACCCCAAAATTCCTTTTCACAAATGTTTTCTTTTTCACTGCCACTTGATTTTATCCATTTTTTCCAGTGTGGGACTGACCCTTCCTTTTTGGGATATTATTTATAATTTTTTAATCATAGGTTCCTCCACTGCCACACCACACCAATCTCAGAATCAGATAACTACTACGAAGCGGAATTTACAAAAAAGGGCAGTGAAATCCACGTCAACATATCGCATTAGTTAACCAACAACTGCTCCACACGTGTGCACTCGGCCACTTGACTTCCCACTTGCCCCGTTCTCAATCCACTTGGAGCCGTCACCGTCGACCGCACCGCTTTCTTCCGCCGCTTCGCCACCGATCCACTCTCCGACGAAGATGAAGGCTCCGGCGAACTCCGCTTCGACGTCACCCGAACCGGTTCGGGCTCGCCCGAATTAATCCGAAGCGGGAAATTCAACAAAGCCCTCGAGCCGCGCATTCGATACGCGGCTCGATCGTATGCCAGCGCGGCGTCCTCGGCCGTCTCAAACGTTCCGAGCCAAACCCGAGCTCCGTTTTTAGCCGGGTCGCGGATTTCCGCCGCGAATTTCCCCCACGGCCGCTGCCGAACGCCCCGGTAGTGCTTCCCCTTCGCCGGAACAACCGCCGCTGCATCCTTCTGAACCACCGGAGGGGTGAAAACAGGTTCCGGCGCCGGAAATACATCCGGTTCGGGTTTCACCGTCACTTCCGGGGTGAAACACGACGAGAAACTTTCCGGTGATCCTGCGTCGAGAGATGGGACCCACCCTAAGTCGATGGCATCGCGGAGAACACTGTAGAGCACCATGTCCTCCGAATCATCTTCCTTAAGAGGAAGTTCTCCCCAATCGTTACTCAAACACGGGTACAACCTGCTGAAACTGGAGCTCCGAGAGTAAAGTGGAGTGTTACCGGAGATAACAACATTGGGGTCTCCGAATTTGTGATCCTCGGAGTCCCCGAGTAAGTGGCGGCGAATGGAATCCAAAAGAGCCAAATCGGACTCGTAGCTAGTTTCTTCGTACATTTCTTATTTCTCTGTGTCTTAATCAATCGGTGTTTTTTAGTGTTTGTGTTGGGAGAGGGATGGTGTTAGGTTTTGAATTGAATATTGGAACTTGGAAGAGAAAGTGGATGAGGGTATTTATAAAAGGATTGGTTCATGAACTTGGATGATAAACTTAAGATTAAGATCACTGGTTTTTAAATATTTTCATTTTCAATTCGTTTACGGTTTCGGGTTTAAGTTAAATTCTTCAAATTTATGAATGGCCCCTTGGTTTCTCAGAAGGTTCGCATGTGAATTACAAGGTGCAAGTTGCGTGGGATTGATCACGTGCATTATTCCCTCATTTTTGCGTATTTAAATATTTTCTTTCTGACGTCATTCGTCGTACACGCCCACACAAGTTGTTTCTTGTCTGTTTCTGCTGCTTTTGTCGTCTTCTCTCCCACTAAAGTCACCCAACAACATTACTTCTTATTTCTCAATTAATTAAATCTCTCCCACGAATATATTTTCAGAAAAGTTTTATTTCAATACAATATTCATGTTAACTTATATTATTTATAATAAATAAAAAATCATGATATGTAAATGGAAAATGGAAAGCAAAAACTTGAATTTTAGAATAAAAAAGTAGAAGCAGGAAAAGAAGGAAAATGGGAGTGATGAATGCAGTGGATATGGACATGTTTGGTGAGGTTTGAAATTGCAATGGATGGTGGCATTGGTGGATAAGTTTCTTGCAAAGTCAATAACCCCCCATTAATTAATCTACTTGCAGAGAGGACCCCACCCTCCTTTAATTTTCCATGTCACTGTAACCCTACTTTTTTCATCACTGTTGCTTCCAGGAAGGTGGTGGTGGATGACTGAGGAATTCAGCGTCAATTCACAAACCTTCATTTTTTTTTTTTTTTTTCAGATTTCATCATTTCCATCGATATCCTCTATCAAAAGATAATGGGATTAGATTTGGATTAACTTTATGAACTCTATCATTTACGTTAAAATAATTAAATCGGTTTCATTCACTAGTTTTGTAGTTTAATTCTGAACAGATATAAATTCGTTTTTTATCTTTTAAACTATTTTCTTTAATTAGCTTTTAATTTTTTATGTTAATACATTTACAAATTTTAAACCTATATATATATATATATATATATATATATATATATATATATATTTGATCGCTTACCCTGCATTAGATTAATATATTTAAATATTTTAAACCTAAAAATTATACTTTTTTATGCATTTTTATTGTACGTGTCTAAGTTAGAGTTTTATTAAAAAAACATGTTATTTACGTTCTAAAATATATTATAGTTTTATTAGTTCTCAACGTCCACACAGTAACTTATCCAATTAATGTGATAATAAGGTTCAATATATTTTAATGTAAAAAAACTGGTGATAAAAAAATATTGAGCAAAATACAAATGGTTTCCGGGGTTATGAAAAAAATAAAAATATTAATATCAAGATTAAAAAGTTACAAGGACATTATTTTGATAAACTGTAATTATTTAAATATAAAAAAAGGAAATAAATTAAATTAATTGTATTTAATAAAATAAAATTGATTTATACAATCTGTTTGTTTACACTTTTCTTGGCTAACTTATTAAAATTTTAGTTTTTATTTATAAATAAAAAAGATTTTTAGCTAATGAATAAGTTTTACTTTAATTTTTTAAAATTAAAAATGATTGGAAATTTTATAAAAACAAAATTACGCTAACTGTATTTTGATGTCACATGTTTTTTATATTTGAATATTGAAATTAAAGGTTATTTTGTACCTTTAAAAAAAATTATGTATAAATTTTGTTCGTGTGAGGATTTAGCATATTAGGATATATGCTCTTTAGAATTTTCTTACATTTTTTTACTTTCAATTCACCTCTTTTACTTTTCAACTTTAGACATGTCTAGGTAAAAATCAAACACAACACAATCTTTTACACTTTGAAAATTTGATTTATTTTATAATAATAAAGTTGATTACACTTAAATGTCTAACCAATTATTCTAAAAGATATAAAGAAATGAAACTAACAAATAATACAAGAAAGAATATATATTTTAGTAAAAGTTTGTTAATTTCACAAACTTGTTTACTTTATGTTTAAACTAAACAATTATTCTTTTAATTACATTTCTTATCTACTTTTTTTATTTTTATGTTTAATAAATTTTTTTCTCCTTATCAAAGAATGTGTAAATATATAACAAATTAAGGCGAGAAGACTCTAGTTAGTAGCATGATTTTAGGTATTTATATATATATATATATATATATATATATATATATATATATAAGTATTATTATTATTATTATTTGAAATGAAAAAATAATCTTTTTGGAGAGTTTAAATTTAAAAATTGGAGCGCCGTATCTTTGAACTTTGAAGCTGACCAATGACCATAACAACGTGGGAAAGTTTGATTTTGACTATAAATTTCTCATTACTGTTAGTAGAAATCTAACTCTTTTGTTTCCACGTGCATATAATCTTTTTCCATTTTTGGCTGCATTAATTATAATATAGTCTTTATATTTTTTAATCACATTCGTTAATTGATTATATTATATAAAATTTATCATTAGATTCAAAATTATACCCCTTACACTATATTTATAATTTTTTATTTTAATCAATTCATTTAATATTTCCTTAATGTAAACAAAATGATTAGATATAAACATCTATAAAATTATAATTATTTTATTACGTTCACAATTGATTAGTTTTAATTAAACTTTAAGTAAGATCATGTATAATTAATAGATTAAAAAACATTTTATTCAAAACTGCTTATAATAATTTACAGGGCTGAAGGACTTTGCCATGAGAGGCCCTACAGAGAGAAAAATAAAAAGAAAAATAAAAACTCTTCAGATGTTGAAAATTAGATTTTTAAAATTTGGAAAAAGATGAAATAGAAACCCTCACGTGCATAATTTGTAGCACGTAACCTTCATTTTTATTTTACAAAATCCAAAAAAAAAAAATGTTTCTAATGCTTCTACCCACTTAATGCAATTATAATTCTCTGATAGTTGAATGACCAAGTATAAAACATTTTTTCTTCTCCGACTATTCAATGTATTGAACTTTTAATATTATTAATTTATACAGTTAAATTTATATTCGATTCACACTATCTTATATCAATGTTTTCAATTTTATTTTAAAAACCTACTATATATATATAACATTTTGTAATTTTAAATTATCCCTTGTCTTTTTAATCAATGCTATTTTAATCACCTACACTTCAAAAAAAAAAAGTAATGACTGTTCATCTCATTTTCAATAAATAAATATAAAATGTCATTCAACTTTTATAGATTGAAAATTAACGGTCAAGGATAGTTAGTTAAGTAGAGTGGGTCAGTTGTAATTATTTTTTATATGTCCATACTGTTAAAAATCGTGTATGTATAAGACTAGTTTAGGTAAATTATCTTTAAACATAAAATATTTTATATTATTAATCAATCACATATTATTGTAAATATAAAAAATATATAATTTAATTTACAATTTAAATAAGTCAGATTTGTTTTGATGTGTAATATAAAAGAATTTTAATTTTTTTAATCTACTAAACTCAAATTCAAAAATTTAAATGTCGTTGTTATATATATATATATATAGAGAGAGAGAGAGAGATTTTAACACAATACAACGTGTCAAAATGTGATGTGTGATTATACTATCATATTTCGCATGTCAAATATTTTCCATTTCATGATGTGATTTTGCCCTATGCAACAACTGCACGTGTTCACATGAGAAGAGGTTATTTGATGAGGCAATGGTTGTCTTCCTCACATTTTAAAGTGATGATTCAAACAATGGACATCTAGCTAGGCTTGTTGGTCAATCAAGATGAAACTTATTGAGTAATACAAATCTTACATATTTCTTCTAGGTCAATTTACTTTATTTTATTTTTGTAACACATTATTTCACATTATGTATTTTTTTTTTTAATATGTAATTTAATCATTTATTTATTTAAATATTTGAAAGTGGTTTTAAAATTTTAAATATAAAGATGACTATTGAAATTGATATCAATTTTGGATTATTGTTATTTATGTTTTGACTCCATTATATTAAATGTTTAGTTGGAATATCAGTTCTGATATAGTTAGGTGTCTGGTTACAGTTACATGGCAGATTTGTCACATCACATCAAAATTACAGGAAGAAAGAAATAGGGCCCGCGGATGGTCATTTATCACCGATTCTCTCTCGTCACCGTCGTTCTTTGATGTCGCAATGGATCGCTGGTAGTCTCTCGTGTGTTCGACTTCGCCGTTATCGTAAGTCTCCATTCCATCATCATCGAAAACAACTCGCTCCCTCAATGTCGTCGTCGCAAACCTTAAATGGAACCAACCTTCTCCTCCTTCGTCATAGTCAATCTCACACACGACGGTGATTGAAATCCTAAACCCTCATTGTCGTCACAAATGAAACGCTCATCTCCCATGTCGTTGCAGATCCTCTCATTTTCCTTCACCCATTTGCACAAACTTTCAATTATTCAAACCTTAAACACATTCGCAACCCTATTCCTTTCTTCTTGCAATCTTAATGTGACGTGACAAATCTGTCACGTAACTATAACCAATCACCTAACCATATCGAATTGATACTCCAATTAGACATATAATATAACGAGTCAAAACATACATAAGAATAGTCCAAAATTGACATTAATTTCAATATTCATGTTTAAATTGAAATTTTTAAAATTTTTGAGACCACATTAAAATATTTTAATAAATAAAGAGACTAAATTATCTATTTAATCTTATATATATATATATATATATATATATATATATATATATATATATTATTTATTGCATGTTAAGAAAAATGCAATCAATAATAATATTGGAATATAAATGTTTTTAATTATTAACCATAATTTTCATTTCCACTCATTATAAAAACCTCTTGTGCATGGTTCAGTGGGTGTAAAAACAAGTTGAGAAGTTAGTTAAAGTTGTTGCAAAATTATTCCTACAAACCAGTTTGGAGGCGTCTTAATTAAAAACCTTTTAATTCAAACAAGTTGAAAATGTTGTCGACATAAAAGTGAAGAGTTGATGATTTTATAATATAATTCGTTGGTCACTTTAATGTATATGTCAATGATCGCATCTCAAAATGTGTTTTCTATGTAACGGTCAAATTAATCATCTTTTTAAATTATAACCTCCATCAAAATCTTTAACGAGTCTAAGATTATTGATCAATATTTCGAATAAATTAATAATCTTCCTGCCACCACTATTTCAAATTTGCCATTTCTGCAAAATTCGGCTTCAACCATCCCTCACACAATATTTATGTTTAATTAACTCTCTGCAATAAACATTATATTGTAAATTAGTAATGTCTTAGTCATTCGATTTGAAATTTATTTTTCTTTTTTTAGTTTTTCGCTACGCAATTGTTTGATTCTGTCTAAACGAAGTTAATGAAACTTTGGTTGTCGTTGCCACGACCTATTTCAAATTTAATGTTTTTGTTTTTATCTTTATCTGAGTTTCAAGGAAACTTAGGAAATATAATTCTGCATGCTACTCAGACAACATGAAAAGAACGTGTGTGAGTTATAAATTGAAATTTCTTCCACTTTGTCAAACTAACGACTCTGTCATAATATCCGTTTGAAATGTCTTTGATGCATTGAAGTTTCTATCGAAATATTGCTTCCAATTTTTAGTTCTTTTTAAGTTGATGTTACCATTTTTGTTTAACTGAATCGGGTTATGAACACTGTTCTCTATTTATCAGGGGAAATTTTCTAGATCAATCAAAATGACAGGGTCAGAATAATGAGAGACCATTTCTCCAGGCTTTATCATAAAATGGATGAAGTCAAACTACAAACATTAGGGTTCTAATGAGGTAAAAGAAAAAAAAAATTATTATAAATTCTCTGTACGAGACATTAGAATTTTTATAATTTTTGTTATAAATATTTATATTATATATTTTCTTTGTTATTCTTTATATTGTATCACAATAAAAAAAATTATTAATAAATTGAATTACGGATTAACAGATGAATTAACAAACTTGACAGGACGGAATAGAACGAATTACAAACTAAAAAAATTAACCCATCCTACCATATTATAACGAATTGGTGGACAACTCACCAAACCTAACTAATTTTGTTATCCTATCTTAAACCTAGGCAACCTTTTAGAGTTTTATTTGTTTTGGACAACACGGATTAGTCATAACAAAAACAATCTGAATCTCATTAGTATTTTAAGCATCAATCTTAATATTTAGTAACTGGTCTAGAAAAAATTATAAGAATTTTAACTAAATTTATGTAAAAATTTATCTTTAATCAACTATTGTAAATAGAGTTTGATACTAATAAATCTGGATTTGATATTTATTATTATTATGTTTAATATTACAAAAATAGTGATAATTATTTTATTTTTATGCTAGAGTTGAGAGTTATGATATTTAGTAAGATCATGGAGATTAATCTTAATTATCCATGTCAATTGTTGAAAAAAAAATAATGATTTAAATCGAGAGTACGATAACAAATAATTAGTCATCATGTAAATATTTATGAGTGGTGATATTTTGACAATCAGAAATTATATAACTCTTCGAACAACTCATTTTTATTAATATAATAATTTATACAATGATTTAATAAAAATAAAGTAAAATTATTATTATAATATTAAAAGAATTGTTTATAGAAATGGTATAAATTTGGGTTATCAACTTATTATTTTTCAATATTTATTTAGTTAAATTTTGTATTTTTTGGGTAAGACAGAGACAAAAGAGGGCCTTGTACAACGACAGCAGCCCTTGTACAACGACAGCAGAAGCCAGAAGGGAGAAGCAAAGAATGGGTATTGAGAGCTCAAAAGTCAAAGAACATGCAGTTGACCAGGGCAATGGCTTAGGTTTGAAGTAAAATGGGTCGGGTAATTAGGAAACGGGGAGTCAAGTTTTCGGGTCCTGTCATGTTTAAGCAGAGTGAGCCAGAGATTGTTCGGATCGGGTTCTGGATCAAGTTAAGTATCCAACCCAGTTTAAAAAACTGGATGCAGATAGAGAGAGAGATATGATTATAATAATTGAGAAGGTAAGGGAGTGGAAGGTTCGTGCGACAATCATTGGAGGCACCTCCGTTGAGAATTAAACACTTTTTCTCATTATATATTCCTTTTCCACTCTCTCTGATCCACTCAAACTCATCCTCCCATTCTTCGTTCATCTTCTCAATCAGTAGCAGAGAAATTACTATGGCAAACCCAAACCCTCTTCAGCTTTCTGTTCTCAATCAAATAAAGTTGCATCTTTTTGGTGAACTTTCTCCTCTTCCACTTGCTCCCTCCTCCAATCTCATCCAAAACAACTTCTCTTTTTTATGCGAGGAACCATACCCTACTTCCTCTCAATCAAGCTCCCTCGCCACCCAAAACGATTTTTCTTCGGATTTCTTCGACTTTTCAACTACTTCCACAGAAAACCAGTTCCCCATCTTCGAATTCGATTCCAAACCCCAAGTAATTGACCTCCAAACCCCCAAACCCCACGCTCAAACATCGAACTCGGAGTTCACGTTTCCGACCACACAGGACGGTAAGAAACCTCAATCCAATCGAAAACCGTCGCTGCAAATCTCTCTCCCAAAAAAGACGGAGTGGATCCAGTTCGGAGAAAGTGAGGTGGCCGAAACGGTGGCGCAGAAGGCGGCGGAAGAGAAGAAGCACTACAGAGGAGTTCGACAGAGACCGTGGGGGAAGTTCGCGGCGGAGATCCGCGACCCGAACAAGCGCGGCTCCAGAGTGTGGCTCGGGACGTTCGAGACGGCTCTGGAAGCTGCCAAAGCCTACGACAGAGCCGCATTCAGGCTTCGCGGCTCCAAAGCCATCCTCAACTTCCCCCTCGAAGCCGGCGCCGATAACCGGAAACGCCAAAGGGAAGAGGAAGAGCCGGTGCTGGAAGTAGTTAAGAGGGAGAAGGTGGAAGAATCCGACGTTACCCGCATTAGGGATACTCCATTAACGCCGTCTAGCTGGGTTGGCTTCTGGGGTTCTGATGCAAACGAAATCTTCACCGTTCCGCCTCTGTCGCCGTTATCTCCTCATCCGGCGCTGGGTTATCCACAGCTTATGGTTGTGTGAAATTGAAATGACATTTTTTTTTCTTTTCCCTTTTCGAAAATCGAAATTATCTGTTCATTCATTTATTTAAATTGAATTATTGTGTCGTATTCTGTGATTCATGTTCATTGTTCCTGAAAGTAAAAAAATATTTCCAATTTATATCTGTCAACAAAGCAACATTTACATGGCAACATGACGCAGAGACAACCTTTACATGAAATTTACTCATAATCACAAACAAGGAATAGAAACCCAAAAAAGTGCATTAACATTGCAGATACTGATGCAACAAAATCATAGATTTGTCTATTTACATCCTAATAATAGATACATGCAAGAGCGAAAGTGCAACTTGGATTCATAGAGTAAAAAGCAAATTGTTACTGGTTAACAGGTGCAGGAAAATTAGGTGTGGAGCAATCTCAGGTCAGCAATGCGAAAATACAACAATCAGAGAGAAATGGTTACCCATGGAAGGGAAGGTTGCCAGAAAAGGAGAGGTTCCATGAGAGGGGCTTCATCGTGCTTCCCATTATGGAAACACTATCTATCTGCGATTGTCACTATTCTTCTTTACGTTTGCACGTCCAAAACATACATGTGTGTCGGGATTTTCACGTAAAAATATGAAATAAAAAAATAAAAAATCAAAAGACATAAATTAAGTTAACATGATTGATCACGTCGTTGCAAAAGCTAATAATTTTTAAATCTTCCTCTAAAAGCGTTTCCTAAAAAATTCAGACTTTTTCAATTTTGGAATTAAGGTGCATTGTTTGTCAAAGTGGTGATCTATATTGACCAGTTCACAATCACTTTTAATGATATAATAATAGTTCTTATTACACTTAATTGTCAAACTATAATTTTTCTTGGCAAGTTAAGGGAAAACAGTTTTCGTAACTCATCCTTATTAAGCCTAAATTATGCGAGAGTTAAAAGATAAATTAGATAAAACAATTTTTCATCTGAGACACGACAAAAATAATGAAGATATAAAGGAAAGAATTATAAATATTAAATATATGGAAGTTAATATATATATACATATTTATTATTTTTGTGAGTGTCTAATGTTTTATGAATTTGGTGAGTGTCTAATGTTTTGATAAGGATGATATAAATATGGGTGAGATTTATAAGGCATATGGTGTGTCTGGTCACTGTCCCACCCATTGATCTATTTTTCTGGACAAAGTCCTACCTTGCATCATATTTTTTATTTTATCTTTTATATTCGAATAAAATCACTACATGTGATAGATTTTCTTAACAATATTTAACCCAACATATACCCTAAATGCCTTAAATTTTATATCCACTTCCATTTTTTTCTTCTGATTTATGGCATCGTTATCTTCTATTCTTTCCGAATTTTGATCGGTGAAGGACTTGGCTGAATCCAGAGACTCAACATATTGAATTAAAAAAAGGATCAGATAATCCTTCTTAAACACTGATTATGTTATTATTCCTTAAGATAATATGTTATCTAAATATCAATACAATGATAATTGATTTAGTTCAATGAAATATAAATTGTTACATAAGTGTGATTTTTTATGCATATATTAAGTACATAGGTTAAATAATAATAATTTAAATAAAATTATCTTTTTATTTCATAATCTTTATATATATATATATATATATATATATATATATATATATATATATATATATATATAAAGTTGGGATTAATATGGGCAGAAATGTAATTTTTATGAAGTATTGCAAGATTTTTTAATTCAAAATTACTAATTATGCCATTAGCTTTGTCTTAGTTGATTCACGTTGAGTGATTTTAATTTCTTAATTTCTTATAGTTCAAAGGTAAGTTGGAATTTTATATTATATAAAAATAAAAAAGTAATGTATAATTGAAAAAAGTTTACAAACTTATAATATTAAGATTTTAGGTTAAATAGATTTCATAAGAAATGGTAATCTTTTAATGATTTAATTAAAAAATATACAATATCTTGATTTTTATGATTTTAAATATATATGGGCTGCATGAAAAGAAATTGATAAAAACAAATAAGAAGAATTATACTCATTAGTCAAGACTTTTGAAAATTGTTCATACTAATAATTTTTCGCCATTTTTAAAACTAACTTTATATTAAATAAACATTATCTATATCTGTATATATGTCTATATCTATATCTGCCTGATTAATAAGTTTTATATAGCTGGACAAGTTTTGAAAAATGTTCATTGTTCTACCTTTAAAAAAAATGAAAAGTTTATACATATGAAAATTAAGAAAAAATATGCAATCCTATGAAGAGTGAGAGAGAAATTTTAATTATTATGTTTTAAAACAAAGAAATAAATAAAGATAATTATTTTAAAAGATTAATAATTTAAAAATATGGACACGGTGGTTTTTATAAAACATATTAAATAATACACTTACCATAATATTTATAAAGCATATTGAGAACATAGGTATCGTGAAGTCTTTTTATGTAATTGGTGAATGAGGCTAGCCATTGTTTTGTTTTGTTTTGTTTACATTGCATTAATTAGACGTGTATTTTCAGTTCCATAATGTTATACACATAATGTTTTTACGTTTTTCTTCTAACACGATCTAATATTATGCACAAGTTGAAAAGCACGAATGCGTTTTCCTTGAGAGATTAATCTATTCATAATTTTTATGTTTCACTTACTTCTGTATCCTGATTAAGGTTAAACGCAAAGTTCAACAATAAAAATGGTTTATTTAAGCAAGTAGGTAGCACACTCAGTTTCATATTTCGAAAGGTGCAGACTTTAAAGTGGTGCAGCATTCAAGTGCTATTCCCATAATGCACATGTACAATTGCTCCATGACTAGACCTTCCAACAACGCTTTTACTAAATATATGAAAAGAAAAGACCTTTCAAGTCCCAACAAAAACAAAGTTTCTGCACAGTAGAATTTCCTTGTGGTCCTTCCCAAAGGAAAGTGACTTCACTGTCATTTTTTATTTGATGAGTCACTTCCCTCCTTATCCCCACTTATCACAATATAATATATCAGACATAATTTTCTTAATCACAATCACAAATCCCTCGTCATTACGTTGATCAGGGAAATTTATAATTTTTAAGGTCGGTCACATTTTTCATGTGGCTTCAGACTTTGGAGATACAATAGTTTAAACCGACATCAGAAATTTAACGTTGTCCTAATGTTAAACAAGAAATGATAAAAGCTCAAAATTTGCGTGGCGGTGGCTACCAGCATGTTCCGATTTGGGATAATGCTGTAGTGAATCACCCTGTCTTTATTGCGTGCCCTGTTGGATTATCAGGTTCTTAACTCATGGGAAACGAAGTCATAGGACACTACCAAGCACCATGAACCACTTGACTGTGATGCCTTTTTAATCATAGTGCGACACCTGGTAGAGGAAGCAGTGTGGAATTTAGACGAAGATTCTAATATATATTCACCTTCATATTTTGTTTCTAATCAAGTTTGTTACTTCTGATATCAATGGAGCTGAGTTCATTCTCTTCCAATTTTTTGTCCACTTCTGAGATTGTCCATGTGGGAAGAACAAGAGCCTATTTTTCTTTGCTCTATGATTTTAGCAGCGTTAGATTCTCTAGACAACTCAACTGTTTCGGAGGTAACAACAAATAAAGCCTCACTATAGGCTTTTCTTTCTATTTGTTCTTCAGTTGTTGCATTTTCTTTTCCTGTATGTATATGGATGAAAACGTATATGGTTGGCATAATTTGAGTTTTACACTCCACTGTCTTCAATGTCAGGGTCATTTCTAAGAAACTATGAAGCCTCGAATAACATCTACATGGCTCATAAAGCTGTCATCAGTTCAGCTAGTCGAGATAATCTTGCGGCAGAAACGAGTTTCCATCATATGAATGGCATAAATGGCTCATCTTCTAGCTTGGGTTACAGAAATCTGAGAGTACTGGATGCGTTTGATGATGTGTATGAAGGGGTTGTAATTGATTCAGAGCGGTTACCAGACAGCCCTACTAGCTTTGCAGCTATTTTGCGGTTTTCTCTTTCTCATTGGAAAAAGATGGTAAAACCTCTGTCCATGTTCGTGGAACATCTAGCAGAGAAAATGTTAACACCTGATACTTTTATCAATTCCACAGAATTACATTCTGTTAACATATAACCAAAGGAGAAGCTTATTCATAATGTAATTTGGGGATGAAGGGCATGAATATTTTCAATTTTATTTTATTTGTGATTGGATTTGTTGCCTCATGAGAGCATTGATAGAGGGTTATCTGATGATTGCAGGGAAAGAAGGGGATTTGGCTTAGATTGCCTTTAGAGCAGTCTGACCTTGTTCCAATAGCTATTAAGGTAACAAAACTTTTTGATTGTTTTCCTTAAAACAGAAAGATAACTAATTGACTATAAAAGTGTTTTCTCATATATTCAGTTTTTCCCGTGCTATTAATTATAGAAGAGTTGTTGAACCCATGACTATGAGTTAGCTCATCCTGGTCTCAGGAAGGCTTTGAATACCACCATGCGGAACCAGGATATGTGATGTTAACATACTGGATTCCTCAAGGACCTTGCATGCTTCCAGCCAATGCATCACATCATGTAGGAGTTGGTGGATTTGTCATCAATTACAACAAAGAGGTAATAACGTCAAAATCATGTAAGCTGATACTAGTTGAAAAGAAAATATGCTAATTGAAAACAAAGAAAACACACTTAGTTTATGTTTCCTTCTCTTTCCCCAAAAAATAATATCCTTATTTTGTATTTCCAAAAAAAAAAAAAAGTTCATTTTATTCATGCTGTTACTAAATTTTTTGCGTTTCTGTTATATGAAACACTTGTGTTAATATAATTCATGTAATAAATTTACAAAGGTGCTTGTAGTCCAAGAGAAGTACTGTGCTCCTGCAAATCGTGGTCTTTGGAAGATACCAACTGGATTTGTTCTTCAGGTAGTTAAATTTGAAGCTTCACTTCAGCAAGTTTCTTTAATGCTTCAGAAATAAAAATAGAGGTGGTGTAAGTTTTGTTTTCTTTACATGCGATGTTCCAACTCAAAATTCTTTACTACTGTCTTAACTTTTGGCAGTCAGAGGAGATATATGCAGGAGCCGTAAGAGAAGTGAAGGAAGAAACTGGGGTGAGAATGAGATATTATATGAGATTTTTCTCTGGTGTTAGTTTATATTGATTTTATTCATGCTGCATAATATAGCATCATTGCTTAAAGTCAGTGCTTTCTTTTATTGCTTGTTTCCTATGTTGCAGATTTGTACCGAGTTCATGGAAGTCATAGCATTCAGGTAAGATCATAATTCATACTCACTTTTAAGTAATCTTGAAAGTTTAAATAACTTTTGATGTCTCTGAGTGATATTAAATCCTATTCTCACAAATATTTAATAATTTGAGTACGATGTGATCTAAATTGAAAGAAAATAATTTTCTCTCCTAAGTCTCAATCAACTAATTACCGAGTCCAATGTGGTCAAAGGGCCTGTGCTACTCAACGTTATTAGTAAAATGTGCTACAAGGTTTTTAATTGCATGGTTGCAGTAGTTTTCTTGTAATTTTTATAACCAACAAAGTTTGATGAATTACATCATCAATTCCAGACATGCACATAAGGTGGCATTCGAGAAGTCAGATTTGTTCTTCATCTGCATGTTAAGACCCCTGTCAGCTGAGATCATTGTAGATGATCCTGAAATTGAAGCTGCAAAGGTTAGATAATCTTACCCTTTGACAATGACAAAAGAAATAATAACAACCAATTAAGATCGAGAGACCATTCATTTCCTTTCTCACAAGCTTACTGAAGATAAACTAAACAAGTAGTGTTTGTAGTACGTAGCATAAAATGAGTAGTATAGCACTATTTTTATATTCAATACACTTGGTTGTTATTGTTTAGTTGTTTCACTGTTTTTGTTACATGCAGAAATAATATTGTAATGCTAAATTACTAATCTAATTCTAGAAACTGGATCTGAGATGGGACAGTGACAAACTGATTCCTGTCCCAACCATAGTTTTTGTTTCTCATGCGTCATGATTGTTTTGCTAATTCAGAAAAATTGATGTGATGTTATGCAGTGGATGCCTCTAGTTGAGTTTGTGGAGCAACCACTTATTCAAGAAGACTCTATGTTCAAGAAGATCATAGATATCTGCATTGCTTGTCTTGAGAAGCGTTACTGTGGCCTATCTGCACATCACATGGTTTCCAAATTTGATGGCAAGTCATCTTCCGTGTACTATAATGTCATCAACATGGAAGATGTCAACTGTATTGGCAATTAAAACACTCAACTCAAAGCATGTGCAAGTACTATCAGTTCAGCTTATACACTACTCTAATTCTTCTCAAATATGAGCAACAAGTTGAAACCTGTAAAACCATACACACTATAGATAGTGATACCCAATTTGTGAAGTGATGAAACCGAAATTTTATGTAGATGATGACTTCAAGAACAACGTTGGAATGGAGCATGCGTAACTGTCACACTTGTCCAGTTGTTCCCCGTTTTCTGATAACACCCTTACATCACGCCTTTGCAGAGGAAATTTTATTGTGTGCGTTCTGACCTGAGCCCAGCAAAATGATTGTTGATGCATGTTTAAAACCCCCTTCTCCCTGAAATCAAGAATTTATATAATTATTTTTTTACTTATTGACATATGTCGACAAAAATATGCGATGTATACTCATGTTTTGGTTTGTTTTGTATTTGAGCGTGAATTTTTAGTAATATATTATTATCTGTGTTTGTTTTTCACATACCGTAAAGAACCACCTTAATTAATTAACATTGAAAGGTGTCTGGGACGGGGAGTGATATTCTTGATGCCATGAAAAATGAAATTGAATAAGTTGTGACCTGTAACGTCATGTTCTGCCATAACTTTGCATTCACCTAAAAATTGCCACTGAATATGGAGTCAACATGGCGAAGAACTTGGAGTAGGTTGGCTTCTTCTCCCAACCAGAGAACGACAGCATCATGTGAGATTTCAGAGCTTCATCCATAAGTAAGAAAATCCAACACCTCATTATTAAGCTTCAATTATTTTCAAACCAAAATGGTGGTCCATGCCTTACCATTTCAATTCAACAAAACTATGTAACTTACATCATTGGGGCTATCACGCAAGTTCCAACAAGTAAAATCTGACTAAATCTTCACTATTTCAACACTCGAAAATATAAAATGCATTATCTTATTGTAATTGATTAATCTCTTAAATTTATTTTTCATAACTATATTATTGATATATATTGATCTCTCTTGAAGAATTTGACTAATTATCTTTAACGGAAACTCTTTTCTCAACCATATTTTTCTCATATACAAAATTTTAAATCCAAGATCGATCTTACTTTTGGATCCGAGACGGATTTGCAGATCGAAGAAATACAACAAAAGAAATTGTGAAACACTTTCAAAATAGCAACATATCAGGGTGCAAATCCCTCTTTCTAAATTCAAAATACAATTTATTTATTTATTTGTTTCTGGTGGAATTTCGATCGATTTCGATTCTAAGGGTGTTTTGTTCCTAATCAAAATTCTACCACGTAAGCTCTTTTTACTTAGGCTAGCAATTTGATTTTCAATCGAAAACGTGTATGAGAATCGAAAACTCCAGGATATCGAAAATGCTGTTTTTGGTGTTTTGTATTTAAAGTATCGAAAGCATTAAGACTATCGAATCGAAAAGCGTAATATTAAATTGCGAGAAAATGTAAAATGCGAGAACCCCAAATTTGCATTAATTGTAAATAGCGAGAAATCGAAAACAACGCAAATATAAATGACAAGAAATCGAGATTGCAAGAAAAGTAAATGACAGGAAATTGAGATTTGCAGAATGTTAAATAACAGGAAATCTAAATGCAGAAACTCAAATTTTCATTGAATTGAAATGGAACTACAGAAACATAAAACTGCTGAATTTAAGTTGCATCAAAGTAAATTACCAAGGAAAATACAGAAAGCGGTAAATGTACTCAGTGAGCAAGGAAATCCAGATTGCCAGAAGCTTCATGGTGTTCGTCGTTTCTCCGGTAGACTTTTCATTACTGATCCTGTTCTCTGCCAATTTCTGCTTCCCCCCCTTTGTTCCTTCCTTCTTTGCTCTATTTATAGGGCATCCTTCAAGCTTTCTAAGAGCAGTTAACACGACTGCTACCACGTTCTACGTGCGTATGGCAGTTTATCTTCTAGTTTCCCACGTTCTCACGATCTCCGACTTTTTCCCATGATTTCAAAACTGTTCTTTACTTCCTTTCATGATTTGGTCAAAGTCTCGATGTCCGCCTTGACTTTCTTTACTCTCGATTCTGTATTTTTCGAGAACTTCGAATTGCTTACAATTCGTTTTTAACCCTGGTCTTATATGACTTAGTTTTTATTCGACAACAGTCATTTGATTATTATTCATTTGATTCTCGATTGTGCTTCTCGATGCTATATGTTACGTATTTCTAATTAGACATCGAATGAATTTCTGTTTACCTTATCGAGTCACATCTCTTTCCTTCGATTTCGATCGCTTATCTCGATTTGCCACTAACAAAATGCCCCCTTGGAAGAATATAAATGATTTGTTTTATATTCTTTCAATATTCCCGCCTTAGTGTTTGAAAGCCCACAGGATTTAGGGTTTAGGGTTTCTGGGGTTCTAGGGTTAAAAGGGGTTTTAGGTTTCTTTTACACTTTACGTCGCCGTCTCGTCAGTCTGTTGCCTTTCAGTACAAGTTACATTAATTATCTTTCCCTTCCGTCGTTTCCAACTCCCTAGACGATTTCCCTTTAACCTTTCCTTGGTCTTTACTCTGGTCTTTACGCGAACTATCACCCTCTTTGCAATCTTATCTTCTCCTTTGAGCTCCTGCTTTCGTCCTGTTACCTCATCCGTTAACTCTTCCCTTTCTGTTTTCTTAAGCCCATTACAATGGCCAGCTCATCAAAATCTTCCGACTTTTCCGCTCCACCCCTTCCTTCCCTACCCTCTAACCTCGTTGGAGATCAACAACCGAAGTTCGCTCCAGTTCCTTCCGATGGAGGAGGCTTCCCGCAAGATTGCCGAGACGCAGGTACTTATTCCTTATACTCGTTGAAGGGGTAAATTTTGCTTTTGGGGTCCTCTCCGTCCTATCGATGACACTTTTACTCCTCTTAACTTCTCAACTAGTCCGGCTTTGGTTCATCAACCTGAAGTTAGGGTTGATTTTCTGAATCTTACCTCTAAAGTGTATAGAACGGGCCCTCCTTCCAAAAAGCCTCAATTTATTAGGTGGTTCGATAGGGTACAAGCCAAGTTTGGGAACCATTGGAGGGATATAGGAATTTTCGACTTTTTGCATCTGTCTCGATGCGATTTATCATTTTTGGACATGACGATGTTTTTGTCTGCAGTGCATTTATGGAATAAGGACCTACATGCTTTGGAGTTGCCTTGTGGCCCTCTGTCGCCTACCCTTTTCGAGATTGCGGCTATTACCGGGTTGAAGCCCATAGGGGAAAAGTATATTAAAGGTGCATGTCTTTCGAGTAGTTCTTTGAGGTCCAAAATTGATTGGGAATCGAAGGCTTACGGACATTTCATTGAGAAACATTTTGTTGATGACCCTTCGATAGCTGTTACTGATGAAGAGCATGTAGCATTTTTGGTGTATTGGCTATGCACCCACGTCTTCTGCCCCCGATCGATCCAAATTTCCCCCCATCTTTTTGACCTTGCATATGTCCTGCACATAGGCCAGCCTAAGATATGTTTGGCTAAGTTGTTACTAGCTCATGTGTATGCTACTTTCGACGAGGCTGTCGAAATTTTGAACACACCTAAAGCATCGGGGAACTTTTCAGGCCCCGTTTGGTTTGTACAGTTGTGGCTCACTTCGATCTTTGAGAGTGTCCTTCCTCGAATTTCTTCCGTCCCCCCGAGTGTAAATATAGAAGGGGCCCGATTATCCTCTCGTCACCCTCGCCATAAGTCTGATGAAACTACCTACCGTAAATACCTTCAATTTTTGTTAACCAGATTGACTTTCGACTCAACCTTGGCCCCATTTACCGTAAATCTTGGACAAACAAGTGGCCAACTTAGGGGCCGATTTGGTTTAAATCAAAATTTCCCGCCTCGACTCCGGGTTGCAATCGAACCGATTGATGTATGGAGCAATTATTTGACCCATGATGTTTTGGTGTCGGGTTTTCAGTCGAAGGATTTTAAGCTTGTCACCTATTACCCCCGACTTTTATCGAGACAATTTGGGTTGAGCCAATCTTTGCCTTTCTTCTCTCTCGATACCTCCCCAAAGTCCAAGTTAACTCGAATCCACAATTAGTCGGGAGCTTGTTGAGCTTTTACCAAAAATCCCGATGCATTTTTACCCCTATGCTTTCGAGTCAAATTATCTATCTACTGTGGGTTTTTCTCAATGGTGGGCCGGTTGGTTCTCGAGTAGTCATGCTACTTTTGATGAAGTTCGACAGAAACTGACTACTCAACCTTCTTTTGTGTTGCAGGACAAGTCAAAATCGAAGAAAGGTACACACTTCCACTGTCTTCAAATATCTCGATTCGAGAACTTTTATCAAATATGTTACACCCCACTGAAATTAGAATCGACCTATTATGATGCTGTTATCTCCTTATCCAATAAAACGGACATTAATCGATCGAACCACAAAATAATCAATCCTTTAGGTAGAACTCCTTTTGAAATATATTGTCCAAATCGCCTTCCTACTTTTCCCACAGCTCCTTTTGGACTTGCCAAACCATTAACTCATCCAAAATGGGTTCGAGAATTGAGAACCCTCAGGGAAACACGTCGCCCAAAACCCAAAAACAAAGATATTTCTGTCTCGAAATTATCTTATTTCCCTTACCTTAACCTCCCTGAGGCTCTTTTGCCTCCCTGACTTGTACATATCGACCGTTTGGTGAGATTTCACTGCTTTCTTATACTTTTTTGATTCTGTATATTATAAGCTAATCTGTCTTCTTTTATTTACAGTTTCGAAATCTACTAAGGTCACCGCCGTCGAGAAGGGTCAAGAGAAGGGACAAGAGGACTGGGGATCCTCGGGTGAGTCGGACCCGTCAGCCTTGATCAGAAAACGCAGACGCTCGACCACCCTTCCTACTTCTTCGAAAAAATCGAAGGTTCCTTTTGACTTCAGTTTTGTCCTATTCATTTCTCTGTTTGATCAATCCATATTCTTATACTTATCTTTTTTTGATCTTCTATTTTCGTAAACAAAAATCGAAGAGTCCTCGATCCGTTCGACCAATTGCTCTCGATCCATTATCGACGGACTCTAATACCATCCCCACGACAACACCTGCCACTCGTTCAAGTCACGTAAGTTTCCTTCTTTATACAAATTCTATGTTCTTAAGTCTCGATAAAATTTGTAACAAGGTTTCAAAATTTGATTTTCAGGATCTTCCATCGGAGACTGTATCGACGAATGTCGAATCTCAACTATTAACACCCCTCACTGAGGTATCTTATATATCATTGTATGATTGCTGTTACTTTTTGTGCATTTTTTGTTCTAATAATGGTTTTCGATTTACAGCAACCTGAGGCTGTACAGATTCTTCCTCCTGCCTCGGCACCACTTGCTCTACCTCCCCCTGATATTTATACTTTTCATTGTCACTTTTTCATTTCATTCTATTATGAGCCTCTCGATTTACATTCTCGTTTTCTTTCTTTTCAGTAAATATTCCAATAATCGAAGTCCAAGGCTCTCCTTCCCCTGTTTCTGTGGAGCAAGAGGATTCTCCTCCTTTTGCGATGCCCCCTATCGAGTTGCTCTCGGCGTCATTACCAGAGATAGATGTGCCTGCTCCGAGCACTGCGCTAGAATATCGAGCTGCAATCAAAGAAGACCCCTTTTCTATCCTCGATATTCTATTATCTACGTAAGCGACACCGTCGAGCTCTTCTAAGACGCCCATGACTTCTATCGAAGGACCATACCAGCTGAAGCAACGCTTCCGATCTTT